ATCTCTCAGCTCTGTGTACAAGTCTGAACACATACACACACACATACATCACCACAAAACCATTATTCTAATTTTTTTAATTTTGTGATAATCGAAACATATGAAACAATCGTCATAGAAGAAGAGATTCACCTTCTTCAACTTTTTCTTTCTTTATCTTTCCCTCTCAGAAAACAGCGAACACACACACACAAAAAAGAAAAAACCAAAAAAAAAAACCAAAACGATGGCGTTTCATCACAACCATCTCTCACAAGACCTCTCCTTCAATCATTTCACCGACCAACACCAACCTCCTCCTCCGCAACCGCCTCCTCCTCCTCCGTCTCAACATTTCCAAGAAGCTCCTCCTCCTAATTGGCTCAACTCAGCTCTTCTTCGCTCCTCTGACAACAACAACAATTTCTTAAACCTCCACACAACCACCGCGAACACAACCACCGCGACCAGCTCCGATTCTCCTTCCTCCGCCGCCGTTGCTGCTAACCAGTGGCTATCTCGCTCCTCCTCTTTCCTCCAACGAAACAACGCGACGGGTTCCGCCGTTGTTGGAGACGGAATCGATGACGTCACTGGAGGTGCGGAGACGTTGATTGGTGGAGATATGAAAACCGGAGGCGGAGGAGATGGTAAAAACGACGGAGGAGCTGCGGCGGTTGACGGAGTTGTGAGCTGGCAGAATGCGAGACACAAGGCGGAGATCCTCTCTCATCCTCTCTACGAACAGCTTTTGTCGGCGCACGTTGCTTGTCTGAGAATCGCCACTCCCGTTGATCAGCTTCCGAGGATCGACGCTCAGCTTGCGCAGTCGCAACACGTCGTCGCTAAATACTCGGCTTTAGGCGCCGCCGCTCAAGGACTCGTCGCCGACGACAAAGAGCTTGACCAGTTCATGGTATATACATATACACAGATATAAGATTTTAATTTATCTATTTTTTTGTCTTTCTTATAATTTAAGATCAACGATTTAATTATTTTATTTTAGTAACACACACACCCACTTAATTACGAATTAGGTTTCTTGATTTTGAAATCTCAAAATCAAGATTTGTGTTTTTTTTTGGGATAAACAATGGCGTCAAGATTAAAAAAATTTTAAATTTTTACATTATCTAGACTTAAGTAGGACAAAAAAAAAAAAAGAGCTTATGATATAATAATGGTGATGAAATATTAAAATTTTGTTTTTTGTCAATGTTTATATATTATTGTGTGTGTTGATGTTTTGGGTGGTGTAAATATTACAGACGCATTATGTGTTGCTTCTGTGTTCGTTCAAAGAGCAATTGCAACAACATGTGCGTGTTCATGCTATGGAAGCTGTGATGGCTTGTTGGGAGATTGAGCAGTCTCTTCAAAGCTTAACAGGTGAGAGAAGAATCAATGCTCCTTATGTTTAGCGTTTGTTTTTTTTTTAAACTCTTTTGAGCTGTTTCAAATTACATTTGTTGTCTTGTTTTTTTGGTGAGATAGGAGTGTCTCCTGGTGAAGGGATGGGAGCAACAATGTCGGATGATGAAGATGAACAAGTAGAGAGTGATGCTAATATGTTTGATGGGAGCTTAGATGTGTTGGGATTTGGTCCTCTGATTCCTACCGAGAGCGAGAGATCCTTGATGGAACGAGTTAGACAAGAACTCAAACATGAACTCAAACAGGTAATAAGCTAATAACTTGTTCTTTGATCTTGTACTTAACTCAAAACTTATCATTTCTGAAGCTTATAAGGTACTGAATCAAGTAGTAGTAGTATATGAATTGAACTATTTGACGCAACAAATATAATCTAACAATGTTGCAATGTTGAACTTTTGTTTTGGTGAAAAGGGTTACAAGGAAAAGATAGTAGACATAAGAGAGGAGATACTAAGGAAGAGAAGAGCTGGTAAATTACCAGGAGACACTACCTCTGTTCTCAAAGCATGGTGGCAATCTCATTCTAAATGGCCTTACCCTACTGTGAGTTCTCTCTCTCTCTCTCTCTCTATCTCTCTTTCACTCATTCCAAAATCTCTTTCAATTTTTACTTCCAATTCGTTCAGTGACCATATTCAAATATTTGATTGTTTGCAGGAGGAAGATAAGGCGAGGTTGGTGCAGGAGACAGGGTTACAGCTAAAGCAGATAAACAATTGGTTCATCAATCAGAGAAAGAGGAACTGGCACAGCAATCCATCTTCTTCTACTGTCTTAAAGAACAAACGCAAAAGGTATATATATATACTTTCTATTGTCTTATAGACAGACATAAATCGAAGACTGGACTCAAAAAAGTCTGAAACTAGTTTTGTTTGGGATGAAAGCAATGCAGGTGACAATAGCGGACGAGATCGTTTTGCGTAGAAAAGAACAGATAAGTGAATTTGGGAGGTGGAAGATTGGGATTTGATCAGTGCAGGGTTTATTAGGGGTTAAGGTTGAGAAATTTTATCAAGGAGTTTGATTGGGTTATACAGAGAGGGGAAGGGACAGTATTAGAAAGTAACTTTTTGTGCAATTACTTAGTACAACGTAGTTTGGTTATGTGTGATTGCCCATATATTTTATTAAGTAGTACACAAACCAAAACAAAAACAAAACAAAAAAAGATTTAAAAAAACAAAAACAAAAAATGGAGATTCAGGCTTTTGTTTTTGTTTGCTTGTCTGCATGAGTTTTACATCAGATCATTCATCATCATCATCATCATCATTATATCTTGTGAATACGATAACGAGAGGAGAGTATTGTGATGCAATTGCACAGTGTTTATAACCTTATATATATATATATATATATGTTTTCTTCAATACTTGGCTTTGGTAAGTAAAAGACATATACGTAGTAAGATGAAGACAATATCGAACAGATCCCATATTGATTGTGACGATGTAGATTGTCTTGGGTACTTTTGTGATTTAATATTTTCTGAAACGTGTTCTATTCTAGTCAGTTGTTTACATTATCCTCAAACTTTTGGTTAATTGTTTCGTTTTGTCACGTTTGTGAGTAGAGTTATAGCCACAAGTTACACGATAAGTTTCGATCACGGGGTGTTTGTGCACACATAAACAATATGGTTTGCTATCTGAATCATCGCATTGCTAATGGGATTGTTGACAGAAACCAAAAGAAGAATGCACATGTCGTCAAATCTTTTGGATCTGCCATTGGTTTAGTGACTTTATGGATTTTGTAGGAGAATCTAAAGCTAGTTGGAGTCTCATTAATCTAGATAAGAATTAAGATATAGAAAATGAGATTGAAATGAAATAGCTTTTTATAGCTTTATAGTAAAAAGTAAAGAAGATAATCTTTAGATTGTCACCAAGAACACAATGATATTTGATCTCATTAAAGAGGAGAGTTGAAGTCAGTGGCGGAGCCAGAAAAACTAATCATGGGGGTCATAATTTTTTCTCGAAAATAATTTATATTAAAATATAATGTTATTACAGAAAGTCATTTTAAAAATGAATTCTACACTTACTCATATAATTTGAAAACATTTTATCGATGTTTTGTTTGTCATAATGTCAAGTAACTGTTTTCAATAAATCAAAACTAAACAATCACTTAATAAGGTATCACAAATACGATTACGCGATACTATCTTTACAATATTCATCGTAAAAAAACATTTTCAAAGTACCAACTGGTAGAATTAAGGCTAGTTTCAAAAGTCGATAAACCAAATGATGCAAAATATATAAACCAAAAGACAAATCCAAAAATCTATTTTGTATTTTAATTAATTGAACTAACAAACAAAAGTTTCATAAATTACAAAAGATTTGGCTTACGGTTTGTTAGCTTTCAATCCGCCTACGCAAAAATAATGAAAGAAGATGAAGAGTCCAAGTTTTACAAAAGAGGATTGTGTTTTCTTAATAAACTTATAATTATGTTTAATCATCTAATCGATTAAAATTTTATTAATAGCTTAAAACCCCACAATTTGTCAAAAAAGCACAATAATCGTATGTTAAAATCTTAAAATTATATAAAATATTAGTAGCATCTTTGTGGTTTTTAATGAATATAGAATATAGGTGTCGAGAGTTATATTTTGACTTGAGAAGTGTCAATAAAATTATAAAAAGGGTGTCAATAAGCTGCTTATACATGTATAATTTAATTATTATAGTAAAAGTTAACCTGATATGACACCCCTAATATTACTCTACCTCCGCTACTGGTTGAAGTGATATTTTTCTAGGTTATCTTACATTGATGTTATAAGACAAATTTTTTTTTTGCTAAACAAATATATGACAAATTTATATGAATCTCTATTTGATAAAACCCTAGTAACTGTGCTATTTTAGGCTTTTTTTATAGATTTTATAAGAAAAATTTATATGAATCTTTACTTGCTAAAACTCTATTTTACGTGAGCTATTGGACTTCCGATGAGCATTATCTTGCGCTTTTTTATAGATTCTATAAAACAAATTTATATGAATCTATCCCCTATATTGAAACAGGAACAAAAGAGAGCCTAAACAACCGAGTATGACACAAAATTCATAGCTTACACTAAATCTTAATGGCACATCGAGATAGATTGGAGGGAAAGAGATGGTAGTAAATCGTTTTATAATCTTGTGGGAAGAACAAAAAATTGTATTCTCCTCCTACTAAAAATGGCATGTATTTACAAAGCCGAAAAAGGAAATGGCTTATTCAACAAAGACCATATCTCCTAATCGATTCTTCCAAAAATGTCCAAAAAGACAATTCTAGATCACAATAACATCTAGTGGTACTGTATGATGAAATATAGTTCAGTTTTACCTTAATGTAAAGTATATTAAAATAGATGCATAATCTTTTTACGCTCCAAGATTATGAAGAATTCAAGAAGATGTACATAAATCTTTCCCTGAATTTCGAATATACTCGGGATAAACACGTACGTGATTGGGATAAACATATGAACCAAGTGAATCAAAAAACATTTTAATCTATAGCTATTTTACCCAAATGGCCAATCATGAATCTAATTAGTGGTGATCGAACATCAAAATTAGACCTAATTTAATACGAAATTAATTATAAACCCTTTAGGTATCTTTGTATTAACATTATATTAAAAAAAAAACAATACAAAAAAAATATCAAACTTTAATAACAAGCGGAGCTACAAACCTCTCCGGCGAAGGATCTTGGCTACCACCACCATCACCGCCGTCATCAAAATTAAGACTATAATTTTTCAGATCATAAGTGAAATCAACATCTCTCCTCATCTTCTTCCTACTATGACTAAAACTCCTTATAAAGTTTTTCCACTTCGGCCCCGCAATTTTCTCAGAAATCTCTTTTAGCCCCTTAAGTTTCTCAATCCCCCAATTTACTACTCCTCTTTCTTCTTGCAAAGAGCCGCGATGACCATGGTGGAGACGCGCCTCTTCGTCGTCGTCTCCTCCTCCTCTTCGCCGTCTCCACCGGACTACACATAGTTTACGAAAATACCCACATCCACAAAACGCCGCCGTTTCTTCGTGATCATCTGAGAGTAGTAGATTCTCTCTATCAGTGGCCATTGATTGATAAAAAAACAAAAACAAAAACAAAACAGAGAGTGTTCTGTAAAGTAAGGAAGAAGGAATATTATGTATTTATAAAGGGTGACGATGATGACACGTGACGTTACGACCGTTGGGTGATTGTTGTGGGTGATGGGGTTTGTAATTGGACTGTGACGAGAAAAATGTGACAGTCGTGTGAGAGGAGCGAAGGGATTAGTATTCGCTGGCTAATAATGATGAAAGACAGCTGTGAAGGCGGGAGCGAAACGGTTGTTTTTTGTTTTTTTTTATTTTTTTTTGTTTCTTCTTTTGTCTTTAAGGATAATTATGAAAATGATTTATTGATAAGTACTAATAAATAAATAAATTAATTAATTAAGATTTCGTTATCTGAAAAAGTTAAAAGTATTATACAATTATGTATTTATGAAGATAATTAAAAGTGAATGCGATTGTTTTCAAAACAGTGTAAAGTAAAAGTGGTAAACTAAGATATTTTGTATTATATTTATATTGCTATGCTCATTTTGTTTTAACTCTTTTAGTTTTTTTTTATCAATTAACTGATTGATGATAATAACAGATTTATTTTTATTTATTTATTTGTATTTTATTTGATTCATGGAATCATGACCTTTTTTTTTTACTGTAATTCATTTCAATATAAAGAAATATAAATCTTGACCAGAAATAGTTCTAAAAATGATGAACTACTAAAATAATTTTTAAAATTTATAACCCAATTCCAATCTTCTTGTTTAGGTATATTCTTTTTTTATTGACTATTTACAATTAAAATTCTCTTTAAAATATTTTAATCTCGTTTGGTAATATTTTTTCTTTAGATTTTCATCAGTATTGACCATTATTAAAAAACAAAAAAAAACACAGTATTTTTATTATGAAATTAATAATTCAACAACTATATACATACATGTTAGATTAGATCCATTAAAAACCCTTTCATATTGATTAATTCTAGGTTATGACTTGATTTAATCCTAGTAAACTTTTCATCTAATAAACTACATTATATTTGAGTCCATTAATTATATTGGTTTATTATAAGTTGTTTTTTCTTAGCTGTAAATTATAACTAGGGGGAAAGTAATAGTAATTTCAATGTTTAAGAATAGCTAAAAACAGTGATAATAGTAAAAGTAAGATAACAAAAAAAAAGTGTTTTGAGTAAGACAAAAAGAAATTAGCGGTATGCAGCCTGGCAAATTATGATTAGTCGTTGGGTTAAGAGTAGAGAGATTTGCTAAACCAAACCAATTCAACTCACAATATTATAAAAAAAGGCTGTCCATGTTTGATGTTGTTGTTGTTGCCTAAACTAATCTCATTATTATTATAACGATGATAACTCAAGTGATCACCCCACTGATCATTATGTTTTTTGTCCTAATCATCATAACAAAGATCGCATTATGGAAAGTTTAAATAAAATACTCGATCCAATCTAGAGTACGAACATAGGAGTCAAACAAAACTTGACTAAACTGAGAATAACGTCTTACCATGACTACACAAACTCAACGGCTAAACTTTGTTCAGTGCTAATAATAATATTTTCAGTCTTTTAAGCCTTTTAGATGGGCCTAATAAAGTAATCTATCTACACAATTTGGGCTTTAATATCTTTCAATTATATGGAGATTTCATGACAATAACAAAATAATCAATTATACTAAATAATAATTCCTATTTTACTATGCATAGTGTGTTCTTTGCCAATGTATCATTGTTTAGAAAATATTGGCAAAATTATTATTTTTTAAATTAATTTATCTAGAAGAGAAAACTAAGGAAAAATCTACATCATTAATTAAAAAACGCGTAAAAAAATAAAAACAGATCATAACAAATCAAACTATAATAAATTGCTTGACCAGAAAATCCGAAACATATGATTTTAAATTTTAAAACTTACCAAAAACAAAAAAAAAAAAAAAATGAGAGAACACAAAACCAACAAAATTATTAATTACAAAACTTTATATTTACCTTAAAATAAAGTCTCTAGCCGCCAATAGGAATATTAGCTGGCCTTATTCAATGTTGGTTTATTATTTGTTATATATACTAAAATAACGTAGTTTCTTGGAAATGCGATGATTCACTTTTTTCTAGGAGACCAAGTCTACACAAAGTCTTCTATAAAATCATTTGGGGCTAAAAGTCCCAAATAATCAAAATCATTTGATCGTAAAAGATGTTCAAAGTTGCAAGAGCCTCACAGTATTTGGCTATCACCGGTGCTGGTATCGAAGACATAAAGCTTTCCAAGAAGTCATGGGTGTTTCCATGGCAATCTTGCACCGTCTTCGACGTTTCTCCGGTGAACTATACTTTCAAAGTTCAGGCCATGAGTGCGGAGAAGCTCCCTTTTGTTCTCCCGGCTGTTTTTACGATTGGCCCTCGTGTCGATGACGATGAAGCGCTTATTCTATACGCTAGGTTGATTTCTCCTCATGACAAAGAGTCTAATCATGTTCATGAGCTTGTTGAAGGTGTTATTGAAGGAGAGACTCGTGTTCTTGCTGCTTCTATGACTATGGAAGAGATCTTTAAAGGTAAACCACAAATTCAAGTATATGTTGAAGTTAGATTTTCGTGTAGCTTAGAAATAGTCTTTGACTAAAATGTAAGATTGATTGGTTTTTAAGTTCGTTGAAATGGTCATATTTGGAGTTCTCTTTATTCATGAAATGCACATTAAACACTTTTATATTGTTATCTAGGGACATTTTGTGGAAGTTTTGGTTAAAAGAGTTTTTTATTTAATGGATTTGAAGGTACAAAAGAGTTTAAGAAGGAGGTGTTTGATAAGGTTCAACTAGAGTTGAACCAGTTTGGTCTTGTAATCTACAATGCTAATGTTAAGCAGCTCGTTGATGTTCCCGGACATGAGTACTTCTCTTACTTGGGTCAGAAAACACAAATGGAAGCGGCAAATCAGGCGAAGATCGATGTGTCTGAGGCCAAGATGAAGGGAGAGATCGGTGCTAAGGAACGGACTGGTCTTACGCTTCAAAACGCGGCTAAAATAGACGCGGAATCAAAGATCATATCGATGCAGAGGCAAGGAGAAGGGACAAAAGAAGAGATTAAAGTCAAGACTGAGGTTAAAGTATTTGAAAATCAAAAGGAAGCTGATGTGGCTAAGGCCAATGCTGAGCTAGCAATGAAAAAAGCTGCTTGGACTAAGGATGCTCAGGTGGCTGAGGTTGAAGCAACTAAAGCAGTGGCTTTGAGAGAAGCTGAGCTTCAGACTCAGGTTGAGAAAATGAACGCATTGACGCGAACAGAGAAGCTCAAAGCCGAGTTCCTTAGTAAAGCAAGTGTTGAGTATGAAACCAAGGTTCAAGAAGCAAACTGGGAACTATACAATAAGCAGAAACAAGCAGAGGCGGTTCTATACGAGAAGCAAAAGCAAGCTGAAGCACAGAAAGCTGAAGCAGACGCAGCCTTCTATACAAAACAGAGAGAAGCAGAGGGACTTGTTGCTTTAGCAAGTGCTCAAGGGACTTATATCAGAACCCTCTTAGACGCTGTTCAGAATGACTACTCTAGCCTAAGGGACTTCTTGATGATTAACAATGGCATTTACCAGGAGATCGCTAAGATTAACGCACTCGCGGTTAGAGACTTGCAGCCCAAGATTAGCGTTTGGAACCACGGTGGAGAACAAGGTGGTGGTAGTGGGAATGCTATGAAGGATATAGCTGGACTTTACAAGATGTTGCCTCCGGTTCTTGATACGGTTTACGAGCAGACCGGGATGCAGCCACCGGCTTGGATAGGTACTCTACGTGGTGCAGAGTCTAAGCAAGTGACGCCACCTCAACAGCTAACAGGTTGAGGTTTTGGATAGTGTCATAATATTATCGTTTACTTGTGATTCAAGTTACATCCCGTTGGAAAACTTGGCTTATTCTTTTAGTGTTTATTTTGGGAAGTGGATGTGTGTATGTGTGTGCGAGCTTTGAAAATGAGATAAAATAATAAACAAATTAAAGAGAGTATTGGACATTCATCAAATCTTGAGTGGGTGTTTTAGAGATGTTTAGTGTCTCTAGGTAAACATTCTCTCACATTTTAAGACACATTGCTTTTTTATGTTTTGTTTTGTTTTAGTTCTTCTAAAAATGTAAAAACACCCGACAAAATTGTTGAATGGGAGATGCTCTTAAGGAATTTGTGAAAAGTCTCACTTGGTATTCTAATATCATTTGTCAAAGTCCAAATTTTTGGAGAGAATTTGGCAAACTCAATTTCATATTATACAAATGCCTTTAATGAAATGAAATTACATAAACTTGGTCATCGTCAACATTTAATATAATATGTATGTATACGTAAACATTCGTGGTTACGATGGATTTGGTGTGTTGACCCCAAAAAACAAAGAGGATGTATCTGGTGTGTGATTAACTATGATTTTAAAAATTTTGGTCTTATATATATGGTGTACTTATTTATAATTTAAAAAAAAAAATTATTTAGCCTAAAATTGCAGTTGTTTAAGTAAGATAAACGGATTGCACCGTGTTATATTTACCATTCATATATTATAGTTTGTAACTGCGTATTAAAAAAAAAAAAAAACTTTACCATCAAACCAATAGGGAACTGTTTTTATATTAAAAAAAATATATTTTGATACATAGCAGTTTTGTTGTTTGCTTCAAAACTAGAATGGTCTATTTCGTTTCGTTTACAACATCCATTCAAAATATTTCCTTTGATATATTTGTGTAGGCACATATAACTCCAAAATAATATTAAAAATATACATTAAATTTTAACAAAATTGAAAAAACTTGCAATTACAAGCTACAAAAAAAAACTTTTATAAAAAGTCAAGAATGAAACATTCTACACAATTTAATTCTTTATTTATTTTTTGAGTGTATGTATATATTTTACACTCGTTTGTGAAATTTCATGAACATTTCTCTGACAAAGATCTTCTAACATGTAGACGACTATCTATATAAGCACTCACGAATATGTATCAAACTCATTCACAAACTTAAATCATCGATCAAACATGTTCAAGGTTGCAAGAGCGTCACAGTATTTGGCAATCACCGGTGGTGGTATTGAAGACATCAAGCTCTCCAAGAAATCATGGGTGTTTCCATGGCAAAAGTGCACCGTCTTCGACGTTTCTCCGGTGAACTACACTTTCAAAGTCCAGGCCATGAGCGCAGAGAAGCTCCCTTTCGTTCTTCCTGCGGTCTTCACCATCGGCCCTCGTGTTGATGACACTGAAGCCCTTATTTTGTACGCTAGGTTGATTTCTCCTCATGACAAACAGTCTAATCATGTCAATGAGCTTGTCGAAGGTGTTATTGAGGGAGAGACTCGTGTTCTTGCTGCTTCCATGACCATGGAAGAGATCTTCAAAGGTAACTCACAAGTTTTGTTTTGTTTTGGTCAAAACATAGATTAAACACTTTGCGTAAAAACAGAGTTTTTGCTTTTATGGTTTTGAAGGTACAAAGGAGTTTAAGAAGGAGGTGTTTGATAAGGTTCAACTAGAGTTAGACCAGTTTGGTCTTGTAATATACAATGCCAATGTGAAACAGCTCGTTGATGTGCCTGGACATGAGTACTTCTCTTACTTGGGTCAGAAGACACAGATGGAAGCAGCAAATCAGGCCAGGATAGATGTGTCTGAGGCCAAGATGAAGGGAGAGATCGGTGCTAAGGAACGATCAGGGCTTACGCTTCAGAACGCCGCAAAAATTGATGCGGAGTCAAAAATTATATCGATACAGAGGCAAGGCGAAGGGACTAAGGCAGAGATCAAAGTAAAGACTGAGGTTAAAGTGTTTGAGAATCAAAAGGAAGCTGATGTGGCTAAGGCCAATGCTGAGCTTGCTATGAAGAAAGCTTCTTGGACCAAGGATGCTCAGGTGGCTGAGGTTGAAGCAACCAAAGCAGTGGCCTTGAGAGAAGCTGAGCTTCAGACTCAGGTCGAGAAAATGAATGCTTTGACTCGCACAGAGAAGCTCAAGGCTGAGTTCCTTAGTAAAGCCAGTGTTGAGTATGAAACCAAGGTTCAAGAAGCAAACTGGGAACTATACAACAAGCAGAAACAAGCTGAGGCAGTTTTATACGAGAAGCAAAAGCAAGCTGAGGCGCAGAAAGCGGAAGCAGACGCAGCGTTCTACTCAAAGCAGAGAGAAGCAGAGGGACTTGTTGCTTTAGCCAGTGCTCAAGGGACTTATCTCAGAACTCTCTTAGACGCTGTTCAGAATGACTATTCTTGCCTTAGGGACTTCTTGATGATTAATAATGGCACTTATCAAGAGATCGCTAAGACTAATGCCATGGCTGTTAGAGACTTGCAGCCCAAGATTAGCGTTTGGAACCATGGTGGAGAACAAGGGATCGGTGGTGCAGGTGGGAGTGGGAATGCTATGAAGGATATAGCTGGACTTTACAAGATGTTGCCTCCGGTTCTTGATACGGTTTATGATCAGACCGGGATGCAGCCACCGGCTTGGATGGGTACTCTAAACAAGTAACGCAGCCTCAACAGCTAAGAGGTTGGTCATGGTTTACTTTGGTGGTTTACTTGTGATTGAAGACACAGCCCAAGAACATGTATATTCGTATTCGTGTATATTTAAATAAAAAATGTGAGACATCAAAGTCTAGTAGAGTTCAAACTGGATTGGAGAAGTAAAATGCCAGAGAAGGGCTTCTTTGAAAAGCTATATATTTTACAAACCTAGCCATAATAAACAAGAACAAACTAGAGAGCAGAAGACAAACAAATCGACAACGTATTTTGAAGAGAAATGGACAACTCACTGATACATATAGATTAGATATCTATATCAATAAAAACTGCTTCTCGCTCTCTCACCTCTCTATGATCCCCAGTTTGGAATATTGGCCGTGGCTTCATTTATCATCTTTACTAGTGTTACCTGCCAATACATTAATGAAAAAAGCTGAGTTCTGTTTGTAATCATATGTAGGGATGGTATGCTACAGTGTAATCCTATGCCAGATTGGCCAAGCCTGATCCTCGAAATCAGGCCTGACGAGGGATCGGCTCGTGTCAGCTTCCAAGCCTCTTAGGATGGAACAGGTTCGGCAAAACACAGCAACAACTCTAGTCCTAGGAAATTTGCTTTCAGAAAATGAAAGCAGGACAAACATACCACACTTTGTGAAACACCAGGTGGAGGCATGGTAAGGTTCCTTGGTGGTGGTGAGCGATCATACGATCTTTTGTCAAATCTCCATTCTCCAATTTTCCCATAGGTTAGTTTACCCTGAAATCAGCACAATTATTCTTTTTACATCCTCCCTTGTCAATTTCAAATCTAACTTATAATGGTCACTAATTTCCCGCAGCTAAATCTAAGTAAGTTCAGATCTTGGCAGTTGGCAATCATATGCTAACTTCAATAATCAAGTTTGTATTTATCATTTTCGTCCTATTGTTCATAGATCATAATCAGAACTTGAAATCTTACCTTCATATCATAGTCACATCCATAGGTGTAGTGTATGATGTACTTGTCACCAACCTCTGTATCCCATGGAGGCTGATACATATCACAAATACAACCAAACCAAAGTTTCTGATCACTTTAGTTAATGCATCGAAAGACTCTTATCCATGTAACAAGCAAAAATATAAGATCCAGGCCATAACTATTACACTCTCCCTAACTATCCATGTAATAATGCAAGCAAATTCAAAAAAGTTCATGCAAGGTTTTTTCACCGTCACACCGACACACTCTAGATTTACAATTTCTTGGAAAACTGCAACTAATAATTCAGCTCATGCAAATAGGCATGGTGATACACTTTTCCCACCATTTTATAACCGCAACACGCATATAAACAATATACAAAGTTAAAAGAAAGCCAAAATGTGTGTATAGGGTTACCTGAATCATGAAGTCTTTGTGTAGAGTATTGCTAACACCATGCAATGCAGATGAAACAGCATAAGCATACCTATACTTCCAGAAAAGATAAACAGAAAAGTTCCCGTCAATTCTACCCAATCGACAATCTAAACAACACATTTGATATTAAAAAGTAACTCCTATTAAAAGATATTTTACATTTCAAGAACCCATCCAAACGCCTTGTCTGCTTCAGGATCCTTCTTCATAGCCAAAGAAACATTCATCCAAGTTGGAGCAATCTTCTTTAAAGCATCCTAGAAAGCCACAAAATCTAAACCTTTAGAGAGAGACTCCCTTTTAAAATCTGATCCCAAACTATGCAACAATAACAAACCTTTCCAACAATAACAGGAGAGTTTCCTATCGGGTCAATATTAGTAACCGGTCCTCTCTCTTCTGGATAATACTTCCTCAACACCTTCTCATACTTTTTCGGTTCGATGTAAAAGAAAGGAAACGCAGCTGCTAGCCCATCTTTAGCTAAATTTGGTATAGGTTTAACAATGATATGATCAGGCTCAGACATGAGAATATAACTGCATACACAATCAAAAACAACATATCAGCACAAGAATCAAACCCCTCTAAGTTAATAACCAAAACAAGTTCTAAAAGTCAAAAGCATCTCAACTCTTCTTTAATATCTGCTTGTTGAAGCCATTGTACAAATGCCCCTGGCCTGTTCAATACTATATAACCCTGCAAAGTTCAAAACTTTATCGAAACCACACTCAATTATATTTCCAAATCAAACAAAATCTCAAAACTTAAGGTTACCTGATCCACACCATCAGGTAAAGGCTGAGCAACAAAAGTAGGAACCTCATCCATATACTGATCCGGTCTACCGGAATGCAAGATCCGGGTAAACCCACCCATTTCAGAACCGGGTCCGGCCGAAGCCCTAACCTTTTTGAACCAGTAGTACATAACTCTACATTGCCAAGTGTTGTAGACAGAATCAGACGCCGTCACGGCCGTGTGGAAAAGCCTCGGCCTTTTACCGTCGCTGCGGATTCTGGATCCGCCGCCACGAGGCAATTCGATGAATGAGTCAACGGAGTCATCGGAAGATGAAGATCGGCCGGGGAAGCCTTGTTTGAGAGGAGCATTGGCGGAGATGATGATGTTGTAAGTGATTAGAGCAACGGAGAGAGTTATGAGAAGTGGGTAGAACAGAGTTCCACCACAACCCATTGAAGATTGAGATTGGGATTGGGATTGGGATTGAGTTCGTTTGTTCAAAGTCGTCGTCTTTCGTCTTCTTCTGTATTAGTTTCTCTAGTCGCCAGTTGGTGGAATGGTGAAGAAGATACCAAAGATGGCTCATATATTTATAACTTCTAATTGCCTCGTTCAACAGTCTTCTTCTTAATGTTATTATTATTCAAAGCATATCATTTAATTGATTACTACATTTGAAAGTTTTGCTCTTTGTAGTTTTGGTTTTATACAAGGCAACTATTTTTGTTAACACAAGGTTCAAAGTTTGTCTATAAGATCCTAAATATGTAGTCAACTTGTTGTTGTGCACCACCTAGATTTGGTAATAGTAACACCAATACAAAGTACGAACCACTGATCTAGGTGGTGCTCAACGAGGAGCAATTGTGAAGAAGATAGAATGATGGGATGTACACTTGATTGCCTTTTTGCTACATTGGCTGCTTGGCATGTCTTCGTTTTTGATTCCAAACAGAATATTTTATACAAAAGTCAAAAGTTTGGTTTCACCTAAGAAGTTGACCACAGCTATCGTATTCATTGTGAGTAAAGAGTTCCATATGTTCAAGTTGTCATCTTCAGACCCTAAAAGTCTATTATTGGGTTAACAAACTACACTTTGAATCTTGCATGCCTTAATAGCCCCCTCCTCTATAATTTGTTACTAATCTAATATATGCACTTATGTTTATAGCTGAATACAAAATCTGAAATTGTACGGATTGGGGAATATAACATAATAAAAAAGGAAAAAAGAAATGGAGATGTTTTGGTTAACACCACCAATACCATTATAGTGAACATCAAAAGCTCAGAGAATCAATTACCACTTAAGTAACAAAAATAAACTATCATTCTTCAAGAAGTGTTCTTTCCACCCTTTGCTTTTTGCTCCCAGCAGTCTCTCTCACTCTCTCTGCATAAAACATAATCACATCTTAAAGTAAAACACAAACCAAATGAATCTCTTTAGTGAGTACTACTTTGATTGGTTTTTCATATTTACCCTCTGACGTTTCGACTCTGGAGGTGACGGTGCTCCAGGTCTCCGACTTGAATTTCCTCGCTCTGCACCTCCCTCCTCCTGCACCCCAAATTTATCAGAAACCAACACTCGTGTACACATTTGTGTATTCTCACCAGGTTACCATTTTTCAGATTTTATTAACCTTACGCACCAGTATTTGATTAGGATTACCAGTTTTACTACTACTCAGTACTCATCTGTATTATTCTATACACAACCCAAAGCTCTAAGATAATAGTCTATATCACTATACAAACCCTCCAACATGAATTCCCCACAAGTCAATGAGATGTTGCATATGGCTTCTAAAGGAAATAGCTACGTATACAGTGGAAAAAATAGTGGAGATAATGAAGATTACCTCTCTTGAAGAGGCTTGTCTAGTGTTATTGCTGCCTCTGCCTGTAACAGCTTCACCAGAGCTTGAGGAGGCTACATTTTGAGAAATAAAGGGCATGATCTGCTGAAGAACACTTGATATGAAATTCCCTTCATCCGTCGTAGTTACTGGCTCAACTTGTGCATTTGCAACAGCTTCCCTTGGTTCTGTGGCCTCTGTGGAAGATGGATTTGCTGCAACCTGAGACTCCGAGCTACTGGCTTGGTGTTCTCGACGAGCTGAGGGCCTCAAAAACTGATTGATTCTGTTTCTCAATTCAAACAAACGACGACCACCAGGGGGAGAACTGCTATCACCTACATGTCTCAGAAAAGCAAAGATTTATGACATAGCCTACCTTTAGATAACACATCATCTACCTAGTCTAAGAAGATCGAAGCTAAATAAGCAAAGGGAAACATCAGATCAAACATAACATAAGACAACCCAGTAAAGATGAGAGGCAACCAACGTAAAGTATCATCTTATCAACAATATAATAGATAATTCAGTGAAATAGTGTTGTAGGAAAGTGAAAATCATGTTAAAACTAACCTTCTCTTCCTGGAGTACCGGTGCTCTGTTGTGACCTAGAAGATTCTGTAACAGGCTGATGTACTCCATCCAATCCAGTAAAACTACGTTCACCTAATGATACCTGCTGATATCGAGTAACAACAGGTATAACTAAGGCCACAGGATTTCGAGGAGATTCAGATGGACCTCTCGTTGAGGGGGCAGAATCAGTAGTGCTGCTGGGTGCAGAAGGGACTGACTGCCCAGGGGTTTGTTGTGTAGTACTTTCTTCTCTCTGGTTGGTCCCACTGGCGGGCACCCAAGATCCTGATTTAACATATCACCAAGACAAATCCAGATATAAGATTAAAAACAGGAAATGACACACTATACTTAGAAATGAAGTCTATGAATAGCACCTGTACGTATTCTTATCTCAATATTTCTTGGGGCAGAGGCAAGTGATTGTCCAGCAAAAGGGTTAGAATGTGCGGTTCCTGCTTGTAAGCCTCCAATACTCGTCCCCTGCCGAGTGGACTACAAAAATTTAAGGTAGACACAAAGGTAAGGGTGAGCAGGACAAGTAGACACGCTGGTAAGGATGAGAGAAACAGAGAGACAGACCGCCAAGGGATTTCTCCTTGTGGGGGATATGAACACTGCAGGCCCAGCATTAACAACAGCATCATCCTGATATTTAACATAACAAGTGTCATATAGATCTGTGGGTGTATCATATTATGAGTTAAAATTATATGTGAATGTGACAAAAGTTGTAGTATTTAGATCCCGAAATGTAGCAAAAGATAACTCACAGGTGTTTGTCCCAAACGAAGCATCATGGTGGCACGACCAAGCTCCAGGAGTGAAATGCCTAAATTCTCCAAGAGGGATCCTGATTGAAGCATGTTTGACTGGCACAACCTTCGGGTTGACGGATCGGTCACATTCACATGATCCACAAGCTGCCTCGAAAGATTCTGCAGAAGGGAGATACAAAACAGTTATGCTAATTACCATGGATTTGAATAACTAATGCCAGCAAGTCAGTCTGTTAACTTTAATATTTATGACAATGCAACACTCACGCAGAAGAAACGGTTGTGCCCAGGGCACTAAAAATCAAAAGTAATAAGTTTCTAAGGCTTGGAGGTTTCTGTTAAAAGTTTATCTAAGTCCCATAAATGTATGTAATAATTTCCGCATTGCTTAAGACTATAAGCAAAGATAAAAAAACATAAGTGGCTTTATCAAAAAAAAAAACGTGAGATAAAAGTAAAAGAACATACAGATAAGCAATCTGCTACTTCACCGATCAACAATTGCCTTGTTGATTGCAGCACTTCTGCCAAATGAGATGGTCTTGGAATCCGACTCTCTCCGGTGGTAGAAGCAGAATCTTGCACATTGCCCATTGAATTTTCAGAATCTTGCAAGTTATTAGCATTGCTACCTGCAAAATGCACAGTACAACTATTAGACTCTAAAAACTTTTTTTGACACAGAACCAATCATTAAAAAATTAGTCTTAACCATTAGCAGCAAATTCTTGTCTCAGATGATTTAGATATTCCGATAAGGTTGTCAACGAATCTGGAATCACCTGCAGTGGAAAACGTATAGCGTTTTCATGACCAAAAAACATGATGTGCCTTACAAAAATTAAGTAACACGAGTAAATCATGGAAAACAAGAAAGAGTACTGCTGGTTGTGAAGATGTCAAGGGAGTAGACGTCTGGTTCACTGTATTTGGTGTCGCAGATCGCCCTCCGGAAGAATCTCTTGCAGAGGTAGGACCAGAACTCCGAGATAGCCTCTCATGAAGAGGACCCTGAAAAGAAAGAGAACTCTCTTACATTCAAAATCGATTTACAGAAAAAGCGGCAAATTATAGGCAATTACCATAGCTTCAATCCCTTCGATACCACCTTCTGGATTAGAGATCCCAAGTGAACCCAGAACAGCTGAAACTATCTGCCAGACATGAGACATAACTCATTAAAAGGATCACATCCAGTCTGACATACAAAAATAGAAATAGAACAAACAGATAAAAGAGGGCATACCTGACCAAGATCTGAATAGACTCCATCTGCTTGCTCAGCAATATTGAAGGATCCTACCACAACTCGTGATCTTTGACTTCCCTGGCTGTCACCAGCACTCAAAGCAGGATCAGCCGCTAAAAAAAACAGGTTCTCCACTTAGCATGTTGAAATAGAATCTCACAAACAGCATTCTCAAATACTAAACTATCATGAAAGAAATTCAGAGATTTTTAAGAGCAGTTATGGGGACCACAAAATTGTAATGGAACTTGAAACTACCTGCATTACTAGTTGAACTCTCTGATATTGGTGGAACAGGTTGTCTGACAACTAAATGCAGAGTGTGGCCATCTTCAACATCTAAGATAGACCGATTAAAGAATTTTACCAGTAAAAGGAAAAGGAATTACTCTATCATACGACACTGGAACTGTAAACCAAGGTTTCGACAAACTAAATTAGGAAACTATGGTACACAACTGAAAGGAAATCACTAAGAAAGAACCAAGGCACCACGCTGGAAAGTACAAAAGGATACGATAGGCTGATAGGAGTTGATCATCCTTCATAACTTTTCCACGACATATCAAGCGCTGTTGTTCCGTAACGACACCAGTAACGGTAGCAACTTGCTCTTTCAATGCAGGAACAGGGACCTGGAATAAAACAAGAAAACATAATGAAAATATAAGAAAAAGCTACATAGGAAACAGATAAACAAGTGAGCACTGAAATAAGATATTAGCTCCACAATCGTAGTCAAAGCAACGATATAAGTAATAAGAAACTTCATTATGCAGCACATGCATGCGACCTAAGACAGACCAAACAGGTAGTATTCTCACCTAATGAAAATGAATTATATAAACAAACAATTACAAATTCATGATTTAGATAATGAAACATTACAGAAATGTCTATGAAAACGAGTACTTACACATTTATCAACATGTAAGGTGTAAGTCTGAGAATCCAATGTCTTTATCTTTATCTCAACCATAGCACCAGCACATTGAGATGCCTCAACCATAATTTCATCTTTTCCATTGTCTCCCATCTTTTTCAAATGCCTTTTTAACACCTGGAAACAAGAAACAAAAACGTATCAGCTTACATTTAGCAATCTCAGCTGCATGCAAACTTTGATCAAAATTGGCGTTACAAAAATGACTCATCAAACACACTGAGAAAAAACTCAACACCCGACAAATTGACAACTCGAATCTGTTTTCACAAAATCTTCAACAATCCTAAAACAAGCTTTCATAAACAGCACTAAACAATCTTAAATCATACAACTTGCAGGAGAAACAATGAAAATTCGTCAAGCTGGACACTTTCTAAAACCAAATTCAAGAGAAAAATCGTATCTTTAATCACACAAACGCATAAAAACAAAGAATAAAACTTGTGATCATCAAAGCAAACATACACACACACAAAAAAAAAAAGCAATCTTTTTATCTAATCACTAGTTAACAACGAAATTGAATCAATCACCAGTACAGAGCTCTAAACGTTTCGGCGACCCAGAAACCAAAAAAAATCAGAAGAAATCGATCTAAAACCCTAGAAAACGTACAAAAAAGGAATGATAAAATTAAGCAACCTAGAAGACAAAAATGATCGGAGGAGGAAGAGAATCGAAATCAGCTGAGGAAGAAGGGAAAGGATTCTTTAACCCTAAAAGAGAGTCCTTTCGCGGCTCCGAGAGACGATTCCGCGGCCAAGGAAGAAGAGTGATGAGAGCCTAAAGAAGAAGAAGAGAAATAATAAAAATTCGATTTTTATTTTTATTTTCTCAATTTTGGCTTTTAATATCTCACTCACGTGAATAATTGTTTGCTGATTCTTTTTTTTTTTTTTTTTGGTTGTGAATTTTCTGAGGCAAATAAAGTAATTTTGTTGTATTATTCATAGAATGGAAAAAAGAAATTTTGGTTTTTTTGTACAAGTATAGTAATAATATCTTTGACTTTGGCATTTTAGTAAAGTGGATATTAATTTTTGGTATATTTTTATTTTGATATAAATCAAGTTTTATGCTATTAAAAAGGTAAAAAGAATGATTCTTGAAAGAATTGTTGTGAATGATGATGGATTTTTTTTTTAAGAAGCATGAGTTGTAAATGTAAACATTTATATGAAAATGGTTTGAACAATAAAAAACAAGTGTTCTGAATAAAGGTTTAAAGTAAAATATCCTTTGAGTTTTAGCACATTAGTAAAGAGGCTAATTAATTTATTCAGATTTGGTATATTTTTTAATTTTCATAGAATCAGGTTTTATATTATTTAAAAAAAAAGTGGATTATAGTCATGAATATATTGTTTTCTTCCAGAATAAAATAATTTAAATGGAAAATAAAATTGGATAGATTTAAGACACAATATTTAGCATGTATTTTTTTTAGTCAACTATATTTAGTATGTTGACTAATTTTTTATTTTTTTTTGGGTGCAAAGTATTTAGTATTTTGACTAAAAAACAAATAATAGGTTTGTTCTCTACCTTGTTGTCTAAACACTTTTCTTTAATATGGAATTTATATAAAAAAAACCATTATTTTCCATCTTCACATGTACATGTGTTTCAAAATCATGGTTTGTGTTTGCAACTTCACATACTTACTACATACATGTACATCGTCGACTTTAGAAACATTAGCTGCAAATGTAATATATGGATCCTTTCTGTTCATGAACATGTCATTCATATATATACTTCGACTTATTAATTACCATTCACGAATCTATTGTTGTTTCTAATTAAACTACTCGTTGAAATATGAGATGCGATGTGCAAAAGAGTCAAATTATTAATAAAGGATTATTATCTTAAAGGAAAAAAAGGAATAGTGAATGAATGGCTTTTCGTGAAATTTTTGGATAATGTAATGAAATAAACCTTTCAATTCTGTAAAAGCCTATATACATATACCAAAGTTGGAGAGCTTATTTTCTAATTGGTGTCATTTTTTAAAATAATAAGTCATCCTGTTTTTTTTGCTAATTGTATATTAAGACAACATGTGAAAGGAAGACTTTCATAGTTTCATGGCCGAGTTTAAGTAAATGTCATGTCTTAAGGCAACACAAGAAGCACATTGAAGAGGATAGGGAGACACTAGATAAACTGATTGGGTTTGGGTTAGAGAAACAATATGGGCTTATGAGTAGAGAAAAAGAGATTACTAAATCTAAAAGCCCATCATCATTTGCATCCCTTCACCCACTTGGCCACTTCTGTTACCATTTGTTGTTATTGGAAGATGATAAGAGAGATAGAGGAGTCCAACCAAAGCTAAGGCCAACTTGAAATATAGCTTTTGTTTTGGCTGGATTAGCTGTTTGTGATTTGTACACAACAACGAGTTTGTTTTCTTTTGTAGCTTAGTCTCCCAATTTGTGCATGCATGGTTGGAACACTAATTTGGTTGGCTAGCTATTTTTGAACACGTAGTTTGTGAGCTGGTCCGCAAGTGGAGATCTCCTCTCATGGTTGCAAAGTTTGAATTAGAGAATGATGTATGTATGGAAAAGAGTAGAAACCATTTTAAAATAGTCAAGACGACCCAATATATGTTCCATCAAATGGGACAAAATGAGAAAACAGTCGCTCTCAATATGTGTATTAATGAAGTAACAGGTGAATCAATAACATGCACTTGGAACAACTTGTACATTGATCTGATTCATCGAACCCCAAACATCACTCATGTTTGAATATACCAACTTTAATGCTTTAGTTTTGATCCCACGAAATAAAATTATTACCAATCTTTGGATTACTATTTAGCACTTTTTCACTAGTCTTGAAGAAAACTGGTCAGTACAGCTATATATTAAGCCATCAAGAACTGTTTATAAAAAGAAATGATGAAAATATTCATTTATAATATAATAAGATGAAGATAAAAGTTCAGGATACGACATAGGACGAAATCAAAGTAAGATTATTTGAGAAAAAAGTATTGATTAGTTTAGTGACTGTTATTTAGAATTATTAAAATAGGTTTTCTATATCCATTTCGACTCGTCTAATATTGGTTATCTTTTTTAACGGTTATATTTATTCACGATTATATTCAAATAAGTTATCGATTAGTTATAATAAACATATTGCGTAAAAGATAAGAAAAAAAACTAAAAAGTAAGAATGAATTTTAATTTTCTTCTTAACAATTTTTTACATTATTTTCAGGTTATAAGTCTATTAATTTCATATACGGTATGTGTAATATCTATAGATTAAAAATCAGACTTAAACCATAAGTTTTCTCTCTCTTAACTCTCTCCGAACCTTTCAGAGAGAGAAACTCAACTTTCATTTTCGTTTTGTTTTCAAATAAAATCTGAGTTTTATATATTATCAGTTTCGTTCATGTTATAGTCTTCCGGTTTGTCCGGATTTAAAATCTCCGATGTATTGTCGGCCATATAGCTCCGACACCGTGTCGGTTTTCTATAACCTTTTGCTTGTTCTTCATGTTAACACTTTTTAAAAGAAGTGTTAAAATCTGGAAGCTTGTTGGATCTTTGTGTACTAAGTGCTTGAAATTTCGTTCAATTGATGGTAAACCCACACTCTTCCACATATGAAAAGTTATGAGTGATGGTTCTCGTTGGCCGATTAATTTCAAGATGATGCAGTTTGAAGGAATCGGAGTATGAAGAATTGGAATTCCAGTCGAGTTTGATAGTTCTCCGACGAATATTCCATTTCATCTACTGAGTTTTTCATTCTGGGAAACAAAGAAAATCCAGCCAGTTTCTTCCAGTAAACTTTTGCAAAAGGTGATGAGTACACATCAAAAGTTATCTTGAGTAGAAATCTGCGAAAATACTGAAGTTCCGGCTGACGAAACAAGATTCCGGCAAGGAACTGGTTCAGATCGGTGATGAAGTTACAGCTATACGTGGATCTACTCGGAATCACCACGTCTGCCCTACACGTGTTTATTTTTTAGTTAGTCTTATGTAATGCAAATGTGGTGATGGGCTTAAGATTTGTACTCTTTAAACTTCCCGTAATGGGCTTTATAATGAAACTTGGTCGACAAAAAAAAAAATCAGACTTAAACCATTTAAAAACACTTCGTATATTGATTCATTCATGAATACTTCCATTTTAACCGTTTTATATATTATAAATAAGAGTAACATTCTTGATAATATTGGAGGGGATCATACACAAATTTCGATGTTTAAACTAATGGAGAATACGATTAGACTACTCCCGAGAACGGAGGCTTTGGGTTTGGGTTATCAGTAAACACTAATCAAATAATTAGGCGCACCTAATTGGCTTTATCTCTTACCTGGAGTCTATTGTCCACTCTCTACCATATTAGTATTAATTAATTATTTAGATCCGTATTTTAATCAAATCATATAGTGTACTATCATCGATAATTTAATTGGGACGAATAATTATATTTTAGCTTTTATAATAAGGTTTTAATGAATCGGATACACCTTTTCATTAGTCATACAATTTGGAATGCTAGCTTTTAATTTGATCTTGTGGCGTACAAACACTTCCTAATTAGCTCCATAATTTAAAATGATGATAATAATGAGCATAAAAATCACATGACGCATGTTATATCTCGACTCCATTGTCGGAATTATGTTATCTCTAATCCAAATTTATTAGTTTTAATTTTCACTTAATCACTATAATTTGATTGATATATTTTTTGTAATCATTTTTTATTTATTTATAGTTTCCTATCACTAATTAGATATATATACATGTGTCTTGATGGATGTTATACGTGTCAAATTGTTTAATAGTTAGGCCATTTGCTTAAAAGAAAGATTTGCTTGTCTCTTAACTTTATCCAACATGACAAAACATTGTTATGTGCTTTCATTGTTTATTAGCCTAATTTAGTAGTTTAATTAATAAGTTTTCTAGATTCGTCGGAATTAACCGTTACAATGGGTGCGGTGCAGTGAACCACATTTGTATATAATAATTGTGTACATTCTAATTTTTTTTTTTCTTAACGCCATGAAACTAATGTGGACACTTGTAACTATTTCGTCTTTCGTTAGTAGAAGCAACTTGAACGTAATGGTTTTGATATGTGGCAGCTTGAGGTAACAGCAAAAAGCTTTGTCGTAGGAAAATATCATCAATCGAAAAAAAGGTTTAAAGATTAATAAACAAATCAAGATTTGCCAAAGGAAACAGGTTTATATAAAATCTAATCAAACATGCCAGCAAATTAATGATTGGTGGCAAAAACAATACAAAGCTTAGACAAAGTTTGTAGTTTGTAATGTGTTAGTGGTTAGTGTTGTCCCATATTCAAATTTGATTTTTAATAAAAACATAATAGAATTTTTTAGATATTTATTTGTTTGTTTTAGTTCCTTTTGAAAAAAAAATTCTTCATAATTCATTCATGTATTTTTTTACACTCTAGGTATTCTTTTATTTTATATATTTATTTTGAAATTAATATTTCTCTAAACCTCTAGAATTTAAATTGCTCAACATTTAGTTTTGGTTATTTTTAATATCATAATGTCAGTTACTTCATTTTTTATTTAGTCATTTTAAAATCCCTCCCAAATTTTAATTATAATCATGTTACCTTTATCTTTACTACTAATATAGGATATTTATTTTTGTTTGTCACACTATTAAAAAATATATTTTTTTTTGTTACCCTACTAGCTAGAAAGATATTTGTTTTTGTTTTATTTTTGATATAAAAAAACTACTAGAAAGATATTTGTTGTGGTGCTTTTTCTCACAGTCGGGCCAATCTAGTCAAATACAAAAATTCATTGATCGAAGACAAATCATACATAAAACTTAATTATTTGTATAATGAAAAGTCTAAAAGCGAATGACTTGACTCCGTGGCCTAGAAGACTTGCTTTAAGACGACTAGTAGTAGTCATCAGTTGGAAAGTTTTGAAGCAATGTTTAAAGCTCTCAACTGCTTCGTTATACATATTCTAGTTTCTCATGGTTTTGGTCAAATATATTTATAGGTGTCACATTAATGCATCTAATACTACTAGTTCAACTATATTGGTAGTTTAATTTTAATGTACTTCCACAAATTGTATATTGAAATTGTTGAAACTACATGATTCATACATCTAAAGAGAAAATGTAATCTCATTTCACTGTAATATATATATTTTACATATATTTCAAAGTGTATACAAAAGAAATACTAAGTAATAACCTCAAACTTGCACCAATTACTTTTTTTTTACCTATCAATAATGAGCGTGTTCGTTTGGTCACCGCAGGCGGCAGACGCAACGCTTTTGATCGCTGGATTAAATCGACGTTCAAAATTATTAAGTGCAGGACGTTGTGTTCCCCGCTGCCACAACTTACGGCGATCAAACGAACAACAAGATTTGCCGCAGGTATCTGCGGCGACCAAACGAACAGACTCAATATATATATATATATATGCTTAAGAAAGCGAATGATATGTTTTTTCAGCTATTCCACCAAAAACAATCCACTGAGTGCATCAAACTGATGTAACAGTGTACTGCTTATTTAACCCACAATAAACAGTAGCCAACTAAGGACAACACTAAAATTTCAAAAAATATTGTACCAAAAGCCTAAAAATAGTATTAAATAAGATGATTATGAAATAATATAAAAACCAACTAAAGTTTTTTTTCACTTTCAACTATTCTTGATATTTTGCAATGTTGCAATACACTTTATCCTCTTGGATTTATTGTATATGTTATCTTTTATATGGTGACAAAAATATCAATCTCCATTCTAGATTTTTTTTAAAATAAAAAGTTTCATAAAAGCCATAATAAACCGTTGTCTTCTATATATATACCTTTCACTGAAAATATATTTTGTGGCTACGTAAAACAATTCTAAAGCAAACTGATAGACTAGGTTAACCCGAGAATAAAACCTTACCTTATTCGTGTTATACTCCTTTTACCCAAAACAAGATGAGAGAATAAAACATTACAAAAGTAATATTTTTATGACAGTTAAAAAAGCGAGAAAGAAAAAAGAGTGAGTGTTATTTTTTTGGTCGTTTGGTAAATATATATTAATAAAATAAGAAAGGATACAACTCAAAATATAATGGAAGTCTATGAAAGACAAAGATTTTTCCGGAGTCTAAAGCTCAAATAAAGGAAACGAAATCGGTGAACAGCTAAAAATTCTCAGAAACAAAGCGAAATCAAGAGAAAAATCAAAACATAAAAAATAACCCGATAAAAGACGATCCTTTAAACTAAAGATAAAAGCAATAAGGTAAAAGACGATCTCTTAAACTAAAGAAAAAAACAATAAGATTTTTGAACCATATAAAACACACTAATCTTAATATGCCCAAAAAAAGAGTGAATGTATGGGTTTTTTTTTTTTAAGTGAGTTTAAGGTTAAAAGGTAGTGGATTCAATTTTTCCCATAGATTTTGGCAAAGAAGAGACTGCGACTACTACTAAAAATCAATCTCTGACAGGCTGACACATAATTGTGTTCAAGTCACGCTCCCCTCACAGCTGGGAACATTATCATCACTTCATCTCACCATCACCATGTGCATTTATGTGCTCATCACTCTCACATATATAAACTTCTATACCACTACTACTAATCTTTTACATTTTAGTTTTAAATATTCTCTAAACACGTCATTATTGAGCATTTAATGAATCAATTACAAAGGAATAAGTTTACTTTCTTAGAGGTATTTAAATTTAATAAACTGAGGCAAGAAGGGTGCATTTTTCTAACAATAGTAAGATTCTTTTCATAAGATATAAATTATGATAGTGATGAAACTAATCAAAGTATAAATGGAACATTCATAAAAGAAAACATCAAAAGTAATTTCGTTCAAAGTCAGCAAAGTCGTACACACGTATTTTGGCTGCGGGAAACTTCGTACGTCTTTGTCTCCATATTGCAACATAACGTTGTAAGTTAAAATTTTCATACTAGTCAATGCACGACGTTACGTTGTAAGTTTCTAAACAAAAATATTATGTTGCTCAAGGCAATGAGTTGTTATGACCACTTCCTCCACATATTGCTATAGGCCTATAGTCAACTCTATATAACTTATTACACTATAAAACAATTGGGTAATTAATATTAGGGTTTGCATCAAATACGAAATGAACATAGATTGTGTTGATATCATATAGACATTTTACTTTGTTTGAATATATAGATTGTGTCATCATTTTACCGACTTACTAATATTCTTGTTTTTATTGTTGTTCTATATATGTTAGGGGTCATACGTTGACGACAAAATATGAATATACGTTAAACAAGCAATTCATGTAAACACGTTAAAAAGGTTCGTCGGCCAAAAAAAAAAAAAATGTCGACAGCACTATATATTATGAAGCACATAAGTTTTGAATATTTTGTCAATGATTCGTATTCTTTGTGTTTCTTCTTGTTGGAGAAGGGATGCTAATAATTAACTATTATTCGTAAAGTTTATGTTTAGAGACAATATTTTTCAAATGATTCGTTTATATAAATTGACCGTAGAAAAATAAAACACCAAAAAGAGGCTTTTAATTTGTTATGTAGACTATGAATTAGGCACTGTTCTAAGTTTTATTCATGTTAAACATATGACGAATTTAGGAAGCTCAAGCATATGCTCTCAAATGATCCTAGCACCTAGAAGTACTTTTAGTCAATTTAAACATGCATTATAATTTATAAACCCTACTTTTGTAATTAACGTAAATATAAAACTAGCTAAGTAGATTTTATTCCTTTTTCAACTTGTATGTTTTGGTTTTAGTTTTAGTTTTTTTTTTTTATATGCTAAAGTTGATTTGCTTCTCCAAGTTTGGTGCGAATCTAAACTCTAAACGAGTTTGAGATCCTCTGTTCTTTGATGAAAAATATTCTCTGTTTTTGATTCCAATTAAAACTTACATATCATGCAATGTATTTTGAGTTATTTATAGATAATATATATGGTCGGTTTTATCTTATTAAGTATAGAAATTAGCATATTATTTATATTTTTCTGTTATCAAATTGCAAATTAACAATTTCCGAAAACATATCACAAAATGCTAAATTTGACTTGTTTAAGAAGTTTTGTGAGAATTTAACTCTAAATGATTTGATGCAAAAACGGTTATATTTGATTCCAATTACTACATATCATATTTCATTCTTTTTATTATGATTTTTAATAATCAATTTTATCATATTAAATATAGGAAATTTCACATATTTGGAAATTTTTGTTGTTGCAAAAAACTAAAACCAAAACATACAACTTCATACTCGTAAAACATATCACAAAAAATATTATTTTATGCTCATTATTTATTCTTATACATTTTCCAGTGGATAAAAAAAATTCCTCCAATGAAAAAAATCACTATTAGTAAATTTTTGTTGTGTAGAATAGAAGTGGTTTATCTAACAAATGCTAAGTAACCTATTCTGGTTTAATATCGTTCACTAAACATGGTTTAAAATAACAGAACAAAAGTTAAACAATAAAACAAACAAAAAAAGCAATAGTTATTTAATGTACATATTGGTAAGATCTTATAAAATCATAAAACTATATATTATACATTATCAAATCAAAACCAATATAGGTCGACCAAACAAAAAAAATCAAAACCAATAGACAATGGCAAATCCCGTAAATATTGACATCTATGTCAGGGTACATTCGTAAATCCCAAGCTGACCGTTTCCCCAACAAGCTTACGTGGCAGCCATTGCAAATGCCCACAAAAGCACTTCCTTGAGACTCAGTCTCAGCCGTTAGATCAGAATCCGATTCTTTTCGATACGGCAAGTTGAGATCCCAAACCCATCTTCACTTAACTATGGTTAAGTTAGTTAACCACAGCACATAAGTTTCAACTAAAACACGAAAAAGGTCACGCACTTTCTCGATAATTACGTAAATTGCCATCCATCTTCTTCTAGCTATATATTCTCCTTCTGAGACTCGCTAGGTTTGCCGAACCAATCACCCTTAGGGGACACTTTAAAGAGAGAGAGCCTTCTTCAAAATTCTCATTTCTTCAAATCTTCTTCTGGAAGCTTCTTCAATGGCGATTACATCTTCTAGAACAACCAGATCAAACGGAGGACATGCGCTCCGTTCCAAATCACCGTCGGGACGATTCTGCGGCGTTTACTCAAACGGTTCATCGTCGTCTTCAGGTTTCGCTTCTTCCACAAGCTCGAGTTTCTCGTCTCCGTCGACGGCGTTTTTCAGCAGCCGCAATCAGAACAACAACCACCACAGATCTGCTTCCCCGACGCGTGTGAATCTCTTCACATCAGCTCCGATGACGCAATCGTTTCGTTATTCGATCGATAACAGATCTATATCACCAAACCGATCCATCGCCGTTTCGTCTAATAAGCAAAGCAATCATAAGATCCCGGATTCGAGGAGGAGATGTATGTGTTCTCCGACGACGCATCCCGGTTCGTTCCGGTGTAGTCTTCACAAAAACGTAGCGAATCCTCACGGTCAAGGCGCGGCGGCGTATCCGACGAATAGTTTGAATATGCGTAGATCTGCTATGACGAATTCGCTGGTGAGAATCGGTGGTGTCGAAGGTGAATGGGTGAGAAGAGCTTTAACCACGTTGATACGACCGTCGTCACATCAACTCAAGAGACGAGCTGCGTATGAGCCTCGCCGTAGCAGACTCGCGTCCATGTCAAAAGCAGAAGATCTATAAGGAAAAAAAAAAATCTCTGGTTGTTTTCAGGTTTGTTCTTGTTTTTTGAAATCGGGCCACAGGAAAAAAAATATTCGTTTCTGGATGAGCTTTAGAGATCCCATCAAGATCCACGGCGGCGAGGGAATATTCTCAGATCTGCCATGAACGAGTCGAAATCGGAGCTGAGTTTTGTAAAAACGGTGAAAGGGAAACGACACCGTTTTTGTTTAGTTGGGTTGAAGGATGATGATGATGATGATGATGCATTTGTACATAACCACATATTGCTTATTGAAGCAGAGTAAACAAATTTCGCAAAGTCGAAAGTATCTAAAAAAAGAAATTGGAAAAATAGTATAGTGACGAATTGGGTAATTAAAATCTGGAAAAGGACTTAGTAGCAATTCAATTTTTTTTTGTTGCAATTCTTCACTTTCCATCGTTTTGCCTTGCCTTCACTGTTCCGTTTCAAGTCAACGTTCTCCATTCTCCGTTGACCCGTTCCGTTCGCCGTTAACCACCGTCGTCGTCGTCGTGTACGTTCCGTTTGTGCGTTCCGTTCCGTTATAATTCCCAGGTATGTGTCGTTCGTCGTGTCAGGTATGTGTTTTCGATTTATATTTTCGTTATTTTTTTTTTTTTTGAAAAACGTATGATCTGTTTTGTTTGGTTTTTAGTTTTGTTTTTCAGGTTTCGTACGATGTGGAGAAGAACGTTACTTACACTAACCGTTACGTTCAACTTTGGACTTTGAGAAAAAATGAAAATTGAACTTGAGAGAAAAAAATATCAAACCACCTGAAACACGTTACGAGAGGAGGATTTGGAACCAAATTTGTGAAATGTGATTCCTTAAATCGATTATTAAGGTTTAAGCTAACATAATGATGTGAAGGATTCAGACCATATTGGAAAAGTGAAAAAAAAAAAGATTCTTGTGGACATATATAGAAGTTGTGTGAATCTTTGGGTTTAGGTTCCTAAAAATGAATTTGAGGTTTAAATGTGGTGAAAGATTCAAAGAAGAATAGGCTCTCGAGAGATGACTGAAGTGGTAAATGATGAATCTTTTGAGGGTAAATTAGGAAAGTGAAAGATTCTCCGGGGGTATATTTGAGAAAAGGACAGGTAGAGGATGAAATTGAAATTTAAAAGAAAGAAACAAGAAATGGAGAAAAAAAAAAAAGATTACTACGGCTTCATTATCTTCGAGAGATTAAAGTTAAAGGTGATTAGTTTAGTTGATAAATCAATACACTTATATTGATATATAATAGTATCGTAATCTCTACGTACTAGGTTCTATAAGTAAACCTTTTCTCCACGTTACATGATGGATGATGCACCTTTTTGTTAATTTGGTTTAATAATATTAACCTAGATACGTAATTGAACAAAATTTCATACTAGTAATATAAACCGAATTACGTGTTATATTACTAGCTTCACAACCGAATTGTGATACTAGTAATATAAACCACAAAAATGCATTATCCATCGTTACTAGGTTAACGATTCGGTTTAATGATAGTAATTTTGTTTACAAAAAATGCATCATCTATAACAAAAAAATTTATACTGATAATTGGGAACCACAAAAAAATCATGCATAAAAAAAAAGAACTTTAAACTTAGATACGAAAAAAAGTTTTCTATTTATTATATGTTTATCTGCTCGAACAGATCCAACTATTGAACATAATGTCATACTACATGGTAACTAAAAATTTGAATGATATTATGAACAATACATCCTAAGTTATATACAAATTATATAATATCATTAAAAATAAAACATTGAGAATAACTACTCTAATGCGTTAGTTTCAATTCCGAGATCATATGCACTAAGGAAATCATCCGTCAGTCACATTCTTCAAAACTTTGACGGTAGCTTATATTTATACTATAGATTGACACTTTTTGCATTTGGCGACAAACTTTTTGCAATGGGAAGTTGTCTTTAGTTAGCAAGTAATTTCTTTAGGTTTTCTTATCCCATCAATGTTTTGTAGTTTTTAAATGGATTTTAACTTTTAGTTTTTGGTTTTTAGCTTTTGAGTTTTGGTTTTTCTAGTTTTTGTTGTAGATTTTAGTTTTTGAAAAATTTTAAAAATTTTAAAAATATAAAAAATAAAAATAATAATAAGAAAGACCACGTAATATTTGTTAGAAAACCATTAAAAATTATTTTTTGGATTCTAGAAACGAATTAGTAAAATCTTCTAAAATCTGATTTTTCTAAATTTTATGGAATCTACATAAAATCATGATAGACTAATTTTTTAGTTTTCTAAGATATACATTCATTTAAGGCTTTAATCTCTAGTGCTTATCCGTCAGACCGATTGTCAGTAACGTGTTCGTGGATTAACGTACTCGGTCGTGGAAGGTATCCTGATAACTATGATGTATTAGATGTCTTTTGTACATGCAGCCATAACTTTGAATAGTAATGTTACAAAATTTGGGCAAGATAATTTAATGATATAAGTTTTTGATGATGTTTATAAGATCGGTTGGGTCAATCACAAAAAAGGAAATAGTGATAGCATTTTAATATTTAATCATTAGCTATAATTTGTTAAGAAGTATATAATTTGATACTTGATTTGGCCTAATGTTTAACTAATTAATACATTAGATATCAAGTTAAGTATTTTTAATATATTTTATTACTGTAAATATTGAAACTTATGATGTAAAAGTATATTCTAATATATTTTTCATAGTATTTTATGAACTTTTGATGACTAAAAATATTCATTAATATATTGATTGATTATTTGTACCAATATATTATTTGATCCAATTTTTCCAATTGATTGTTAATTGCTTTTTAGATAAATGTATCATTTGTGCGGATGTGAAAATTAAGTGGAAGCTGTCACAAGTTTATTGATGAAATTAGAAAATAACATAACTCTAGTATTTGGAACAAACTAGTTATACAATTTCACGATCCGATATGTATTCAAACAAAGCTATCAATCTTATCTTAAACTAATATCAGGATAAATACAATAATAGAAAATGTTATCAAGACTTTTAATTTCAATATTATAAGATGTAATCAATCGTTTTTTTTTTGTTTTTACATATGATGTAATCATTATCGATCGACATAAAAGAGTTGTTTGCAAGATAAGATATTTGTAATAAGGTCCAACCAAACTCCTAACAAAGCCAAACCGTAAGAGATGAGCTTTGTAGTTGTGTAGCCTGGACCATTATATTTATATGAATGCTATATGAAAAAATATAAAAATTATATAAGATGCTAGCTCCATTATTTGTGGGTCTCTCTCACTTTTGCTTTCGCCTTTCTATCTTTGAGTTGAAACTTTGCTAAAATCGTCTCCTCTAAGTTTTATATACAACTGGTCCTCACTACTATTCTAATAATACATGATCGTTGATGACTATTTGTCCACCAAACTCACCATTTCTTAGAGAGTTACTCATCCAATGTTGCGTGGTTCGTGTTCATATCATGCTAGGTCTCACACGTTCGTTTACACAAACATGGGTTTTGTAGGACACAGTTTCGTTACTCACATGCCATATTCAAGATGATATCTTCGTGAAAACAAAACTAGTAGACCTTCTTTAACCATATCAAACACAAAACTCTAAGACAAGACATAGTTAGAGATTCTATCTTCTTTTATAAAACTGACAAATCGTTTTTTCTAAGAAAAAAAAATGGAGTTTTGAAGATAAACAAGAATCAATACAATGATGTATATAATAGTGGAGGAGGCTATCAATTTCTCATCCACTCGAAAACAGCTCATCACAAACTAAGCAACTACTATTTTAACCCATTAAATTATTAGAAAAAGATTCTCTCTTATTAAAAAAGTATTCAAAATGCTAAGGTTTTTTGTAGCCTACTAATCTATATTGACGTTGCTATCAATTTCGTCAACAATTGTTATCATCAGAATTTTGAATATTTATATATAATGGATGTCTATAGTATACTCTAGGATTAAAAAAAAGAGATAAAGATGAAGAAGAAACTGATCGGATAATGTCTTTTGTTTCTTTGTTCTATCATACATTCATGCACTTTATGATTTATCCAAACAAAGCAAAGCAAAAATCAAATTTATTAGGTCTATGTGACAAAGATAGAGGCGTTGGGGTCTTGGGGAGATGTGATAGGAGATAGGACTCAATGACCCACCAAGCCACAACAGTTTTATGACACCACATGGTAATGTCCCTGACGAGACCACAAGGAGATAAGGTTTTCTGTTTTTGTGTTGTGTTTTTGTTTTGGGTTTTGGCCAAACTCTTCAACCAAATGTCAAATCCTTTTTGAATGTTTTTTACGATTTTTCATTTTTGGAAGCATTCACTTTTAAGGTTTTATTCGTTACAAGTTTTAGAACTCTTTTTCATGTATATGACTCACTTTTTCATATATGACACTGTTCTCATCTAATGAAGTAAGCCCAAGAAAAATAATAAGAATCCAATTGATGGAGTTTGTCACCGTGTTGGTCCATAACTTTGACGAACCAATTATATCTTTGGGATTAGTTAGCCCACATTGCTAATAGAGTTTGTCACCATGCTTGTACATCACCTCGACGAACCCAATATATCTCGTGAATTTATCACTTTGTTTCCCATCATCATCTAGTGCACATTAAGAGATTGAGGTAATGCCTAATATACACTCCCGAACCCATGGCATCAATGGTATAGCGTTTGATCACTACGGCACACCATTTTATTGATAAATTTTAATATACATGTCCTTACAAAATTATATCAAATAAGAACAAACATCTATCATGACAAAATTTGTCGAAAAGTAGAGACTCCATTGGGCTTCTTATTAACGAGAGAGGCCTTAGGCTTCTTCGTTTTGTAAACCCTAGGCTTCTTTGTTTGAAACCCTTGATTCTGTTCAAAGAACTTGATCTCAGCAACAACAGATTTACATTTTGATATTCTCTGTCCATACACAGATTAAAGAAAACGAAAAAAAAAAACAATAGTTGGAGTCTTGTCCACGAAACTCACACAACTTGTTTGAAAGTGCATAAACGGGCTGGCCCAACACGATCTCGTTTAAAAATTAGGGATTTTAGTCTTTTTTCTAGGCATATCTTCTTTACTTGACTTGTACGACAAGCAGAGGCAGTTTGAGTTCTTCGAGCTCTTCTGTGTTTAGGTTCCAAGAGTTCCGAGGTAAGTTTTGATAGTCGGGTTTGGTTTTTATCATCAAGAAATATATGTGAATCCCTTGGTTCTACAATTACATGTTTGAGTTGAAGCTTACGTACGTATATAACGATTGCGTTACAATATTTAGATAAAAAACTCAAGTATATATTGCCATGTAGTTTGTACAACACTCATGATTTACAAATATGTTAAAACAGATTGATGATCTTTGATTGTAATGGTTCCTTTTATCAAATTTTTGAAGATTACTTTGTATGATATATCAGAGCTAATGAAGCATTCTTTGATCTGTTAAGTTGAAATTATGAATTGTGATTCTTAGACACCGAAGTTACATTTTCTTACTTTTTTTTTTGGTACTGTGACTCAATGTATATTTAACTTCTGAATCTGATCAATGTATATATATATATATATATATTTATTTTTTGTAGAAACGAAGAAAACATGGAGACTCCTAATTCTAGCCTTTGGTCGGAGCTTCCTATGGACATATTAAGATCTGTGTTCAAACGTTTAACTTTTATCGATTTCCACCGCGCTAAGATCGTGTCTTCGAATTGGTATTCGTGTTCGAAACAAACGTTGCCTAAAAAAAACAGATCACCATGGCTGATTCTGTTTCCAGAGAATGATGTTTGTGCTCTATATAACCCTGATGAAGCTAGGGTTTACAAAACGAAAAGAGACTTTTCAGGGATCCGGTTCTTGGCAAATTCAGGTAACTGGTTCTTGGTTCTTGATTCTAAATCCAATCTCTATATCATAGATTTGTTTAGCGAGAGAAAGATCCATCTCCCACCTCTAGAGTCAATGAAGAGTGGTCACTATAGTCTTGAACGAGTAGGAGATAATGACTTCAAGAATGCGAAAGATCTAAGAGGTCTTTTGTGGGTAAATGATAAAAAAAGAAGAAGAGTACATTGTTGTGTGGTACGTTGACATCAAGTACATAGCCGTTTGCAAGAACGGGGAAGATCATTACCGTAGCATTCCAAGACGCTTGGTGTCAATAGTCGAATCTGATACAATACTCCAAGGTGGTGGTGATAGTCTTTACCTATCATTGAACAGTCCATTCATTCAAAAACTGGATTTGTCTAGACAAGAAGGTTTCAAAGAATTGACCGAGAATGATGTTACCATAATGCCATTTTATTCCCCATGTCGTCATGGTGATTATTATGATACAACATTTAGAAATAAGATTGTTGTTACAACATCAGGAGAGCTTTTGTTAGTGGTGATCATCTTTTACGAAGCAACAAGGCATAGAGTCTTCCATTTGTACAAAAAGGATCATTCTAGTACTAACTCGAGTTCGCTTGTTAAGGTACATTCTCTAGGTGATGAGGCCTTGATTCTAGATTTGGGTATCACCGTTCCTGCTTACCATACTCTTGGTATCTATTGGGGAATATAGGGACTCATATGTAATAAGGGGATTGTTAGTGTATAGTTTAACAATATACATTCTCTGTAATTAGGTTATGTCATATGTATATAAGGCACAGCCTTAAGTGAATATCAATAAGACAACCTTTATACAAATTAGGTTTCTTGACATGGTATCAGAGCTAAACCTATTATAGGTTATACGATCCTTTCTCCTCAAATCTCTGTTCTCAATTTCTTCCTTCTTTTGACCTTTGTATTTTTGATCTCTCTATCAATATACGTGTTCTACAACGATGACAGAAGACTCCTCTTCTAAATCGGCTTTGACTATGACGACTACTCGATTGGAATCGTCACGTCGGCGAATTGACCCCTATGATCTCTCATCAGGGGATAACCCTGGATCTATCATCTCGCAGCCGCAGTTACGTGGTCCTAACTATGATGAGTGGGCACTGAATTTACGTTTGGCTCTGCGTGCGAGAAAGAAGTTTGGTTTTGCGGATGGTTCGATCCCGAAACCAAGTGATGATTCTGAAGATATTGAAGATTGGTGGGCGAATAATGCTATGGTTGTTTCGTGGATTAAGCTTACAGTGGCTCCGGATTTGAGTAGCTCCTTGTCTCATCATGAAGTGGCTCATGACTTGTGGACGCATATACAAAAGCGTTTCTCGGTGAAAAATGGACAAAGAGTTCAACGTCTCAAAACGGAGCTCGCGAATTGTCAACAAAAGGGTACGGCAGTGGAGGCGTATTATGGCAAACTCACGAAATTGTGGACAAGTCTCTCAGATTTCCAGCGAGCAAAAACTGTAGAAGAAATTTCTCGAGAACGTGAAGAGGATAAGCTCCATCAGTTTCTCATGGGCTTAGACGAGACTCACTTTGGCGCTGTCAAGTCTTCATTGCTCTCTCGTGATCCTTTGCCGTCGCTGGATGAGGCATACCAAGTGGTTACTCAAGATGAGGAATCCAAGCGAGCTAGTCGATTGTTGGACGAACGTAATGAAGGAGTTAGCTTTGCTGTCCAAACACATACTCGTCCTCATCAAAGCTCTACACCACATGTTCGGGATCCTAATGCAGTGTGTACGAGATGTGGTCGTAAAGGCCATCTTGCTGACAATTGCTTCCGGAAGATTGGCTATCCATGGTGGTGGGGTGACCGTCCACGATCTAATACTTCGAAGCTTCCTTCTACACAACCGGGTGGTTCTTCTGGTCAATCGGTTGATCGTCGTGGACCATTGTTACCGTCACCTAAACCGGCTCATGCGAATCAAGTGACCGTTTCTACTCCTCCAGCTGCTGCACATTCGGTCCTTACGGAGTCTGACCAGGCCGGAATTATTGGTCTCACTAACCAAGAATGGGGTTCGTTAAGGAAGATGCTTGAAGAGAGGAATTTGTCTACTCATGATCGTCTCTCGGGTAAGTATCTTATCGAATCTTGGGTTATTGATACAGGAGCTTCTAATCATATGACGGGAAGCATTGATTTTCTAGTTGAAGTATGTGATATGCCTCCGGTTTATATCAAGCTACCAGATGGACGGTTTACTGTGTCTAATAAAAAGGGCAGCGTTTGTTTGGGTTCTAAGCTGCAATTGTTGAATGTGTTCTTTGTGGATGGTCTCCAATGTCATCTTATATCAGTCTCTCAGCTCACTAGGGATAGGGGTTGTATCTTCCAGATATCTGACAAAATTTGTGTTGTCCAGGACCGCATCACACAGATGCTGATTGGAGCCGGTGAGCAGTTGCATGGATTGTATTTCTTTAGAGAAGTGGAGACCGCAGCGGTTACGCAAACCATGGACCAGCAAACCAATGATATGTGGCATCGTCGTTTGGGACATCCCTCATCTAAAGCAATGGACATGCTGAAGTTATCTACTCGTTCTACTAGTTCTGTTTTTGATTCAAAGTCTTGTGACATTTGTATTCGTGCAAAACAAACACGGGATGCTTTTCCTTTGAGTATTAATAAGACGTCAGTGGTTTTTGAATTAATTCATTGCGATTTATGGGGTCCTTATAGGACAACGGCGGTTTGTGGTTCAAGATTTTTTCTTACTATTGTGGATGATTATTCCCGTGCAGTGTGGATTTATTTGTTACCATCTAAGGCTCATGCTTCGTCTTCTCTACGTGATTTTGTCTCTCTTGTTGAGCATCAATTTGATACAAAAATCAAAACAGTCCGTAGTGACAACGGATCCGAGTTTATAAGTCTTAGTGGTTATTTCCGGGAAAAAGGCATAATACATGAGACATCATGTGTTGGAACTCCCCAACAAAATGGTCGTGTTGAGCGTAAACATCGACACATTCTCAACGTTGCTCGTGCTCTACGTTTTCAAGCAGATTTACCGGTAAAATTTTGGAGTTTTTGTGCTCTCACCGCTGGCTATTTGATTAATCGTACTCCGACTGCGGTGCTTAATGGCAAAACGCCATTTGAAATGCTCTATGCTAGGCCTCCTTCGATGGAACATAAGGTTTCTTGACAGTATCGAACCAAACTCCATTTATTTCACCCGTTGTGACCGTGCTTGTAAAGGTAGCTTGGAACCTTCATACCTGGACATATGTGTGTTTAACCTTGTAACAAAGAGGAGCAAACGCTTCCCTGGTCTCTCCAACATTAGGCTCACAGATGCTTGGTGGTTTCTCCCGTCATCATGATCTTGATTTGTTTTTTTCTTTTCTTGAGAGATTACTCCATTTTCTATCTTCTATTACTCCTTTCTTTTTAGAATAGAAGATTTTTTGGCCTTATCTTTTTTCTTTTCAAAATTAGAAGATTTTTTCACAAATTTTATGCATGATCACAAATCAAGTCATCTCCTCATAGAGTTTTAAGCCATAACCTATGAACATATATACAAAATAAAAAACCAAAAAAACTAACTAATTCAGAATTTGTATCATAGAGTCTTACACTTTGAATGTTCATTAGTTTTTATATTGAGAATATAATTTTAAATTATATAAGATTTTACACGAAATAATGAATCCACCTAAATATTAGGGAAACTAGTTTTTCATTTGGTTTATCCAAATTTAAAATAAATTAAAAACCATGAATTTTGAGGTTTTTGTGAAAGCCTTTTTTTCAATAAAATTATGTACTTCTTTAACGGGCTGGCCCGTTTTGAATAGTTTTTGTAAAACGGTATCGTTTTAACTAAACGGAGTCGTTTTATGTATCTCTTCTTCACTTTATTTTGTTCTCTTCTTTACTTAAGGAACAAGGACGACAAAAGCAGAGGCCATTGTTGAGTTCTTCGAGCTTCTGAGGTTAGTTCTTCACTTGTTCTCCGAGATGGTATTTCGATTGAAGAAATTAGGGTTTAGGATCTTTTTTTCTTCTTTGCGTTTCACTTAAATTCCTGTTTTTGAGATTTTAGGGTTTGGTTTGTTTCGATCGGAATTACATCTTAGAAGCTCTTATATATAACAATTAGGTTAATTTGGTTCTAATACAACTCAAGTATATATAACGCTCGACACTTGATTTTTATTTTAGTGTTTCCTTAATCCAATTTGAAGATTACTTTTGAATCAGAGTAATGAGGTACATAGACAAAGTTAAGTAGATGTGGTTACAGAAGCCTAACTCTTGTTTGGTACTGTGAGTTTGTGACTGATCAATGTATCTTTATAGATAGTTTCCATCACTGATTCCAAAGTTTTGAGAATTTTGATTTAGCAGAATGGATTCTGAAACTCAACAAACAACTGTAATTCAAGAAACATTAGTAGGAGAAGCAAATGTCAAAGAAACGGGTAAGTGCGTCCGTTGTGGTACATATAGAAGTGAGTGGGAAGGTGTAAACATGGCTATATATTCTCTGTACAGAAACAGGTAAAAGCATGGAGACTCCTACAAGCTGGTCAGAGCTACCTATTGACATGTTAAGATCGGTGTTCTCACGTTTGGCTTTAGCGGATTTTCACCGTGCGAAGATCGTGTGTTCGAGCTGGCATTCGTGTTCGAAAGTGTCGTTGCCCCGGAAATCTGGACCATGGCTGTTTCTGTCTCTAGAGGATGGTGATTGTGCTGTGTACAACCCTGAGGAAGATAGGGTTTACAGAAGGAAGAGAGTCTTTTCAGGGACTCGAATTCAGGCAAATGTTTCTTATCGTGAAGAGGATTCATCTTCTTCCATCTCTGGCAAAAGCTTAGAGGTCGCCGTTTCGACTAGTGCTTGAGACGAGCCCATATAATATGCTCTGGTATTGGGTCTGAGAGGACGTATGTGCTTCGGCCCAAAACTTACCTTTATTTAGTCTTGTTCGAGTAGGAGATCGCGAATTCGTGAATTATGATCGCGGAGTTTTCATCGCGAAGGCTGAAAAAATCCTTTGAAAAGATGTTATGGACTTGAAAGGTTCCTCTTCCTTAGCCAGCCTTTTGACATGGTTAATGAAAACATCACAAAACTCAAGTCATCTCTTTATAGACATACTCGCAGGATAACCAAATTTTGAATCTTATAAAAATGTATAATCAGCAAACAACACTTGGACCAGGCCCAAGAGTACACAAATCGAAGCCCATATATTCACATTTATATTAGTAAATTCTAAATAATATGGACATTTTAGAAAAATTACATTAAATATCAAAGCCCATATATTCACATTTATATTAGTAAATTCTAAATAATATGGACATTTTAGAAAAACTACATTAAACTAATTTTTATTTATTTATTTCCTTTTTCTTAATGGAAAAATTAGTGGAATAAGAATATATGGATTTCTTTTCCTTTTTAAAATATTTATGTATTTACAATGTAGATATAACTAAAATAGGGAAAATGTCAAATGGTAAAACAAATCCGCAGAAAAGGTATAATTTTTTCATTATACATTGTATTTTAAAAAATTAATAATCATATGTACAGTACAAATTAGATGAATCATAAAAACAAAACAAATTAAGTTTTATAATTATTTATATAATAAAATAAAAACTCCATTAAAACCATAAAACAAACTTGATAAACCATTCCCTCTCTCCGCGCCTTTTCATTTCGTCTTCACTCTTCACTCTTCACTCTTCACTCTTCACTCTTCACTCACCCACTACTCTCTCTCTCTCTCTCTCTCTCTTCTCCGTCTCTCTGAAATTTTCCCGGGAAAGCGTTTTCTCGGAGAAACCCCATGGATAAGTTTCAGAACCGGTTCACGAGATTCGGATTCATCTCGGTTTGTATCGGATCGATCGCGCTCGTACTTTTGTTATCTCGTTGCTCGACTTCCTTCTTCGATTACGCTCTTGAGAAATTCGAATTCTCGTCCCCAGAATCCGAGCTCCGGAGTAACGTTTACACTATTACCGCCGCCGAAGAAGAAATCGAAAACAGAGCCGCCGCCGCCGTCGTCGTCGTTGATTCTCGCCATGTTTCTCAACAGATCCTCTCACTCCGATCTACTAATTCCTCTGTAACAAACTTCTCCTTCTTCTTCAAATTTCGAATTTCAAAATTTATCAATCTCTCTGTAACCGTAAATTTCAAAACTCATCTGCTTAAATTTTGAATCATCGTTGATCTTCATCGTCGTCTTCATCATCATCATCATCAACAAAATTCAAAATCTGATGATATTTTCAAATTGTTTGTTGAATTCAGTTACAGAGTAAACCGAAAAAATTCGAATCTGAGATTTTCTTCATCGTCTTCTTCACCTTCATGTAGTTCTGTTTTTGTTAAAATTCAAAATCTGATGATATTATCTTTTTCAAAATTCAGTTACAACAGAGTAAACCGGAAAAACTAAACCGGATCAACTCAGTGGAACGAGGATTAGCGAAAGCAAGAGCATCGATTCTAGAAGCTTCTTCATCTTCTCCGTCGAGTCATCGTAACACTACATTGTTCAGCATTGATCTTCCAAACCCAGAAATTTATCGTAACCCTTCTGCTTTACATCGGTAAGTTCATAAAATCTTAAAATACAATTTTTTTTTAATAATCAAAGATTCCAAAAGTTCGAGTTTAACTTTTCTTGACACTACTTAGCTTTAAAGTCACTGCGCACGGCTAATTTATCGTGGATTTTAGTATACAAAACTTTTATATTATGATTTTCAAGATTCTTCTAATAGAAGCTACCAAATCCATGAATCTTGAAATCAAATGATTCATGATGATGAACTCTGCTTTATTGTATTCAACAATGATGATTCTTTTTTGGAAAATTCTCAAGCAACCGATTCATATTGTGATTATGTTAATTGTGATTAGTCTAGGCGGTGCAATCAAGGTTAAAGGTCTCTGTTATGTGTCATTCTCACTAATTTACACATTGGTCGTCTGAAATTTATTAAATTACGGCTCAAGCTACATAGCCTACGGTTACACTATATTATCTGCTTATTTAATTCTATGGTCCTAATCACTTACAAAAGTGTCAGAGAGATCATCACTTAACAATGGTTTTATAATTATTGTTTTTTTTGATGCAGGAGTTACTTGGAAATGGAGAAGAGGTTTAAGGTGTATGTATACGAAGAAGGTGAGCCACCGTTGGTACACGATGGACCTTGTAAGAGTGTATACGCGGTTGAAGGGAGGTTTATATATGAGATGGAGAGAAGGAAAGCTAGGTTTCGTACTTACGATCCTAACCAAGCTTATGTCTACTTCTTGCCGTTTAGTGTTACTTGGTTGGTTCGGTACTTATACGAAGGCAATTCTGATGCTAAGCCTTTGAGAACGTTCGTTTCTGATTATGTTAGATTGGTTTCGACTAATCATCCGTTTTGGAATCGGACTAATGGTGCTGATCACTTCATGCTTGCTTGTCACGATTGGGTAAATTACTTTAACATTTTATCATTTCTCTGTTTTGGTTAATACAGAGTTTGTGACAAATGGTTTTTTTTTTGGGTACTAATGCAGGGTCCTCTAACTTCACGAGCTAATAAGCATTTGTTCAATACATCGATTCGAGTATTGTGTAATGCTAATTCATCAGAAGGGTTTAATCCTACGAAAGACGTGACTCTTCCTGAGATTAAACTCGTTGGTGGTGAAGTTGATCCAAAACTCAGGTTATCTGCAACACTATCCGCTTCTCCGCGGCCTTATCTCGCGTTCTTCGCAGGTGGAGTCCACGGTCCTGTTCGACCGATTCTCTTAAAACACTGGAAACAGCGTGACCCGGACATGCCTGTATTTGAGTACCTTCCTAAACACTTAAACTACTACGATTTCATGAGAAGTTCGAAGTTCTGTTTCTGTCCCAGTGGCTACGAGGTAGCTAGCCCTAGAGTCATTGAATCCATCTACTCAGAGTGTATCCCCGTCATTCTCTCTGTTAACTTCGTGTTGCCGTTCACTGATGTTCTTCGTTGGGAGACTTTCTCTGTTCTGGTCGATGTTTCAGAGATTCCGAGGTTGAAAGAGATTCTCATGTCGATCTCTGATGAGAAATACGAATGGCTTAAACGTAACTTGCGGTCTGTGAGGAGACACTTCGAGCTTAACGATCCTCCTAAGAGGTATGACGCGTTTCACTTGACTCTTCACTCCATTTGGTTACGTAGACTTAACTTGAAGCTTACGTAAGGAGGACCATCTCATAGGTAAAACGTTCTGTTAGATATTATTGTAAAGTCATATCTCAGAAATGTATGTAAACCCTTAATGTCTAGATTGAATATTTGATGTTATTAGTATAAAATAAATAATTACTAAAGCCAATCTTTATACCATATACTCATAATTACTAACTAATCAATCATTTGGTTGGGACGAAGTTGAGTGAAAGGCGATCCATCTGTGATCGAAGGATGTCACCAAGCGAGAGACGGTGAGGTTGCGGTTGCGGTTGCGGTACGGCTGAGGCAGGTGGTTCATCTGGTCCAACAGTCTCTGTTCTTGTCTCTTCGTTCTTGACCTCGAGATGGATTGGTCTCATCTCTTTCTTCACTGATTCCACAAACTCCATATCGATTTTGTTGCCGGAAATATCTCTGACATAGAAAGCGTTGAGCGACTTCTGGCCGTGCGTCTCCACGTCTGCACGGACAACGGTCAAGCCGTTCTCACGGAGGACACGGGTTATGTCAGAGAGTAAGCCTACTCTGTTCTCTGCGCATAACTCCAACTTCACCCCCTGCATTAGCCACATACACACCAACACACCCAAATTGTTTTACCAATGCTTAACTAGAATCCAAACAGTTTGGTGAATCTTCTTCTGTCTGAGACATCTCAAAGTTAGTAAATTGGTGCTGGTGGATTCATCTTTTCTAGTTAAAGCTTATGGAAATGGTAACATTACCTCGCAAACACGGCGTTCTATTGCAGCCTCTAAGCATTTAATCACTCTTTCTTTCTCGCCTTCCGTGTTCAATGCCCTTCCATCTATGTGTCTTATGAAGTATTCCTACAAGTTTTTGAAAACAAGAGATGAACATTTGAACCCTAAGGATCTAATGGTTACAAGAATATATATTCTTGGGTTTACCTGAAAAGCATCAGCTCCATCAGACCGTAGAGCAGCGTGGAAGATAACATATTGCATGTCAACTAAAGTACAGATTGTATCAAACATGAGCCTTCGTCGATCCTTAGACGTCACTGTCACAATAGAGTATCCTCTATCTTCGCAGTTCCCAATGGAAACTGTCGTTGTCTTCTTGATCTCCTTTTGATCACAATACTCCAACTTGGATGAAAATAATGACAATGGTGAAGGTTCACAAAACGGTTCGTCAAAGTCTCTCACAGATAGCATTAGCTGATGCAACCGTCTCTCTACGTTACTATTCATACACCCTTTACCTTGTCCCGCAAGAAACCCATCCGTCTCGTTTTCCTTGTGACCCACGTGTGTAGAGTTTGTGGCAGGGTCCGCTGTGGCACGGATCACAGTACTGATGTGGTCCTCAATGGAAGCCAAGCGGCTCGGATCATCGATGGGAGCGTGAGTGTTGTCGTCAGCAACATAGGCTATGCAAGCCAAACGAGCATTGTGGCTCCAAGCATGAGCTTCCAAGACATTGCAATGCAAGTCCGCGAAAGCAGCGAAAATCTCCGAAAAGAGTCCTGGTCGGTCTGTCCCGGTCATCTCTATAGCTGTGTGTTCACCGTGATCATTCAATGGAGGTTCCAATGCATTGTTGTTTGGGTTGTTGATCGCTTCACTAGCCTTTATAAAATCCGATTCTCGCCTACTCGTACCAATGGCCTACATTATCAATTTAATCTACTCATTACTAAACTCTTAATGTAACATATATATGGTTCTTTCAAGGATTAAAGCTATAGGACAAACATGTATTATGTGGTTTATGACGCTTGTATCGGTGAGTTTATTGCCATGCTCGTCTTTAACATGGAAAACTGTATATGCAAACATATATACAAGTAAGTTGTCAAAAGCTAAGCTCCTCAGCTAATCTATAATTTAAGGAAATGAAAAATGTATGTACCATCCATGAACCATCCACCATCGGAAGAGATGTAACTCTTGATGATAATAAGATTCATGTCTGTCAAGATTTGCACCACTTCTAGAAGAAGTCCTTGTTTGTTCTCACTATTCACCTTCATATTAAACATTTCACATTACAAGACACCTCAATCAGATATGCAAAATTGAAACACAAAACACAAGAACATTTCAGGCAAAGAACACCACTGGATCCAGTTCTGTTTTCATGCAATATTTTCTCTATATACCTTCACAACGGTGCAATCTTGGATACTGTCATTGTCAATGTAGACCCTGCACCTGAAAATTACACACACAAAATAAAGATGATGATGATGAAAAAATGTATACAAATGCATTGCCCTCGTATATACATTGGTTGTTCCACGAAATTATTAGAGAGGAAGACAGGAACAAAGCTTACGGTGGTCCGTATATGCGTTCACCAAGATTGTCAAAATCAGGATCAAAGTAAGGCCAGCAAACTTTCTGCATCGTCTCTATCACAACGATCTGTAATAAGAATTAGGTCAAGAGATACCAAGAGGAAGGAGATATCGCGTTTTCGAAGATTTGAGACAGAGGAGGCTATGAATGAAGAAGAGATTTCAACCTTGTAATACAGAGGATTTTAACAAGATAGTCATTTGCTAAATTTAGCTTGGGGAATAAGTGTGATATAACGTGTGGAAGAAGTTAGTTCAAGAGACGATAAAACTTTTAAAAAAGATAATCTAATAGAAAATTCTATTATAGATACTTCTTGGGGTAATGATAAAATCACATTCTAGAATCGATCGGTTCAAATATAATGTAGAGTATAGTATTTAAGTATAGGTCAAGAAGTTGTCAAAGTCAAATACTTAAGAATTGGTAAGAGACGACTCAAGTGAAATAAGGTGTTCCTCTCGTGTTATTTTTTGTTAACCTCCACATGTTTTTTCCTAAGATTTTTGGGGGAAATAAAAGTTGCAAAAATCTCTGTTTCCTAATAATAATAATAACACTAATAAATCATGTTCCTAAAGTTTAGTAGAATTTGAGATCATTAACTTCATCTGTGTAATTTAGAAACCACATATCCTAAAACGTGTGATCTCTTTTGAAACGGTCTCCAAACGTAACTTCACCATGTATTGAAAATTTCTCCCACAAGATTTTACTAAATGCCACATAAATTGAAGTTGTGTGGTGCAAAAACCACCAACGGTGATCTGACTTAGACATCCATGAAGATACTACCCTGTTGTTTTTTTTCTTTTAACGAATGTTAAATTTATTCAAAAAAAAACACTGTTTTACGCAACTTGTACCCTGTTGTTGTTTCTCTGTTTTTAGATTTAGATCCGCGATTTAACGAAGAATGAGATATGTGATCAGTGAAAGTTCTTAATAGTACAAAACCGTAGGCATTGATCATCTTCTTGTTATTAATTATTGGAGATATTTTAGAGACCAAGATTCGTTATTAATAATTAAGACAAATTATATTTACAAACAACAAAAAGAAACAATAACTCCACAACTAAATAATCCAAGTTGTGAATCTTAACATTTTTTTAAAAAAATAAAGGTCTTATACATAAAGAAATGTTATATCAATCTTTATTTTTATATAATATATTTAAATATCCATCTAATAGCATGGGATATCATCTAGTTGAAGACCCAAATATAAATAAACTGAGACAAAACATGAATTTAATTAGGGCGAAATTTTTTTAAGTGTTTATTGAACTATTGATGTGAACATTGGAGATTAGTTGGAGAAATTATTTACTTGACAACTTCACCAGTCTATGTTTTGCCTTGAGCTCGCACTTGTTCCGTTGACGATGTGAAATATAAAAATCGAGGCCACAACTAAATTTCCTGTTGTTCACTCGATGCTTGTTTGTCTTAAAAGCTTCCAAACCTCACAATGCTCCAATGATCCCATCAATGTCGAGCTTCCAAATCAATATATAATTAAGGTTCTCCACGTAAAATATTCCAATTTTCATACAGACTTGTTAAAATCTGACAAACTTGAATTAAAGAATACACCAAATGTTTTAGTAACGTTAAATTCTCCTTTTAATACTTTACAGTTTTAGATCTTTGATGGTTGAACACGGTACGGTGTATAACATAAACACTGTTCAAAGCAAAATATTTAAATCTAGACAAAAAAAAAAAAGCTAAGAAGATAAAATGTGATTAAAGGCATCGTAAAAGAGTATGTAACAAGAACCAAGGATCACGTTATGGTGTTACCATACAAACAATGTGAAGCTCTTTTTCTTTTGTCAGAGAAATGAATATGTTAAAAACAAAATTTAACTAAATATAAATTCTTAAACTCTTAATGTTCATAGTAGTGATGATACATTGTGAAGTCATTTAACATAAGAAAATGTTGGCCTTATATTTCATTCTACTCGTCTGCGTGCCCTTTGGTGTCATCATGACCCTTACGGCTCCGCGACTAGCCATCACTGTCGCCGTTACTCAGCCGACCGTCTTAGTAATACAAAACTCCAATAACACCCGAGTAGCAGTTACTTCTCAGCCACTAGATAATGATGAGTTGCTCCTTCCTCAAGCTTCTAAAGTCGACCCAAAGCCTTCACCTAAACTTCCCAAAAAACTAGCTTTCATGTTCTTGACAACAACATCTCTTCCATTGGCACCACTTTGGGAGGTCTTTTTCAACCAAACATCTGATCATCACAAGTCTCTTTACAATGTCTATGTCCATGTAGACCCGACTCAAAAACACGAACCAGGTTTATTTGGTACGTTTCATGACCGGATCATAACATCCTCAAAACCGGCTTATAGGCATACTCCAACACTCATCTCAGCCGCACGTCGTTTACTATCCCATGCTCTTCTCGACGACCCGTCAAATTACATGTTTATTCTTCTCTCCCCTTCTTGTATTCCCCTTCACTCCTTTAACTTCACTTACAAGACACTAGTCTCCTCCACAAAGAGCTTCATCGAGGTTCTTAAAGACGAACCAGGGTGGTACGACAGGTGGGCGGCGCGTGGACCTAACGCCATGCTCCCTGAGGTACCACCAGAGAAGTTTCGAATAGGCTCACAATTCTGGACGTTGACACGTGCCCATGCGAGGATGGTGGTGAGTGACGTTGAGATATGGTCCAAGTTTAACAAGTCTTGCGTAAGAAAAGACACGTGTTACCCGGAGGAACATTACTTCCCTACTCTCTTCCACATGCGTGATCCACAAGGTTGTGTATCCGCAACGCTAACGCACGTTGATTGGAGCGTCAACGAACATGGTCATCCTCGTACATATAAACCTTGGGAAGTTACGAATGAGCTTATACAAAATCTGAGAAGTGAACGGCTTAGGTACGGAGATGGCAGCAGAACGAGGAAGGATCCGTTTCTGTTCGCCAGAAAATTTTCTCCGGCCGGGATAAGTCCGCTGATGAACATAGCTCGAAACGTCATTTTTAACGATATTGGTTAAATTTTAAGTTGAGACTGTAGGGACTTGATAGTTAAATTTATGATTTTTCATATGTTTAAATGTAAAATTTTTATAATATGAAAAGATTTTAGTAAAGGTTTTTGCTATAAGTCCAAAAGCTATATCAAAGAGACTTCAAAACTTTTGTATGGAGACGAAATATGACAAAGGTTCGATATAATTAGAATAAAAGGAAATAGTAAAAATAGTAAAAGAATGATTGAAGGAGAAAAGAAATCACAAGAAACACGGCTGGCCCTAACTTCCTGAACAAGGAAACTAGGCAATAACAACAAAACTAAGAAAACGTAGGAAACCTCCATCAACACCTAACTTTGTACGTCGTCTGATTCGATCCCCATACGAATCAGACAATAGTGAGAGACATCTTCTTTGATTATTACCAAACTTCATCCTTTGATTCGAATCCTAATTAAGATTAAACCCTAAAATTCTTTTGAGTCTCTTTTCATAGCTAGTCATCAATCTTGAAACCCTGATTCCATGGTTTCTACATTTCCATTGATCTTTGTTTCAAGATAAATGGGAAGCTTTCATCGCCGGACCTTTTCTTATGATAAACTTCCGTCCGAACCCATTAGGTTGTCCGTTCTCAAACTAGATGGCTCTTCCTTCGGTAAGTGCATCATCGTCATATATATTTTGATGTTTTGGTCATTACTTAGCTTCAATTTTTATTTTTGTTTACTATTTTGAAGATGTCTATGTAACGACCTCAGCAACCGTTGGGGATCTCAAGCTTGCCATAGAGACTACCTTCAGCCATGTCCCCAAGAAAGGTCCCTCCAAGATCTCATGGTACGTACCATTTTTCAACTTTGATTACATTTTTTTCTCATATTGTAAAAGGTTACTGAATCTTTTGACCCAAGAGTTTTTCAATGGTGAAGGTCACATGTGTGGGGGCATTTTTGTTTGTGTTTCGGTGGTCAGAAGTTAATTACCGATACGGATTGCATCGGAAGTTATGGGATGAAGGACGGTGATGAGGTTTTTATAGCCAATCTTTAATCTCATTTCATGAGAAATAATAGAGGTTTAGGCATAAATGAGATTTGAGTAAATAACAAGACGTTACGTAATTGTTTCAGGTTAGGTTCAAAAACCATGTGTCAGGCAATGCAGTATTGAGCAAGGGTTATTCTAGAAAATCAAAACAAAAGAATCTGTAAGTCTCATATTTTCCTTTCTCATTATATTTTCTCATTTGTCTTTGTTCATAAATTTTGGTCAGAACCAAATTTTGTCCGCTGAGGATTGTTGTCCGTCCGAAAATGAAAGTCCTATATAGTATATGTTTGTTGTGTGCACTCCCTCCAATTATATGTGTAACTTTGGTACCATTTACAGAGAGAGGATGTTACCAAAGGATGGAGATGGAGAAATGAATAGAATCGAAGAGATTGATGACTCTTGGGATGATCTCGAGAAAGGAGGCTTCGTGAGGTACAAAGATGATAATGACATGGAAGCTTCTTCAAATGAAAGCAATAGGTCTTGTCTATCCAGTGTACGAGGTTGCTGCTTTGCTTTGGGGATCAAGGAGCTTCTTGGGTTTGGTAATGAACGAGCCTATTACTCTTTGAGAGATACTTGGAGAGACGATTGAAGTTTTTTGTGTGTTTGTTTCTTCTTCTTCCATTTTTTGTTTTCTATTCGTAAGATTTTGTAATCATACAACATAATGATCCAAACGGATCAAGTTCTATTACAAAGGGTAGTATTATGTTCAGGAAAAAGCTTTTTATATAGAGTACAAAAGTTACAATGATTCAGTGTTACAGATAGTGCCTTAATCAAAAACAAGTGGGAAAAAAAAACAGAGCTATTGGCAGAAACAAAACACAAAAAAACAACTCCAAAGAGTTGTAATGGCGACTAAGAGGTTACACCGCCATTGCCAAAAGCTCTAAAGTGGAAGTAAGATAAAGGCACTAATCACGAACCTAAACCATAGAACAAAGGACTCCTACAAGAACTTGACTGAACATAGAGAGACAACAACTCCAAAAAGACGGTCAAGACTAAAACCCTAACTAGATAACCAGAACTCAGTGACGGGATTCACAGGAACACTAACAGTTGTAGAAACAGGCTCCTTTGTTTAGAAGGAACCTGCCAAAAAAAGTTTAAAAAACAACTGCTGCGTCCTGGGAAAGAAACTAAGTTCTGGAATCTATGGGTTTCTAGCCACCAAAACCTAGGAAAAAGACTTGACTGATGATGATGGTGCTAAGGTTTTAAAAGTGGGATTTAGTAGAGTATATCACACCTCCATAGTTGTTCCAGAAGGGTATCCACAGTGCTGCTGCTGATTCTGCCACAACGTTGGATGTTTAGTCCCAAGAGTGTGCGGCCGAGTTTTTGTATGCATGCCTTGCTTTTGTCTGTTATCGCTGAGCAGCCGCCGACGGAAAGAACCTGAAGATTCAGATGGTTGGGAGAAGATGCCAAAGCCTTGATTCCCTGATCTGAGACCAAAGTATTTGAGATGTCAAGGTCATTGACTGAGTAGCAGTTCTTGGCTACTGCGACAAGGCTTGTGTCAGTGATGTTCTTGCAGCCGTCGAGGTTAAGAGACTCTAATGTGTGTCCGTGGCATACGGAAACTGCAGAGACTGTGTTGTCTGAAACATTTATACATCCGCTCAGATTCACTTTCACTAGACCAACATTGTTGCTCTGAAGCAACTCGCGCACACCTGCATCTGTCACTCCATTCAGTCCACAGAGTTCAACATCCTGAAGCTGATGACAGAAGTTCCCCAAGAAAGCGAGACTTGCATCCCCAAACCCAGGACAGCAACGGATTGACAGAGATCGTAAAGAGCTGCAACTGGGTGCTGGTAGAGGTGATTCTGCGTTGATGTCGCTGATGCCCAGACAATTTGCCAAAGAGAAAGCCTTCAACTTTAAGCCAGAATTCATAAGAAAACCCAAAAGACCAAACTGGTTGATCCTGTGGCATTCCTCAAGTTTCAAAGTTTCCAGCAACAAAGCAGACTTTGCCAAAGCAACAAGTCCTTTGCCAGAAACTAGCAAGCATTTGTTCAGAGAGACGTGCTTCAGATCAGGGCAACCATTTCCAACAGCTTCGAGACCAACATCTGTCATGCCTCGGCACGACACTACTGAGAGGGACTTCAGTTTTTTCAACCCTTTTGCATTTCCCATCACCCAGAAGCCTTTCTCGTTCACACCTTGAAGGCCTTGAAGCACAAGATCAGTGACTGCTGCTCCGTAGTGACCAAGAACAGCAAGAGACATACCAGTTACGTTCAGCATCTGCAGTTTCACTCTCGTCAGGTAAGAACCAGCTTGGGCCAAGAGGAAGGCAACACCTTGATCTCCAATGCGTGGGCAGCTCCTGATACTGATAGATCTCAGATTGGTACAGCGTCGTGCAATAGCCCTTAAACCCTCGTTTCCAACACCAGAACACGAGTCAATAGTCAGATCGCTCAGATTCACGCAGTTCTCAGCTATTGCAACCAAAGCACTATCAGTTATTCCTGGACATCGTGAAAGGTCAAGTTTTTCAATCATGGGACATGACCGAGCGATCTCAGACAAACCCATATCACTAACTGCAGGCAAGTTCCACAGAGAAAGAACCCTAAGAGATGGACAACCATGTGCAATTGCTCCAAGACCAGCATCTGTCACTTTGCTTTCAAACCCACTCCCACGGATCTGAAGCTTCCCCAACCCACCACGGGATGATGTCCCAACTGCGATCGCCGCCAGCCTCAAATCCGTAGCCTTCTTACCTTCCAAACTTCTTGACAAAAACCCTTCACCCTCCACATCCTGAACTGACTCATCCACTTCATTCCTACTGATACTACTCAAGAGATTAAGCCAATGCTTGGACACACAAGCGCAAGCACTCCTCTCTTGTCCAGAAGGCAAACGTCTAAGGATCTCAAATAAACACTCATCTGGCAAAACATCGATCGAAGTTTGCTTCTGCTCAAACCCGCTGAAAACAGACGGCGCAGCGATACGCAACCTCTTATGCGCTGGGAAATATACACCAGGACAGCTCCCTGGTGATAGATACATCGATCCCCCAAGGAAAAAATCTTCATCACCTATATAATATAATCAACAACTCCATTATTCTCAATTCCCAAAACCTTAAAAATCATAATTCGTAATAAGAACACTAACAAATCAAACCTAATCCACGAAATAGAACCTAACCAGAAAAGTTCCCAAATCAACTCCAATTTCAGATTTACCAAAATCTTAAGACTAAATCGAGATTCATGATCGAAGATGATCAAAACCCATTGAACAAAATCTAAACTTTTCAACTCAGACAGAGAAAAAAAGATTTCAGGAAGCTTACCACTAAATCCGAAGATTCCAGACATAATTCGAACACGATTTGAAGAAGAACAAAGACGTTGATTATCAATAATAATAGAGAACGAAGACAAAGATTCATGAAAGAGCAAAGAACCCTAGAAGATAGGGCAAAAAGAGACAAGAAGAAGAAGAAGAAGAAGAAGAAGATTTACAGAAGAAGAACAAGTATGAGAGAAGAAAGGGGAAAAATGAGAAACGTCTTTAATGGAGGAAGAGGTGTACGGTGGAGGTTAATGTAGAGGATAAAAAACACCCAAGTTCAATGTATAAACGCGAAAAAGTCGGATTTCTTCTCCACCTTCTTTGTTTCCTAAGTCCCACCGAACCTCCCAATTGTTACATTTTTTTATTTTTATTTTTTTTCTGACATTATATTATAATAAAAAAGCATAGGTTATAATATTAACATAAAGTTTTATTTTATTTTTGAATGCAATGAAGGTTGTGAGACGACGTTTGACGAAAAAGACTGAATACATTGAAGGAAGAGAAATGTCGAGTTACATGCATTGTTGACAAAACATTGAGAGTGGTCGATTTCGTTTTTTTATAATATATAGTTTTTATATTATTATTTCTAATAAGTTGACAACATGTCAACATGAGTGTTAGTTTATTATGAAAAAAATAATAGCAAGTGTTGGATATTATCGTGACATGTTATTTTTAAAATGATGTATGTTGGATTGGATGATTACAATTAGTCTAAATCCAATGTTAATCATGTATTAGTAGATGTCTCTATGAAGCTTTTGATTCGTGAATTATTTGAGAAAATATTAAATAGCGAGAGGGTGTGTGATATTAATTCTTAGAATTTATTTGTATGACAACATTTAATATTTCTGTTTTTTTTTTTCAACATTCAATATGTTTTTTCTTTTCTTTCCAAACATATACTTACAATTCAATTGCGTGTTAGAAATATACTTAAGAAATAAGAAAGTTAAATTTCATAATAAATAATGCAGACATACCATCTAAAACTTAAATAAAAATTAATAAATGTGTATAAAAATCATCTTTTAAAAAACTTAAGCTTTATGATTTTTTTTTTAACAATTTCATATATAGTTTATAAGTTTTTTGTTTTCATATGTATGCTATGATCGGATTTGTATTATCGATGTGTTACAACTTACAAGTTACAACATAACTAGAACTCACAAAGCATTATATAAATTAATGTATAATATATGCTTCTTCATCTTAAGCATCGAGAGAGAAACAGAGATACGTGAGACAAGATCTATACATACCTATAAGAGTTTCACTTACTTAGTTGAGTTGTATTGTTATGATCTTCAAATTGATACACGTCTATAATATTATCATCTTTTATTTTTCTTTCTTTCTTTCTGATAAGGTGTTATGGTGTATTATTATGCACTTGTTGCATTATCATTTACAAGTTGTCAGAAAAAAATAAGAAGCAAATGCTGGCAAGGATTCAAAAGAAAGAAAGCAAAACAATAATAGAATTGTCTGAATGCAATGAAGGAGGTGATAGTTAAAAGTTGACAAAAGTTGTTGAATACATTGAAGGAAGCAAAAGGTTTCGAATATATATACATTGCATTGTTGACAAAACCATTTTTGTTTTTTTTGATAAATCTTCTTGACATAAACCTTGGGAGGTTAAGTTCGTTGTATTTATACCAATCTTTTTGGATTTATGACAAAAGTAAAGAATGATTGTTACGACACAACTTATTTTTTGCTTTTACAAAGCATTTATCCAATCGAAAGATAAGAAGTATCACTTTAAGAAAATAAAAGTTCCAAGTACTCATATAGTACTTTGTTAGTTGAGTTTTTTCTTTTACGAAATTTTGGTTTGTAACACGAATTATATTAAGTTTCCGTGGGATTCCAACTCAATACCAATTGACGGATTGATTAATGTCACTTATATATAATTCTTAATTTTATTTAGTTTTAGATTTGGGATCATATATAACATGTTATTTCGAGATGATAACTTCTATCGGCAAATCTCATATATTGTTTAAGATCCTTAGAGCAACATTATCAAGGAGATTTAAGGAGTATCTTAGCAAATTTAAGATTTAAATTTAAATCAAAAATCATAATTTTAGGTAAGATACTTAAGATAGGTATCTTATGCAAGATATTTTTGGAGGGTTAAGATACGTATACGTGGCACATTTTGATTGGATACAGAGATAAATATATAAGGGAAAAAAATAACTTGGTTTTTTTCTTTCTTTTTCTCGCGATGCGAAACAACAATATCACCGACGACCACCATCTTTTTTGTCAACCGACGACCACCATCTTATATATGTTTTAAATTTTAAATTTTGCTATAATTATAAAATTTTCTCAAATTACAATTTTTAATTTAATTTAATTTTTAAATAATTTTATTTTCTTTCTAAGATATCCAGATGAAAATGAACGAGATATGTAGACTCAGTTTGATGTCACCGAATTTCAACAAGCGGAAACTGTCGAAAGTACATGAGTGGATTTCTTGTATGATACAGATATGCCTTCAAATTTCGTCGATCTGATGGCCGCTAGAACTCGACTTCGGGATCGAGCTAACCATGAACAATTGAATAACGTTTTTGTCAAACATATTTGAAGTAAATTTTCACGCAGTCAAGTTTAAATTTATTGTACTTTATGTTATAATTTCTATCTTATAATTTCTCTCTTATGAATGTTTTCAAATTCTAAATTTGCAATAATTATAAAATTTTCTTAAATTACAAATTATAAAAAAATTTCTAAGATACCCAACTTAAGATCTTACCAATAATCACATCTCAAAACTAAAAACTCTTAAACTCAACTTTTTCAAATTTAATACTAATTAATTCTAAGATACCCTAATTAGCATACTACCTATAATGTTGGTCTTATAGAGGATCCTACCAAATCTAGGATGGTATGTATAAGTTTTAAACACACAAAAACTGATTTTGGACTTGTGATATCCTTGACCCTATTGATTAATATATATGTTTCTCATTTTCATGTTTTCATGATTCGTTAGATACGTACTTTTGCCAATCAACAAGTTCAGTAAAAGCTCACATACTTAGATGATTCTGTTCTGATTTATTTATCTCATAATCTCTTTCGATGCTTGGAATCAGGTCGCTTGAACTAGAGATCCTTTAAGTTGTTACTTTCAAAACCACTACGTACATCACACCGTCCACTTGGTTACAACATGATTACGTTTTTTAAGGTTTACAAGTCATTACTATATCCAAACGAACGTAAACAAAGGATGAAGCTGAAAATGACGTCGAAGGCATGGAAAAATCAAAGTCATTAGTCAGAAATCTAACAATTTCGAAAGAGAATTCACCTTTTCTCCGATAATTGAATTTGGTCGAGTTTTATAGGTACAATGTACCGTACACTATAAGAAAAAGTCATAATCAGATTTTGTTTTATCAAGAAATCATTTGACATATATATTATAAATCCATAACTTTTATAGAAATATTAATCATCGACCAGCTTAGAAAATAGCTGAAACCAAAACCCACTTGGTCAATAATAATACAATTCCGAGTGTTAACAAATTGACTATTACACAAAGACCAAAACCAAAAAACAAAGGTCTTAAATCGTTTTTTGTGCCTTTGAAAGTAAAAATATATATTTTGTTTTTTTTTTACTTTCATGGAAACTAAATAAGTCTATAAATCCAAGTTTCTGGATTTTCTTTTTCTTTTGAATACACACATAATTAAGAAACTAGTTAAGTTTCAAGAGTTGTAAAATCAGTCATACAAGCCTTCTTGCTCCCATACATCCACAAGAAAATCCACCATTTCCTGCCATAATTATCATATTAACAGCAAATTCTAAATCACATTTGTAATAAGAAACTAGATGTAATCGCAGGAAGTTTCTACTTGAGAAATTTGCTTACAGGGAGAGGTATTGGACGAGAAAACCTCTTGTTCATACCCAACAAGCTCTCATATGTTGCATTCCAGCTGCAGAATACGAGATATTAGCTTACAGAAGATTGATATCGAGGTTAACTCTAACGGCTAAGAATGAAACAAACATCAATGAGCAAAAGGCTAGAGCCTGGAGAGCATCATAGTTTTGTAAATAGCAGCTGATGAGGAATAGGAGATTGACAATCCAAACTATCTCAAACTCAAATGTTTGTTAGAGCACATTAGACATCAGTATCGCAATCATATTCTTTTCAGTATTTTTGATTCTTGTTCTAGATATAATTAAGTGGAGAACTACTTTGACAAAGGATAAATGCAAATGCAGAAGAGAAAAACAATGATAACTTTCACCAACCTTATTGTAGGTTCTCGAAGTTTGGCCTTCTTTTGAGAAGTCCCATTTGCAAGCCACTGTTGCCTAGTTTGGTTCCAGAGGTTCAATCCTGGACAGGAAGAAAGAACAGACACAAACTTTCTTTAGGGAAAATAATAGCAATGAAGAACAAAAATACGAATAAACAGCGCAAAGAATCATGAAGTAATAGAATAAAGCAATCCGAATGTCAAAGAACTAATATCCGAAGATGCAGGCCAAAACATTCCGATACACAAAAAAGTGGATGAAATAATATATAAACGCTGCTGCATATAGAATGCACAGGTCAGGTTTAATTCAAGTTATGTTTGATATAGTATACTCATCAGTAGCCAGTGCATCAATTGAAGAAAGTTTTCATGTTGATACAGCATATACAAAGTAAATTCTAGAAAAATGTGCCTCCAAATGGACTTCTCCACAGGCTCAGTCATGAACTTGGAATCTTCAACTGATTGATAATAAATAAATATGGACAATAATGTAAGCCAAAACCCACTTACATATATTAAATGTAACCATCAGTATGAGTATGCTAATACCATAAGTAGATATATTCAAAGTTGAATAAATCAGACCAAATAAAAGCTTTTAAAATGGCCTTTTCACTTGTTAGAGAGACAAGTCAAGCAAAGAAAATGCAAGAAAGGGTCACTGGAAACAAGAATGTGTGTAAATTTTAACTCACCATTGTTTACAAATTCTGTGGGGTTACTTGTACTTGCAGAAGTGTTGTTAGTGAAGCTGATCGAAGAAATGCTTCTCTGTGACTGAAGTGTACTGTTATCCATCTCGCAGGTGCTTGTGCTCCAAAAGTCGTCTGATACACTTGGCTTCTTCACTAAACGACCTTGAATCCTTAACCCTTTAGATGGCTCATCCACTGCAACTATAAGCGGTGGTTTATTGCAGCATCCAAAACAACCTCTGTACTGTTGCAAAACCACAAAACAAAAAATGCCAGTGAGAAGACTTTGACTATGATTGCAGCTCATGGAATCTGTCCTTGAAAGCAATAAAAATGCAAGAACTAAGACAACTCATCGCAGCTACAACCATAGATTTCGCAGAGAGAGATCAAGATATGATTTTTATGATCAAACAAGAGAAAGGGACACAGGAAAGTTCCTTTATATACTCTAAAGATAACAAAGTGAAGTTTCTTCGATGATCTCAAACAAAAGGTATATATACACTCAGAACACTAAAGAAAGCAAACGGTTTCAAACATCTTGAGCAAAACTAAAACTTGATAGATGATTGGATTCCAAATATTTGCTTAAAATGCAAGCAACAACCATACATATCCACATAAGCAATAAGGTAGATATACAGGTAAGCAAACCTAACCAACAAATTAAGTAACAAAAACATATCAAATCTTAGAATTTAAAGTCAATTTTTTTACACTACAGTTTCATAAGATTCCTCTTCCTTTCTCAGTCACACAGACAAAGACTGAGACTTTCAATTCCAAAAACACAAGAACTGAGAAGAAAGATCCTCACTCACCCCATGCAACCAAACAACTGGTAGATCCAAGAGGGAATAATTTCACGGAGATGCATCTACAATAACCAAATTAGAGATCTTCTAATCAAGACCCTGATTCCAGGTAGGAGAAGTCTCACAATCCTGCAGTTTTCACACACAAAAAAAAAAACCCTTAAATCTAATCTCACTCAAATCCAAAAAAAAAATCACTTTTTTTTAGGTGATGAGAGGAACAAAAACATAGAAGCTAACCTCAAAAATGGCATATTCGGGGCAAATTGGGATTAGGGTTTTGTTCCACCACCTCCCCTGCAGCTAAATCTCAAACCTTTCTTCTTCTTTATTCAATTTTTTTTTTTTGTTCTTCCTTTTGGGTTCTTCTTCTTCTGCTTCTTCTTTGCTATGTGCGTGTGTGGTGGTTCTGCAACTCCCAAAAAAAAGTAAAGAATAGAAAATATTCCGTTTTTTATTATTATTATTTTTTCACAGAGAAAATTGTCTGTTACTTATTCTTTATTAATTCAATAATAAATATATTTGTGAATGAAAAAAAAAAGAGTAAACTACTCTTACTTGTTAACCAAAAGAAAAGACCTATTACTTAAAATTCAAAAATTTCCTCTTTCATGAATATATAATTTTATAGATTATAATATATATAGTGGCATATAGTATAAATATTTTATTGATTCAAAAAAATATATTTAAAAAGCATAATTACTTTAATTTATTCCAAAAGGTTATGCTTTTATATTTCTTTACAGAAAAGAAAGATATATTCGTGCATGTGGCAGCCATTGTGATTAGGCACACTTTATTTTGTAGTGTATTTGTTTCTTCACATTTTTTTTTGTTATTGTCACGATTTTATGAATACGAGAGTTAATTACATAGAGTTAAGTAATAGTGTAAATTGTGTAATACTCTATTCTTGTTTCTATAACAATTAATGAAATTATTATTTTGTTTGTCATTTTTAACCATTTTTTTAAGCTAAAAATTGTTATAAAAAGATTAATAAAACGGTTAAACTAGAAAACACAACTGTTTTTTTTAGTTGATCAATTTGACAAGAATGAAGGTAGCATTACGGATAATTTTTGTATATAAAGATGAAAGAACAATAAAACATTAAATGGATAATTTTGTGTCGGCAATGAAAATAGATAAGTTGTGTTGTGTCGCCATCTCAATTATTGAGAAAATATACGAAAAAGTGTGAAGAGTTTTCGTTTGGTGTTATCCATATATGTTTTAATCAATAAAGGCTAATGAAGGGTCTACAAGTATAGTATTTTAGCTTATTAGATTCTGATTAAAGCCAATTTGGACATTTATCACTATTGTATTACATATAACAGTAGATTAATTTAAATTAAAGACAATTTGGAATTGGACATAATCACTATGTAATTCAAATTGTAAACTCTCTATTATAAGATAATCACATTTTGGATTATTTTTTGTTAAAATAGGTTTGACTCGTGGGTTTTGGATATAAATAGCCAACACATGCATGCATAAACATAGCTATAAATCGAAATAAATAACACATTCTAAAGAGTATACAATGAAAGTGTTACATTATCACCTAAGAAGTGAGGATTGGAGGAAGATAAGTAGATTTTTCTCCTACGACCTTTGCATTAGTATCAGGAAAGAACTCAGTGCCAGCAAGATTTGTTACTTCCCCATTGCTACCAATGCTCATAGGATAACTAAGCAAATGCCCTGGTAAATCATGATCTAGAGGGTACTCTTGTGCTGAGTATAATCCCCATAGCTCGTCTGCCTTTGCAATTACCATTCTTATACACTCTTCGCTTTCCGGGCATTGAAACGGGTTAGTTGTGATTCGTAGATGTTCTAGCCATAGTGATATCCTAAAGCTAAAAACTTGGCCCGTTGGTCTCATATCATTAGTAGATAGTAGATGGCTAGGTTGGTATGCTCCTATAGCGATCTCCGAGTCTCGACCTCCATCCATAGACCTTTGGTTTATATTGGCTGATCCTATTATTATGTATTCATCATCAACTGCATAGAAATATAAACCATGTTAAGAGCTCTTTGATTGATCTCAATAGGTTCGTTTATCTCTTATAAACACTACACTTCCTTAAGCCAAATAAAAATGCTAAGTTCTAAGTAAAAAAATGGTAAGTTATAAAATATTTGTTGTGACTTACCAATCATCATTTTAGAGTGAACATAGATCATGAACCGACGAGATTCTTGAGCTCTTGCGTAATCAGAATTGGGCTCTGGTTTCTCCGGAGGCAAGTATTCACCCGCTTTGCCGACTTCGCGGTTCCCGAGGCAGAAAAACGCTAGGTAGTCTCTAGGATTTGCATCTAAACCTTTCTTGCGTAACGCAATGATGATATCAGTATACATCATCTCCATTGTTCTCCTTTGCCAGTCTAGTATTGCTTGAACCGAGGCAGAGCCAGGTTTACCTTCAGGCCATAACGGTATCACAATATACGCGGAAAACCTCTCGCCTGCCTCGATCTTGCTCACGATTTTGAGAGAAATTTCTTTGGGAATGAGTTGTAATGCATTGATCTCATTCAAGTTGATATCTCTAGAGTTCCATCCAAAGGAGCTTCCAAGAAAATATTGGTTCTCTATGTAGATGAAGTGCTTGGCTCTCCTTATGGCATTAACATACGCGTCTTGTATACTTCTTTCGATCACGTTATCTTTCCCGGTTATAAGTCCTATGCTTGAAGCTTCACGTGGATCCTCTGGGAACCCTTCAACTGCACCATTATCTATGGACCGGAATACTTGAACCGTCCAGCCATCTTCATTGTCTGGCTGTACAATAGGAAGTGGTGGAACCGTGATCTCTGCGAGCTGTGCCATTGATACAAGGTACCTTCTACCACTACCTATAAACACACAAAATTAGTTTCTAACGAATTAATGATTGAATGACTTTTGTTTAGGGGTACCATATTCAAATATTAATGTATATGCTTTAAAGAAAATGATAATGTAAACGTTATATTCAAACATTTGTGAAGAAATTGTTTAAAGTTATATATGCATGCTTAGGTTTTATTTGAAGACAATCACTATTTCTTATAACATGGAAACACAAAATGAACCGTTGAAGCTTAGTTATTTGTATAAGTACCTTGTTTCATCCACCTTTGCTCAAAATTGTATAAAACATCCCACGCGGCAGGACCATCCACCTTGCAATGGATATCGTGCCATGGCTCACGTGGACCGCCTTTTTTAATCGATGCGCCATCAAAGTTGGGCTGGTGAAAGTCATTAGCATGAACACCATTCAAAGTACCAAACAAAGGATGCTCCACAGTGTCATATCTCCCATCACAAAGATCAATACCTCCAAGAAAACTCACTATCCTTCTCTTGGTTCTTGACCCATCCACTTCACCGTCCACCACAATCGTCTTTTGATGGTGAGTAAACATTGTAGATACCTCGAACCCTTGCACAATGCTCTCACCATTATCCGGGTTCCTTGGACATAGAACGCAACGCACTTTCGTGTTCCTAAAGTAATCGTAAGTTTCTTGATCATGAGTCATCATCAAACCATCTCTCCTAAACACTTCGTGAGACGTTCTATCGTCCCACACAAGCAACAGAACGGTCACGTTTTCTTCTGCTTTCTTCTTCAACAATTCACCTAGCTTAAGGTTCCCTCCCGTTCTTGATTGTTTAGGATCCCTAACCAATGTTATGTTAGTGTACACTGACCAACCAGCTATGTATATCAAATGTTTTGCATTCCATATCGCATCGAAAATCTCTTCCCAACACCGATGATGCTTAAATATAACTTGTCCTCCCGAGAGTTTAATATCAGGGTATTCACTAAGAACGTGAGCGTCTTGGTAAAGAGTAACTTTGCAACCTTCTCTTTGGTTAAAAAACGCGTTAGGAACTCCTTTGAAAGAAGGTAATATGATTCCTTTGTTCCAGTTCACGTCCTGTGTCACGTGAGTGAACTTCACACGGACATGGATCTTGGAACCTGCTTGGATTGGTCTCCTGTTCTCGTCTAAGATATCGAGCCATCGGTCTATAGGTTGTCCCGTGATGACTTCGGTGACAGGTAAGTAAGCTCGACCGATCAAACTAGCACCAACCGGTTCATCTTCTTTGACCGTGAATACGATTTTAGAGATTGAGTGTGCGGTGTAGACATAGAAAGATTGTAACCATTTAGGATGACGTCTCATCATGGTTCGAGCCACCCTTGACCTGTCTAGGTCAACCGTTGCGTAGAGATGTCCACCAAACATATTTGTGCATGAGTCCGTTAGTCTCTTCATTTGGGATTGAGTCTTTTTACCCATTGGCTCCTTGTTTCCCTATGAATCATTTTTACTAGTTACGTAACCTTCGTCTAACATTTCTTATTCCTTAAAATCTTGATAATTAAACCGCATCTTTTAATATTAATGAAGAAAAGAATGTTAAAAACTATACATTAAAATCTACAATCCACTATATATATATATATATATATATATATATATAGCTTATTATAAAAATATTATTGTTTTGTTACCTTGCCGCATAAATTGAATCTTGAACGTTGATGCAACTTATCGATCCTATAGATCTTTACTTCAAGAGTTCCATGAAGTAGCAATTGTTCCGCCATTTTCTTTCACCTGCAAATTTAAAAAATATATATATAGTAAATGTCAATTATTTTTAGTGAATGAGTAATAATTTGTTTTTAAAAGAAATGAAAAGTAAACAAGTAACAACCAGAATAAGGTCGAGAAAATCTCCCTTTTGATGAGGATCTTTTCGGAAACGGCTTAGCGATTAGTCTATGTAGACATAAAGTTAGAATATAAGGAGAAAAACGAATTTCGAATACAAAACTTTTGGATTAGGTTGGTGATTACTTTGGAAGACTACATTGGGTTACAAGAAAGAAAAGAGTTGAAGTCTTGAGACCATACGTCTTAAGTAAACCTTTTCTTGTAGGCCAAACCCAAGACAAGAGATCAAGTCCAAGACGGGAATATTCTTGGGATAGTAATCTTCACTACTCTTTTCTTCTTGTATTAGGGATATACACTCTATTCCATTTCATTTTCATTATTGTTGTGTAAATGTTTTATACAAAATAAAATGATTATTATTCTTTTTAAACAAAAACTATAGAAATCTAATTCTACTAAATCTCTAACACTGAAAAAACGATATAACCCTGGCCCCTTGTCCCGTTTTCGCATCGTCATGTACTAACTCATTCATGTGGCTGTCCATCTTTATATATATCTCAACTTATTTAATTGTTTTTGTACGTTTGGCATATGTAGGTGAAATTCATTTATTTAAGCTTAAGGTTTAAATAGTTCTTGTCTCCTTTAGGTTCATAACATTTAATGGACAACTACTACTTCATATATCCGTGGACTTTAACCTTGCGACGCACCGACAATAATCTAGCTTTCTCATTAATTAATCGTCAAAACTTCTACAATTTAGTTGATCGTATTTACAAAATTACAAGTAAAGTCTTGCTATAACGATGATAAGATAAATATAGCTGTTCGAGAAAAATATATATGAGTGTGTCGGTGCATATAATACTAGCTAGCATTTTTACTTTGATTTTTTACGTGATCAGCCATCTATACATAATCCAGAAACAAAAAATAAACAGCATGATTAAATTGTATACATAATTTAATTTAGGATATTATAAATAGAAAGACATATATGAATAATTGAGTACACAAGAGACAATACATCATTATCAAAGACTAGAGAGAGTGCATTATTACTATACAAAAAGCCACTAGGCTTGATGAGTCTTCTTATAATTGGTTGTTCAGTGCCCTTCTCGATAGTTTGTCTAAGCCTTAAACCGTATAACAACATTTCTTGCCATCAATATTCACATAACTAATGAAGAATACATACGAACTCATTATAGATTTTTACGTTCCGTAGGCAATAAGATATATATATGATCAGTTGGTACCATTTTTTATGGGATGTACTGACATCAAGCATATATAACCAAGTAACACAATGACACGGGAGAGAGAGGAGCTAGAGGGGACAGACAATAAATACCATAAGAAAAAAAAGTAGAGAGGACGTGCGAAAAGCATTAGGAGTTAAGTGTGAGTGGTTGGAATTGGAAGTAAAGAGAGATCATCAAAGGAAGAAGAAGTGTCTCTCTTTCTCTTTCTCTTTCTCTATCTTATTCTCTAGTTCATGCTAGAATAGATATATGTCTTTGAGTTTGTGTCAGAAATAAAACACAGAGAAATTAAGAATCCGATAAGAATGGTACATTCGAAGAAGTTCCGAGGTGTCCGCCAGCGTCAGTGGGGTTCTTGGGTCTCTGAGATTCGTCATCCTCTCTTGTCAGTTCTCTCTCTCTCTCTCGAACACATCACTATAAATACCTAATATACAAGTCCATGCTATGGCTAATGCGTGTGTTTCTTATACCTTGATGATCCTTTCAAAAAACTATATATACTTACTTAATATATGCAATCTTAGACCAAGCATTTTGGATTAAGTTGTTTTCCTCAGTTTTATCAACGTATACATATGTTTGAATTTGTAAATTTGGGTGGGTATATATACATAATTGCTTTCATACAATTGAAATTGATGTTTTAGGGAAATGGATGTATTTTTATATATGTGCATACATTATATTATGGGTGTGATTACGGATCAATATTTGTGAGCATCCTATGATCCTTCTCTTAAATTGACATCTTCTAAAATCATATATGTTCTGCAATTAACCAAATACAATTTCTTTTTGTATAAGAGAAAAATTATAATAATAAAATTATGCCCATACTCTTTTCTCAATTTGTAAAGTTTATTACTGTTATTTCTGAATACAAACTTAAATATAGACAAAAAAAACTAGATATATACACAAAAAGAAAGAATATATGTCTTCTTTTTTTGGGTGCACCCATATGTCTTTTTCTAATACTAATATCTTGTAATTTATTTCTTTCAAAGCTAGTATTATTGGTTTTAGAACTTCTTTTTTTCTGCGTAGAGTTTCGTATCAAATTTAAGTGGATAAATGAGTAATCTCTTTGGCTAAATGCCTAAATAATTTGGCAAAGGAAAGAACACTAACTATAGAACTTTCTCCAAAAGAAAAGTATCTATTAATAGAAAGATAAATAAGTTGTATGTTTTGTGTTCTTTTAATCTTTGGTTATGCATGTAATGTAATGTGTGTTTTGGTTATTAATACTGTACTTTGATCATGTAAACTAATGCGCGTTCTTGTGAGACCTATCAGGAAGAGAAGAGTATGGCTCGGAACGTTCGACACAGCTGAAGCAGCGGCTAGAGCCTACGACCAAGCTGCTGTCCTAATGAACGGTCAGAACGCAAAGACCAACTTCCCCGTCATCAAATCCAACGGCTCAGATTCATCAGTCGTCGTTAACTCTACCTTAAGGTCGCCAAAATCGTTGTCCGAACTCCTAAACGCTAAGCTAAGGAAGAACTGCAAAGACCAGACACCGTATCTTACGTGTCTACGCCTCGACAACAAAAGCTCGCACATCGGGGTGTGGCAGAATCGAGCCGGTTCAAAAACGAGTCCAAACTGGGTCAAGCTTGTTGAACTCAGTGACAGTGTTAACGCACGTCCCGGTGAAGATACTGAGGTTCATAAGATAAAGAAACGTAACGACGTCGTAGAGGAAGAAGATCAGATGGCGATGCAGATGATCGAGGAGCTGCTTAACTGGACTTGTCCTGCTTCTGGATCCATTGCACATGTCTAAAGAACAAATCACTGAAGTAGATGACCAAGATTATATAACATAGAAGATGGATGATAAATAATGGATCGTATAAGTAATATTACGTAATTAAAAAAAAAAGTAATATTACGTAGCTTTAATTAATACTTGTCCAACATATATATGATAGCCCTATAGATAGAAATAATACTTTATATACGTAAACATTTTTTTAAAATAATATATATATATATGTTGTGGTGTAATGAAGAAAAGCTTTATGAAAAAGAGAGTTGATATATTTTCTGTTGAACTTGTCGACATGATATTATTACGTAGAGGAGAGACTATAGATGACAAGAAAAGTATTTAATGTGAAAACTCATTTGCGAATTAGATTCTTGTGATTCGAATGTTTTTAGTCCTACCTCGACTAAGATAGCTTTTACTATGGTGTTAGTGTTACGGCTAGGTAAGTACAACGTTCACATATTTTATTGTAACTCAAATCATATTATTGGCACGTAAGTATTTTAAAATTAGATCTAAACCTCACATATATAAACCGGATTTTAACTATACGCATTTTATTGTAATTATTAGTTAGAGTTACAACGTTGTACCGTGGGGGGTTTTAGACTTTAGAGTTAAGTTCTGTATTTGTTTCAAAATTAGATTGGTTTATTAGTAGATTTAAAATTTAATTATTTTTCGTTACTTTAATTCTGAAATTATGCTATAATAATTAAAACTGCTTAAAAATATTTATTTCTTGATAAATCTAAATATATGTATGCTTATCTACAAATTTAGAAAATCAATAAATTTCTCAAGAAAAAAGAAAAAAAAACAATTATAAATTGGTGAAGCACTTCCGTTACGTGGTCTGTCTTAAGGACAAAGTCTAAAAACGTTTTTTCAGGATCTCACCAAATTTCAATTCCCAAAGTTTTAGTTCAGAGAACTCACCACACACCATATCGCTATACCAGTCTCCTTCGCCGCAGAACCACCGTAGTAAAAGATCACAAAAACATGGGGAAAGGTGGATCACTTAGCGAAGGCGTGATCAAGAACATCATCATCTCCTACACTTACGTAGCGATATGGATCTTCCTAAGCTTCACCGTCATCGTCTACAACAAATACATCCTCGACAAGAAGATGTATGGTTGGCCATTCCCGATCTCACTCACAATGATCCACATGTCCTTTTGCTCAACCCTAGCTTTTCTCCTCATCAAGGTCCTCAAAGTCGTCGAGCCTGTCTCAATGTCACGTGACACTTACCTCAGATCCGTCGTGCCTATTGGAGCCTTGTACTCGCTCTCTCTTTGGCTGTCTAACTCAGCCTACATTTACCTCTCTGTCTCCTTCATTCAGATGCTCAAAGCCTTGATGCCTGTCGCGGTTTATTCCATTGGCGTGCTGTTCAAGAAAGAAGGTTTCAAATCCGAGACTATGATGAACATGCTTTCGATCTCTTTCGGCGTAGCCATTGCTGCTTATGGTGAAGCTAGGTTCGATGTTTGGGGTGTGATTCTCCAGCTTGGTGCGGTTGCTTTCGAGGCTACACGGTTGGTAATGATTCAGATCTTGCTTACTTCTAAAGGAATCACTTTGAACCCTATCACTTCTCTCTATTATGTTGCTCCTTGTTGCTTAGCTTTCTTGTTTATCCCTTGGATCGTTGTGGAGTTTCCCATCTTGAGAGATACCTCTAGCTTCCATTTCGATTACCTCATTTTCGGGACGAACTCGTTCTGTGCGTTTGCTTTGAATCTTGCTGTATTCCTTCTGGTTGGGAAGACCTCAGCCTTGACCATGAATGTTGCTGGTGTGGTTAAAGACTGGCTCTTGATAGCCTTTTCTTGGTCTGTGATCAAGGACACTGTGACTCCTATCAATCTTTTCGGGTATGGGATCGCGTTCTTGGGTGTTGCCTACTACAATCATGCCAAGTTACAAGCATTGAAAGCTAAAGAGGCTCAAAAGACTACTACTCAGCAAGCTGATGAAGAGGCTGGTCGGCTTTTGGAAGAGAGGGAAGATAATGAAGGTGGGAGGAAGAACGAGCCACAAGATTGAAAAAGGATAAGAAATTGGAATTTTTGGTAACATTTCAGAGTATTTTTTCTGTTTTTGTTTTTGCTTGATATACATTTGTTGGAATAAGAGAGCTTGAAGGTTGTAGTAGATGCCAAACACATTTTGATGATGATGATGATAATGAGACCTAAGAATGGTATTTGGTCTAACTGATCTTGTTTAGTTTTTTTTCTTTATGTTGTTACAATTTTGCCATCACTTGGTAACCAAAACTCAATAAATCTATAAACATATTATCTTTCAAATGTATAAATTGTAGTATGAGAACTTTGTACACTTGCTTTATTAACGAGTCCACAAAATTACTAAATGACAATCTCATGAGATATGATGTGTCAAAACTGTGTTTGGTTTATACAATTTTCCATGATATGTCCACTGTTTTGGAAGCACCTGACAACTAAACAACAGTTACAGGAGAAACAGACAAGACAACTTACAAAGAAATTACAACTATTCCATAAACTGCAGAGACCAAAATTGATGTCTGAAAATAGGATTGGTCGGTCTCCTGATGCAAACTAAGAGATGTGCTGACTTGTTCATATATATCAGGAGAATCCAAAAAATCCAAACTGTTTCATCTTGAGAAGAGTGTAGTGACACGTTCAGGAGATGTTAGTGTTGCCACACTTTTAAACTGTCCAAAAACAATTCATATAGAATGTGAGACCAAACTCAATGTAAGCTTTGACACTTTCTTAAATGAAAAAATTGATGTATACCTTTTCTTGGTTGTATTTGGTTCGTATAGCAATAAGGGTGCTTCCATTGGTGTTGAGCTGCAAATTCTCCATTGCAATCACTGTGTTCTTTAGAGCAGATGCCTCATATCTTGTATAGTGCTGCAGAGTTGGGTTCTGTATATACCATTCATATCAGCAAGATTGTTTTCCCTTAAAAAGAGTAAAGTGAAAACATTCACAGTCAAGAAATGTGAGCTCATACTCACCCATGGATGGCTAGATTGGTCGAGTGTCCATCTTGCTAAGAAAACCGCTGAAGCGGCAATTAAGGATGGCTGGAACCTTAGGAAAGTATATTCCACGAGAGTGAGTTCCGCGAAATAGTTTGCTAAGAACTCCATCTCAATGAGGGGAACCTGTGTACAAGCAAAATCAGTTTAATGATTCATAGTTAAGTAAAATGCTGAGAGTGACTATGAAATGGATCAATGTAAACTACCTTTTCGGACGCTTGAGCTGCTAGAATGAATCGCCTGAAATGTAGAAGAAGAAAATGATGTTAACATTTTTTTGAAAAGTTAAGTGTGGTAGTGATGCATTTTTGTGACTTTAAGTGTTTTACCTTAGAAACGTTTTGGTGGTTGGAACTGATAACCGAAAGTGCAGAAAGTTTAAAACTTGAATCTCCATACTTAGTACCTGAAAGAATTATAATTGTTTTTGTTAATCTTTAATCAAAACTTAATTATCTTAGAATGAAACTGATATAGATAAAGTTTGCAGGTTAGTTACTTCTTGTCTTGTGTATGTATTGTCTGTAATGAAGCAAAACTCCTCCAACCGCGGTGCACTAATCTCTTCGTATTTTCTTCAACAAGACGGTAAAAGAAAGGACAACTTAGTTAATTGATGAGTACAAATCTATAGAGTCAAGTATACAATGAAACCAAACATGTGTTCCTCTGCATGAACTTATATCTTCAGTTTTTACACTCATTGCTATGTGAATGCTACTATCTAGAATCATACTTCTATAACTTGAATTTAAGGAAAAAAGTAAAAAGTGGTAAACTCACGAGGCTATTAGCATGCAAGTGACACCAAGCAGCTGAAGCCTCTGCTTTTCAATGTAGTTATGAGACATGAACCGATCAATTAGATTCACGGTAAGGTAAAGTGTATCTGAAGCCAGCTTGTACTCTTCAGAAACCTGAAAGAAGTAACATAAATAGATGTTCTAACACACTTTCAAGTAAAGCTATGTATAGCAAATATTATATACATACCTCCACAAGCCAATCAATCAGAATCCCGCGCATAGTTGGATCGATATCTCGCTGCACTTGCACCATATAGCTAGTTGAAGGTCTTTGGTCAAGCTGTACCCAGAATGTGGTAATACCAATAACTCAGAATCTCAATATATCATTTTCTGAAAAAATAAAACAAGACCAAGTATATGGATTCAAACCTCTGCAACATGAATGTTGTCATATATACTTGCAGCATATAAGCTACAAAACTTAGGATCTTGGACACTGGCATCTATATCTACAACCTGAAGACAATCTGAGACATCGGATTCATCTTCGTCTGCACAATCCAGTAAAGCTTGAGTAAATTTGGGAAACATGCACTTTAGTATATGCTTCTATTTAACAAGATTCTCTAAAAGGTTTGATAAATAAAATGGTCTTCTGATTGTTATATTCAAATATTGCATATTTAGTAGTGAAGTTTCTTACTTTTGTTAGTAACTTCTCCATCTTTAGAGTTTTGAGCAGAGGCATCTAAGGATTCAACCATCCTAACCTTTGACAAATCTTCTGCTAATTTCGATTTTTCGATATCCACATCTACCAAGCCTTTTTCTGCTACTTGCTTAATCTCTTTTCGACCTCGCGTTGTAGCCTATTACATTGTATCAGTAAGAAACTAAGAATAATGAAAAACAAACACCAATCAATCAAGATTATTCAAACAAAAGCATCACAAATCATCACTATATACCTTAACATTGCCTTGTGTACAAACTATACTTCCTGCCAAAGTAGTATTAGTCACATCCTTGAGCACCGCCCGTCTCTTACAAACTTTGTTATTATCTGATGCCATTCGTTTGTTACTCGGTCTAACAACACGCTTTGACTCCTGTTTAAAAACCGGTTTCCATGGAGACATTGACACTCCTAAAGCCTTAGCTCTTGATCTAGTAACTCTCACATTACTCTCTCGAGTTTTCATAGTAGAAATATTATTCTCAATCTTCACATCAGATTGCATAGAAGAAGAAGCTCTATACATAATTTTAAATCAGAAATCCACCACTGATTTTCCCAATCCTGGAGGATAAAATAGATGTTATATATAGTCTTCAAAATAGCATAATTACAAAAAACGAATAGCAAAATTAAACTGTGATCAGATCTCATCAACTCGTGTAAATTTCTGAGAAATTGAGTTAAAGAGAGATTAAACAAGTAAACTCTAGTTTAATTTTACATCTTTGGATCCAAAAAAAAATTGTTATAAAAATTCAATTACAAATTCATATGTAACCATTGAACAATTTTCTTGAAAATTGTGTGACAATAACAAGAAGAAAGAACAAACACAGAGGATAGAACAGTCTCAAAACAGATCTACAAACCCAAAAATTATGAGCCCAAAAAAAAAAAAGAAAAAAAAACATCGATCCAAACGAAGAACAAAAGAGGAGAGTGTTACCTTAAAGCATAAGAGAATCAAATTGAGAGAGAGAGAGAGAGAGTTTGAGAATGATCTTGAACTTGAAGAGAGAGTGCGTTGAAATAGGAGCGTGTGTGTGAGAGGAGAGAGCATGAGCGGGATTTTTTATCTGTGGTCTCGTTTCGAAATTTAAGATAATTAAAAATATTTTTTTGTTTGTTAAGTTGAAAAAAAAAAATGTATAAAAAAAAAGAGACTTTGGGATTTGGACAAATGATAATAGTTTGGAGTTTTATTGGGAAGTAAGTGACAGAACAGAAGTGGTCTCTGACTCTCTGACACCTTTGACGTCTGGTCTTGTTGCTTCTTTGCTTTGGCCAAGATCTACTAATCTCAGCCGTTACATGCTCTATTTGTTATATTAAACCGTTTCAATAACTTAAAAAGCCCATTCCAATAAGCCCATACCTCTTTCACCTTTGATAAAAAGCCCAATTATAAACATAAGCATGCAGTTATTTGGAGTTCGACAATGTCTTGTTTATTTTTTTTTGTTATAAGAATCTCAAATCAAATTTTCGCCATTGACAGATAAGAAGAAGTGTAAAATGTAACATATGATTTGTATTGACATGTTTAAGTACATTACAGTACACTCATAATAATTTATTACTTTTTATATATATAATTATAGAAAATCTTCTATATTGTAAATAAAATATTGCTGGGATAAAAAAAGACAATAGCATGCGAACAAATAAGAGCTAAGTAGATTAATTGTATAATAGTTTCATATGATTAATTCATAATATTTTTTATTAAGTAACAAGTCTAAAGATTACAAAGTAAAATGTTAAATTCCACAAGATTTTCCTCCGGGACCACCATAATTGAAAAAGAAACCGAGATGAGTACGATGAAAAAAACACTAGTTATTTAAGAATCATAATTAGTGATCACCATCAAACTGTTATATAATCTTATACATGGTGATCACTAATTATGATTCTTAAATAACTAATTTATAGATTTATAAATCTGTTTCATAAAAATAAACAAATATGAGGAAATACCTGATGGATGGATCGATGCGACCAATCAGGGTCTCCTGGGTTAATGTTTACGGGTTGGACTATGGGAATTTTCTCTGATACCTGAATAAACCCATCACATGCTGTACTGTAACATCCTTTCTCATCTTTACCCTATTGAAATCATATTTAATTTTAAAATGTTATTTGATTTAAGGACTAAGTATAAATAATTTACGAAAGTAAAATAAGAAATGTTCACATGCACACCTTAAAATATCCATATGTCCAAAGTTGTCCAGTACCAAAAAAACTTGGATTTATCTGTCAAAAAAAACTTCTCAATACTTAAATACAATCAAATATATAATCAAAATTTTAAAAGAAAACCACTAAAATGTAAAACTTACAATATAACCTGCTTGGATAAAATTGACTTGGTTATTCAACCAACTACCTATATATATTTCACTATATGAAGCTTGATAACTTTCGATGTATAGCGTATATCCATTATACCGAGCTTCTACACCACGATATGGACCACTACGTGACCTTACTCCAACAATCTACTAAGAGTGAGTTATATTAATATGAATATAGAATAATACTTGAAATACATATAAAACATACTTAGCTCTAATATATAAGGGAAAAAATAAGTGTATTGACTTGGTTGTTAAACCAAATGCCTATATATATATTTCACTATATGATGTTTAGCTTATGTCCATTATACCAAAGAATTCTACACCATGATATGGACCAGTACATGAACTTATTCGAACAATCTACCACGAGTCGGTTCTATTGACATGGATATAGATTAATACTTGAAAAACATATGAAAATAATTAGATATAATGTATAAGGAGAAAATTAAAATGCGTACATGTGATCCAGGACTATCGAATGTTAGCGGATGGGAATATTTCTTGGTATTGTACTTATTTGAGTTTCTCATTATGGGAACGGTTCCATCTGGACATTTTGTTATATGTGTCTTCGAATATGACTTGTTTTTTCCATTTTGATGCCTTAGTTCATGTCTTGAAACTGATGGTTTCATCTTTTCAAAGAACAACTTGTATTGTTAAATTCAAAATCACAATTTATAAAAGTAAATTCATAATCATGTTTGGATAGATTTTTGAAACGTCAATGCACCTGGATTGTGTGGTTTTGGAGCAAAGGATGACCAAGTCCTGGTTGCTTATTAATATCTACGCAATCATATGTAGCATTTTCACCTATCTGCCATTGACAATAAAGAAAGAAAAAAAAAGTAAAAAAAGTAAAAAAGTAAAAAAAAAAAGAAAAAAAAAGTGAGGTGATTCTGAACTCAGTCCATGATCCAAAAAAGAAGATGATGAAATTGAATCACTTAAATAGATTCACAATTTAACTTAATAAGGAAAACATGTGTCTTAAGTTCTAAAATTATTAACACTAACCGTGAAGGATCTGATAGGCAACACACTTTGATCTGAACGAACTAAAGCTGTTGAGAACAAAATATGTAAGAAAATTAAAACCAGAGCTATCTTAATTAGTTTAGTCATTTTTTTCTTCTTCAATAAAATAATGAAACCACTATGTTATTTATAAATACATATAATTAAGAAAAGATGTTAGCTTTTTCTAATTAAGGGAATACATATACAAATAATTGATTACAATTATTATTGGAAACATTAAAAAGAATATTTATTTGGGGTTTGACCAGAAAGAAAAATACTAATAGAGATCTCAAAAAAAAATATATAGCATTGTGAAAGAGAAGAAAATAGAAGTGGGGGAGAAAGCTTTACTAGGAAAAATTATCAAAGAAGCTTTGTAAGAAATTATAATAATTAATAATAATAATAATAATAATAAGTCAAAAATATCACTTGGTTATAACTATAGGCCACTTAGTCTTAATGGTTTTCAGTTTTGATATATGAAATTTGAAATATAAATCTTTTGAGATTTTATTGACTATCTTTTTATGTAACGTCTTTTGAAATATAAATCTTTTGGTATTAATTATTTACCCTTAATTATATTCATCTCTGTCTTTTTTAATTGGCGTTTTCTGTTTTTCTAATTTGTTATCTTTTTCAATTTTTTTTTTTTTTGTATGATTTGGTCCAGTTTGACCATCCATAGTTAATTATGGTTAAGAAAAACCGAAATTTATACGAGTTTCGAAGATTAGTAAAAAATCAAACAAACTATCAAAACTTAGAAAATATAATAGCACCCGAAACTTCTAGGTAATATAAATAGAGAAGAAAGACAACATTCAAAGGAAAATATATTTGTGAAAGTTTCAATGAGAAGGGAAGAACTTGTTGAGGCTGCAAGGTAGACCATAAAACTCGTCGTTTCGCACATCGAGATTGTATAGTCGAAACTTTTCCCACCATTTCAATCCGCAATCTTTCTTGGCTTCGTCGCTTTCACGAGACAATGTGCAATCAAGAATTATCGCTATAATTGTCGCAACTGTTGTGTGAGACATGAATATCACTCTTATCACATCTTCAAACTGTTTTGTATATATTTATTCAAGAAATCATTCACAATTTGATAAGTCACAAAAAAAAAAAGTGATTTATTTTAAACATTGTCTCAAAGTATATAAGAGTATTAGCTTACCCAATTCGAACGATGATCAGACCGCCAACCTCCATTGTAATACTCTCTGAAATATTGAGGTATTGAAACAGCCATAAAAAATGAAAATCCCAAAATGAATTTGGTGTTGAAGCTATTGAGGTTGCAGAATTGTAGAAAGCCAAGTCCAGCAGAAGCTGCAATCAATATAATTTTAATTTATTTTTGGTAACAAAGACAATCATATACTAATTATTATACATTATACATTTAGTAATCTTACACGACAGAAACTATAAGTGAATTGTGATGAAGATACTTACACACAAAACACAAGACGATGCAATAAAGAGATGCCATGATTGGTATTGGTATGGACGCGAAGAAAGCTCCAAACTTACCTGTATTTTGATCAAAATAAGACTAAATTGGTAAAAATATTCAACAAAATCATTTATGCATATCAATAGGTTATAATAAATAAATAAAAATTACCAAAAATGGAGAAAAAAAGCATGAAGGCAGCTGATATTTGTATCACTCTTCGACTCCCAATCTTAGTCATTGCCAAAAGTCCAACATTTTCTCTGAACATTAAGTTGCACTCATATCAAAACCATATCAATTTAGCTTTAAAAATTAGAATATCTTTTTTAAAAGTTAGAGATTAAAAAAGTGTAAAAAAAGAGATGAGTTTTGTTACGTTGATGTTGTGATCCCTGTGATACCTCCAAGCATGCCATTGAGTAATACTCCAACTCCCTACAACATAGTCATGAGATGATGAAACAAATAGTTAATACACGGTGAAAATATATGTTTTCTAAAACTGTGACTTGATTAAATTGGTGTTAGACTAACCAGCCAGCCAGTACCACGACCAACAACTGATGGTGGGATCGGCGTCGCGCTTCCATATCTTGCCGATGCATAAAACAAACCGGTCGACTACAATTGTACACAAAATGTTATCACTTCTCATGTTCAATCATAGAAAGCTGATTTTAAATACCAATTTCACATACAAGAAGAAAGTTTACTTGACCTCAAAGAGAGTGACGAAAGAGGCAGCCATCATCGCGAACGAATCAGTTAAGTCGAAAGTTGGGCTTCCCCATTGAAATGGATATGGTATATATATCCTATTGTTCATATAAAAATAAAGAATTTGAATACGAAAATAGTAAAATCGCCAAAAAAAAAAAAAGAGTAACAAACATTTTAACTAGAAGAACTGACCAAGAAGTGTTGGTTATGAGACCAGTGCGATCTGTACGACAACTTGTTTGAGTAGTATGATGCTTGTGGTCATAAACACCACTCGACGTGAGTAGTTGAGCATACAACCATATCACTGGAATGCATAACATTATCCCATAGCGGTCACATCTGTTTCCATCCCAAAGCATCACCCCTTTCTTCATCTTCATACAACGCGGTAAGTACTATACACCAAAGTGTATATATTTAATATAAGTGTAATTTGATATTAGTACTAATATAAGTGTAATTTTTTCTAATGATCTAGATTAGTGTATGTATAAAGAACATTAAGGAAAAAAATGCTAAGAAGCAATGCTTAGACATGTACCTGAGTGATAAAAACAAGTAGGATCAATCCAGGAAATCCTACTTCAACACATCTTGCTAACTGTAAAATGAAAGTTTCTTAAATCATAAAATTTATATAATTCTACAATACACAAAAACATTATCATTTTATATTTTGCCAAAGTTAGTATGTATACACATACCAAAGGGAAGCCAATTTGGTATAGTCCTAGTCCTGTAAATGTTGCCAAAGGAGCAATGGAGAGTGGGCTTAGAAATCTAATGGACACAAACCAAAATATTACATTCATGTTACGTTTAATGATAGAATCATATAATCTGGTTAAGAAAAATGATATTAAGTAAATTTATTACCTGACAATATTTCTCCATACGCCTAGAAAACAAACAACAACTTGGAAACATCCAGTGATAATGAGAGCTCCTTGTATGCTTCTCATTGTTCTAACAAATCTCTGATTTATTTTATTTTATCAAACATATTTTTAGATTAGTACAATATACATTGTAAGATTAATGATAATATTAGTGTTGAGACTTACTTCAAAAGGATCAGTGTAATAAGTGAATCGAGTTGAAGTAATGATGGAAGTGATAGGTATGATATAGGTGTAAGAAGCTGCAGCTATCACAGGCAATCGAGTTCCGAAGAAAGATTGGAACATTGTTGTTAATCCAGACACAAATAGTAATGTTTGTATCACTTTTGCTTTTTCTGCCTGAAAAATATCAAAAACATATATATAGAAAATTTATAATATACATACATATATATTATAATATGGAAAACTTAAGTGGTTTATACTTTATAATATCTAATCTTTGCTAACTTATTTAGGTTTTAAATTTTGTATTATTATTTTTTTTAAGTAGAAGAATTGAACAGAAATATTAGAAACCATATCGGTATATGAGAAGTTAATAAAACAACATTACCAACAACAAAATAAGTTAATAAAACAATAAACTTTACATGAGCTTAACTCGAATTTGTTTTCACCGAAAGAGTATAAGAAAACCAAATATCGAAATCACAGAAATTAACTATTAAATCTATACTTTGTCTTGAGGGAATTATGATGATAAAATCAAATTATACAAAAAATAATAATTTAATATGTATGCTAAGATTTATTACTAATTTCATATAATGTGTTACTAAATTTTCAAAATTTGTTTAAATCAAATCTCAAGAAAATCATATATATATACTTACATCACCACCTCCCATGAGTGGAACTAATAGACTTGGAATGAGAACTGTGATGCCAAGACTCAACAAATAATGCTGGAAACCCAACACTACCGCTTCAACTGCAAACACCAAATGTATAAACATTTATCTACACACAAAAAAAAATTAGATATAAAATAAATAAAAGTAATCTAGTAACCAAAATTCAAATAATACAAAACATACACCAAGGAGGAGGACTGTTGACACAATATTGAATTCCGGGGAGTTGCTCTTTCACCGGATGGGGTTGTAACTCCTCCGTCCGGTTTCCTCCTCCGTTGTTTCCACCACCACCATTGCCGCCACCACCACCGTTGCCGCCACCACCACCACCACCATTTGCTACTGCCATGGACGTAACTATTATCCTTTTTTTATTCCTTTTTTCAATGTAAACAACTCAATCATCAGTAAACAGATCGGTGAAACCTTTAGTGAAAATATTGTATATGCAATATACTATCTTTATCAATCTTTCCATCTATATATAGACATAAATCCTTTTAATAACCAAGTATATTGTATATGCTTTCAAAGTCATACTTACTCTGAAAACAATACCAAAGAAGCTATGGAGTTAAGTGAGAGGTTTTGAGAGAGACTTTCGAAAGAAGGGAATGGTTGGAGAGTGAAGAAGAAGTAAAAAATAAATTGGGGGTTATAAGTTGTAACCTTTTGCCATTTTTAAAAATTATTTGAATGATTAAATGACATTTTATATTACAATAAATGTAGTCATAAAAGTCTATATAAATGTCAGTTTTTGATATATGAAATTTGAAATAGAAATCTTTTGAGATTAAACTGATCATATGTTAAGAGATTTTGCATTCAGAAATTAAGAATAATAACGTAAAGCTTTGAAATCAAATAAATGTGTGGAATAGTTGTAAATCTCTTCTCTCTTGTTATGCTATTGAACGAGTATTTTAATTAGTGATGTTCGATTTTACTATTTTTGATTAAATTGAATAGAAAAAAAGAAGAAAAAAAAAACAGTTTGGAAATTTGGAACCGGTGAATAAATCTATATATATAAAGTTAGCTTTTTCTCTATTCTCATGATGCCACCTAACCATCCACCTAAACCACATTTTTTTACATTAAAATAAATTTAAAACATTCATTTAGTGCATATTTATGCTACTTATTTAATTAATAGAAAATTTATATAAATAAAAATAAATTATATAAATAAATGAAATGTTAAATAAGAAATACTTTCATTTTTTATTAGTTAGTGGTAATAATATAATTCAACTTTCATTTTAAATTGATCATAGTTTAAAATTTTAAATGTGTTACTGAGTTTAAGAATGTAAATAAATTTAAAATTTATGATAGAATAAAAACAACATTTATGTAATTATATATATAAAATTTTAAAGGGGAAAAATAAAATTAAAAGTGAAATATTAGTTTATAACATGATCAAAAAGAAAATGCTTTTAATCCAAATTTAAATATTGAAAGATAATAATTCAAGAGAAAAGAACTATAATATGTTTTGAAAAAATATCACAATATAAATAAAAAATTAACAAAAAAATTATAAACCTACCGCGCGCAGCGCGGATCAACCTCTAGTGATGTTATAATTTTAACATTCCATCGTCATTCCAACTTAAGCATATCCATGAGCCAAACCATTTGAAAAAAACTATAAAGAAAATTAAAAAGGATTCACAACATAACAACATATCGAGATAATATATGCAATAAAGATTCTTGTAAATATCTGAACAATGGCCGATTCATCTTCTAAATGAGATTGAGGATGGCAGAACCCTGACTACAGGAGATTTATCTTTGTAATTTTAACCCTGACTCTAAAGACATCCACATCGGTATAGGACATTTTTTTGTCCCATTAATTTATTTTTTTCTAAAACAAAAACTGATCAATCGCGGGGCGTCACATGTCAGTGGGATCTGCAAAAAGTGGACAACAACAAACGGACTGTCCCGTTTTTGAGTACATATACTCATAATAATGAAATTGTTGATTTATTTTTTAAAAAAAACAGGAAAGGGACGCTTGTGTATACGCTAATGTCAGTGCTCTAATATAATACATTATTGTAAATTTGCAATTTCTTGATCCAATTTTATTTTATTTTAAGGAAAGAATTTGTTTTACTAAGCAAATAAATTTGTTGACTCTTTGTAATTTTCACTCTTAATTACTTCTTTCACAAAAGTAATACCATCGTCTTTCTTGTTTTTTTTACCCTCACATTCTAGAGAACTTTTTGGAATCTCATGACAAAAACAAATTACAGCTACAAGTTCTTCTCCTATTGCTATTTATTTCTATAATCTAGACATAAGCTTCATAATGAATTTTCTCCACTTTGATTTGACGTATTAGTCTAGCCACTAGCTACCAATATTATCATTAAACGACAATACTTTACCGTATATCATTAAATAAATTTGAAAAAAGAACACCAAAAAAAAAAACGACAATCACAAAAGGTTAAAGAAAAAGGCGATTACACATACCTTCTCCGGTACGTTGAATGAAGTACGGTGCGATGCAGAGAGACAGGAAGATGTGAATCATTTACAGAGATAAAGGAGGTGAATAGTCAAAATCTTAAAAACACGTGAGGAGGCAGAGAGAGACGTGAGAAAAGTTCTTACAAACCCTAGTTGTATCTTCTTCTTTTTTCCACGACAAATCAATTAATTTATACCATAAAAGTTTACGTAATACACAAAACTACTCATACAACCATTGAAACAAATAAAGAAATTAAATATAATTTCTATAAAAAAATGGAAGTGACCCTTTTTCTAAACGAAAGCTTTACAGAAACAAAATAAATCTGTTAAATTCATTTTTTCGTACACTTGCAATTAACATCTTATTATATATGAAACTCCTAAATGTTTTTTGCGTAACTCTAATTAAACAAAAAATCTGATTTGTTGTTTGAGATGCTTGTGAAACATGACTCCTAGTTGGATCTTATAAACGAGTTTTACCCTTAAGTTTTTATAAATCTTTTTAAGAAAATATTTAATTTTATATACATATTGGAGTTAGACACTAATTTTGCTCGAAACGTTTCCGAAACGTCCCCAGATCCAAATCTTTGTCGTATCACCAACGACACACCGTCCCTGCCTTGTTCAAAACGTCCATGGAGACGTTTCCAAGCCGTCCCGTGTTGGAGAGGTACGACGACTACAAACAAGCGTTTCAGTACTACGTAAATGTAAACTATATATTTAGCTTATGCCCATATAGAAAAAGTATAATAACTTAACAATAAATATCAAACCCTTTAAATATACAGTTTCAGCTAAATTCTCACAATATACACATTTTATTATTTACATTGTCTATCCTCTCCAAAACATTAAGATCAAAAAGCCAAGAGCAATATGAAGACCTCCATGAGCATCATCGTCTTCTTTGTGACCTTCATTGCAGTTTCTGTTGCCTCCATGGCCGAGACAATAAACCCCGAGGAAGCTTGCATAAGACAAAACATTGCCAGGTCGCAACCACCAAGTCTCTCAGCCGAGTCCACTGAGAGACCAAAGTTCTATTTTCTCGCAGACCAATTCTGTAGAGAAGCTAGCCGTGTCGTTATGTTTTACGTGAGGTTGAACGGGAAGTTCCCGTCTTACTACGTGAAGACATTGTGCGATGTATTCGGAAACGATGAAAAGAAGGTGAAGGAGTATGTTGTGACGAGATGGGTGGGATTTTCAAAGCTTGCTTCTGCCCTAACTTGTGTTTCTCATTGATGTAAAAACGTTATGCTAATTCTTTTATAAATTGGCTATTACATTACATATAAATGATTTAAGTTTTTGTTGTTTTATTGATAATTAATTACAATAAGAATCATAGTTTATTCACATGCAAAAATGATTCGAACCATAGACGTCCAACTTTGAGATATATAATTTAAATGGAAAGATAAAAGTTTTTTTCCTTTTTAAAAATATTGACAAGTGTATTTTTTTCTCAAATTAAATTTGACAACTTAAATCGTGTAAATTTACAGAGAGATACATCTTATTTCCACTTTGTTATTGAATATTTTTCCTAATTTTTGTTCATTGCTTTAGTTTTAGTTTGGAAATGTAAAATTCCGTTACCCTTATAAATATGGGAGACGTCAAAAGAAGAGGCTCAGAACTCATAAAGACAATAGAAACTAAACAAAACATGGGTTCGGCAAGAACATCGTTGCTTTTCTATTTTCTCTTGTTTCTTTATTTGCATCACAACTTTGTTTCCAACGTAGACTCACGATCTTTACGTCTAGCCTCCGCCGATACAAGCCATGTTTCCACCATATCCAAGCCAGAAAGTAGTATTGGATACGGTGGAAAGACACCGAAACTAGAAGTCTTTATTCGAAAAGGTGGTGGTGGTAGAGGAGGAGGAGGAGGACGCGGTGGCGGTAGCCGTGGCGGTGGTATCAGGGGAGGAAGATATGATCGTCTAAGGCACTCTCGCGGCGGGTTAGGAGGGTATCCGTATTTTGGGACGTCGCACCACCATGCTACTCGTTCAAGCGGTAGCCGGTATGTTGGAAGGCCAGGGTGTGGCTGGTTGGGGTTATTATCAGTTTCGGCCGGTTTAGTTTTGGTTTTGTAGAGTTTTAGTTAGTATGTATTATTAGGATTGTTCTAATTTTAGGATTGTTCTGATTTGCATAATTGAATGGATTTAAAAAATTTTAACAGTCTTTTAGGAGTATTATTAAAGCATTTGTTTTAATTTTTTGTTAAACCAATACAAAATTTACAAGCAAGCGACATAGTTCGAAGATTCAAAGTCTATAACTATGGCCATTGGTTATATTTTAGAAAGTGTGGTTAACTTTTGGTTTTTTTTCATGGGACTGCATGATGCGGCCAAAACATATCTATTTTATTGGTTTTAATATTTTCTTCTAGATATAGTTCTTCCAAAATTTTCACTTTCTCAAAAAAAATATAATTAATTAGTATTAAAAAAATATAGATTTCCAGATAGAGTATTGGTTCTTTAAACGATATCACCACCAAATAGTTGATAACCAAATAACTCCTGGAATTCACATATTTGCTTGAATGCTAAACATTAGTACACATATATAATCCGCTTGTGTTTTCATCTCAATATTTTCTTATGTGCGAGAACACAGAAGAGAGAGAGACGAAGAACTTAATGGTTCATGTTATACATTTGAATTTAATCATAAGATTGTATGATATTGAGATATCAATATGGATATGTATTTTGGGAGACATTTCCATGTGAGTTACATTAGCACATGATCACTACAAGAAAAATGGTCTTTTATAGCACACGAAAACAGCTACTAAAAGTCTTTCGTAGCGTATTCATAAACGCTATGATATGAGGAGCTATGATAGACTCACCCCTATCATAGCGTAGTTAATGAGTTAAGAAGATTAACCTATCATTGCTCTAACCGCATGCTATTTATTACTTTTTGGTAGCGCCTGTTTCTTGCTATTATGTTTTTTATTATAGCAAATATAATGAGCTGTATTATATATAATGATAGCACATTAAATGTGCTGGTGGTTGGATATGGTTCTCGAATTTAACACAATCTTAGCATAAAGACCCTGCTATTGTAAAGTTTTATATAGTAAATTTATCTTGCTATTGTATATTTTTTAATGGCAATTATACCTTGCTATACCATCATTTACAAGAGCATTTATCAATTGTCATTGAATATTGTTTTTGAGCTTTTTTGTCGTGCTATAATATATTCTTTCCTGGCACTGAGAAAATGCTGTTTAATTTGCAATGGTATTTAGATCTATATTGAATATATATTGAATCTATAATTTGTTATTTGAAACATTGAATTGCAGAAAATGTAATTTGTTTTAATTTATGAAAGACCATAAACATATGAAAGACCATAAACATATGAAAGACCATAAACATAACATGAACGAAAAGTCTAAATTCAATAGAACATAACATGAACTAAATTAGATAAAGTTATTAAATTAACAAAGTCTAAACATAACATGAACTAAATTCGATAAAGTTATTAAATTAACAAAGTCTAAACATACATGAACTAAAAAAACTTGAACTCCAATATTGCCTAATTAATAGAACGAACCATGCCATTAATCTTCAATCAGCCTTGCGTCTTGAGGACTGTCCTTTTTCTACTTTTGGGCGTTTCATTGCAGTGTACTTGCCGGGATTGTTTTTGAGGTTTCTCCATAATCCCAGAAACAGTGGATCAATGTCTTCTTCCTTTTCTTCGACGCGTATTAAGTAGCCTAAGTGAGCACAAGACCGTCTAAACTCTAGCTTTGTTATCTCCTTCAGTTCATCATCCCCATCACTTTGTTGATCGTTCTCTGCTTGTTGTGGTGTCTCTCCTTGTTGTGGTGTCTGTTGTCTGAGTTTCGGTTTAACGTTCAACGCGGGGAGGCCGCATACGAGTCCTCTAGCTTCCCTTGAAACAACAGTTCCTGCAGTACCAAATAAAATATTTGTTATTCACAAGGTTGTAACATACTTACACATCACAAGTTGAAGCAAAACTTGAGATGTTCTCTGCTTGTTGATCGTTTACTTTGTTGATCGTTCTCTGCTTGTATAGGTGTCTCTGCTTGTTGTGGTGTCTCTCCTTGTTGTGGTGTCTGTCGTCTGGGGTTTGGTACATACTTTACAGCGGGGAGGCCGATTATGATTCCTCTAGCTTCCATTGAAATAACAGTTCTGCAGTAACAAATGAAATTTTTGTTATTCTATATCACAAGGTTAAAACATACACATCACAAGTTGAAACAAAACTATTAGGTAAACTGAAAAACAACAAATGAAAACAAAATTAAAAAGAAATGACCATAGCACTTGCAAATATAATGAGATTATGTAAAGATGAAGACAAGTCACCTGAACAGATTTCCACAGCACTGTTTTGGTATCTTCACCAATCTTTCTCCAATCATCAATAATAACAGGAACGTGTTCTCGGATTAAGGGACCTAGGTATGATGATAACTTAACTGAACCTGGACCATAAAGTTCTCCCATTGGAGTGAAGTCAACTGGTTCCCGAGCATTTGGATCCTTAGCGATGGATTTCATCTTTGTTGGTCCACGCTGTCTCTTACTCTTAGGTTGAAGTGGATCATTTCTTTCATCAAAGGCAGCCGGTTCAGAGAATTCACTATCAGAATTTATTCCATCTCTAATCACTTCATTCTCATCTTCAAGGTTGTTGCTTTGATCGTCATTCTGCTCTTCTTCTTCAATCTCATCAGTTAGGTGTTCTCCATCGTTCAGTGGCTCAGTTCTATCACCTCCCACTTGCTCTTCCTGAGGCTGGTCCACTTGCTCTTCCAGAGGCTGATCCACTTGTTCTTCCAGAGGCTGATCTACTAGCTCTTCCACAGGCGGATCCACTAGCTCTTCTGTCTGTGTAACTTTCTTTTTATGATGCTTTGACGACTTCTTAGGACGGCCCATCTTGATTCACCTGAAACAGGAAAACACTTTTGATTAACTAAAACTCAAAGTATTGAAGAACTCACAGTTAGAGTAACAAAGTAATCAAGACAAAAGTCAAACGCAAACTCAAGAAAAGTAGAGAATAATGAAAATCAAACATAACAAAAACTGGTAATAGCTTCATCATCCAACAATGCAACAAAATCTACTAATATCAGTACCAAACTATAAACAATTCAACTATACTATTCTTTCACACGTAGATTCCTTCAGAATCAGTTCTGGCACAACAAGCTCCATCATTTGAGTCCTCAAAATCCATGTCCACAACTGATGGCAATGGCCCAACATCTAGACGATCTTCAGCAGTATCCTCACTGTATTTTCTTGAAGGGCCTCTAAGCGCAACATACCAACTTGATGAATCATCTTCCCTTGAATAAAAGACTTGCTTGGCTTGCGAAGCTAATATGTATGGATCCCTCATAAAGGATACTTGACTTTGGTTCAAGTTAACAAGTGTGAAGCCATCTTCCACTTTGACCCCATTACCTTTAACTGTCCATTGACACCTAAATATTGGAATATAAAAGACGTTGTAATCCAACAATATGATGTCGGTGATTCTGCCGTAGTATGATACCAAATCAACGACTTGTGAATTTTCCTTTGCACTAGCTCTACACATCGCTGTAGCCTCATAAAAAACCCCACTGTTCTGGCTTTGCCTATCAACTGAAATTGTGTGAAATCGCTGCCCATTCACTATGTAACCTGTATACGACCTTGCGTCATTTCGTGCACCATATGCCAACCATTTCAGTGTATCTCCATGTTCTCCTGAATTGATAGGTATCTAAGAAAGGTAAAGTAAGAGTCAGTGTATTTTCAATTAAAAATCTATACAAGTAAATACAATATAAAACCATCAATATTCACTTAAGTATAAACTTGCCTGTTCTTTTAACCAAGCTGCAAAAGTCTGAGTATGTGTTCTCCATAACACTGTTGCATCACGTCTACATTTTGCATTAGAGTCTTGAAGATATTCAAGGTGCATGCTTGTCAAAAGGGAAACAAAAAACATTATTAGTGGAGCTATGTTTTGAATGATTGCAAGATGCGCAATTGAAAACAAAAATAGACAATAACAGTAACTTACTCAACAAAAGGATCCACCAATGCCATGTTCTGAATAACAGCAAGATGCACAATTTTTTTCTCCATGTCAGTGAGAGTAATTATAGTTGCGGCAGAGATCGGACGCCCTTCTAATATAGTACTGCTCTCAAACTCAGTATTTCGTTCTGTTTTTTCCTCAACCCTTGTAGTTTTTTTTTAAAACTCACTGCAGAACATCATGCATTCTTCGGAAAGATATGCCTCAGCTATACAACCCTCTGGCCTCGCAGGATTTCGTACAAAGTCCTTTAAAACTTTCATGTACCTACACACAGTTAGCTCTAGTGAATATCAACAGAAAAATATATATTATATAATGGTAAGACAGAAACATAAAAGAATACAAGATATACCTCTCAAATGGGTACATCCAGCGGAAATGGACTGGTCCACAAAGACGAGCTTCTCTGCCTAAATGTACTGTCAAATGCACCATAATATCGAAGAAGCTTGGGGGGAAAAATCTTTCGAACATGCAGAGAGTTTCTACTATTTCAATTTCCATAACAGCAATCTGTTCCCTATCAATCACTCTCTGACACAAATGGTTGAAGAATGAACATAAGCGTTGAATAGCTACTCTTGGACCTTTGGGTAATAATCCTCTAATAGCAACAGGGAGAAGTTGCTGCATCAATACGTGATAATCATGTGATTTCAGACCTGAGACCTTACAATCATCCATAGAGACACCCCTGGATATGTTTGAGCAGTACCCATCAGGACCTTTGAAGTCAAAAAGACGCTTACAAAAGATTTTCTTCTCTGACTTGGACAATGACCATGGTGCTGCGGGAAGGTACGTTCTTTTTCCTTGGGGTTTAGGGTGCAAGTCTTTACGAATATCTAGTAATTGCAGATCTTTTCGGGCATTGAGACCGTCCTTTGATTTCCCGCAGTGCAACAATGTAGATACAATGCTCGCAGCAACATTTTTCTCTACGTGCATTAACAATTCCTGACGATATAAAAAAAACCGAGTTAATAAATATTCATGCTAAATAGTGTAAGAACTTTAAATAAACTATGTTACAAAAAAAGTATACCTCCCAGTAAGAAAGCTTGAAAGATATGGATCTTTTTTTCCATCTTGATAATTCCTCCTCATCTACTTCAACTTCTTCCTCTTCCTCTGATTCATTAGATTCGTCGTCCATGTCAGAGCTAGATCCAACACACTCAGTCAATTTTCTCTTTCTTCCATCTTTCTTTACATTTCCAAAATCGTTTTTGTAATTTCTCAGGATTTGAGAAATATTCTGACCCGTTAGAATCCTAGCCTTTCTCCCATGCTCAGATTTTCCATCAAACCATCCCTTTTTTCCGCGATATCTATGTGTCGGTGATAGACCCTTTCTATGAGACATATATACATGCTTTCTACTGTGACTCAACCAAAAACTATCTGTGTTTTTTCCACACAAAGGACAGCCCATTTTACCCTACGCAGGGAAATCACTTACAGTCCAAATGAGCATTGCCTTGAGAGTAAAAGTGGTTTTACTAAAGGCGTCATATGTTGTCTCTCCATGGTTCCACAGATGAATTAAATCTTCTATCAGAGGCTCCAAGTATACATCTATACTGTTACCAGGTTGATGCGGACCAGGAATCAGCAAGGTAAGCATGATATTGTCTTTCTTCATGCATAGATGTGGATGCATATTGTAGTTAACTAACATCACAGGCCAACAACTGTACTTGGTGTTTTTCATGTTGAAAGGATTAAATCCGTCTGTGGAAAGACCAAGCCGTATGTTCCTTGGTTCAGCTGCAAAAGATGGGTAATTGGCATTTATCTGATCCCACGTTACAGAATCTACAGGGTGACGACTTTTCCCATCAGTGCTCTTATTGGTAAAATGCCACCTTAAGTCCTTGGCCATTTCTTCAGACCTGAACATCCTCTTCAAACGTGGAATTATCGGGAAGTACCTTAACACTTTCTGTGGAACCCCATTCTTAACTTCACCAGTGTGCTTCATCTTCCATCTTGAAGCCTTACATTTTGGACAGTTGTTAAGCTTCTTGTACTTATTTCGGAATAGGCAGCAATCGTTAGGACAAGCATGAATCTTTTGATAACCCATATCAAAAGACTTCAGAAACTTCTTCACATCGTACAATGATGTGTGAAGTACATTGTCCTCCGGTAACATCTCCGGCAATGTCTCCAGCAGCATATTAAAGCTTTTATCAGACCAACCACCTTGTGTCTTAATCCGGAACAATGAAACGATAGCAGATAGCTTGCTGTGGTTCACACAATTTGGGTACAACGGTGTTTCTGCATCTGCTAGCTTTTCGAGGAACTCATCTTCATACCTGTCCTCACCCTCAACAATCTCACAAATACCAGCTTGTGTAACCAACTGCTCATCTAAAAACTCAGCCGCTTTATATAATCCAACAATCTCATCATTCCACATAGTTGCTTGGATTTCATCCTCAGCCCCTGAACTCACAACTTCATGATGATACCAATCCTTACGCATCTTGTAAGACTCGTCCATTCCTCTTCTTACAAGATGATCAACTACATCACTGCCCAGTTGACGTTCTACATTCCGACAATCAATGCATGGACATATTATCATGTTATTGTCCCCTAATGTTGCAGCCACTGCCCGTGTAAAATTCCAAGCACCTCTCTCATACGCCGGATCAGCTCTTTGGTGCTCAAATGAAAGAAAAAGAAAAAGAAAAGGAAAAAGAAAAAAAAACTTAAAGTCTCTAATCCCCTACATAAACTATACCTATAAATTTATTTTCATACCTGCAAATATGCACCCATGCCTTGTCCAACATTACTTGTTCTAACTCAGAAGTAACAACAAACAGAGAACATTTAATATGTATCCACAAACAATGAAAGCAATAGCATAAATCTAAACTCAATCTGACAAAACTAGACAATTAAAGTTAACGTATCAAACTAAACTCTTAAGTAAAATCAAACAAGAAATATTTAATATATATCAACAAAACAATAAGCAATCGTATAAAAATTTAAAAGGACTAAACTAGCTAAAGAATTTTTCACATATATGTATCCAGAAAACAATCAAAACAATCACAAACAAAGAGCTTAAAACATATATACTAAAATTAGATAGAGAGAACTTACTTGTAGTATGTTTATTAGCCTGATTATTGTGATCTCACGACGACCCTTTCAACCAAAAGATCTTGAATACTCCAATGTTGTACCTTAAACAAAAAGCTGAAATTACTAAGTTCAAATATATGGATTAACATCAGGTTTAAGTCTGTTTGATCAAGCTTTGTGACCTATCTTCAATGCTAATATAATCACATGCGCAATGATGGTTTAATATACAGGACAGACACAAACAAACTTATACACTATACAGAGAGACTTAGTAATTATGATTAGTTACTTATCTATACATATGGTCCAATTTATATGTCATTATTAAGTTCATATCTATAAATTAACATCAGGTTTAAGCAGATTTGATCAAGCTTTGTACATATATTCAATGTCGATGTAATCACATGCGCAATTATGGTTTAATATAATGGGCAGACACAAAAACTTATACACTATATACAGAGAGACAACTTAGTAAATATGATCAGCTACATATGGTCCAATTCTATGTCATTATAAACTAATACTGAAAATCACTTATATAGTTCAATGTCTATAGACTCTTAAAATTTGAAGGACAAAACAAAAGAAAAAGTATATCATGCAATAATATATAGTAAGCTGCTATTCAAAAAACTGGTCTGTTAATTACTATCAAAAACATCATGAGCATGCATACTAAAATTATAACCTACAGATCAGGAAAGCAATAGAGTCAGTGTACCTTTACAGTAGTTGATCTCTTGATGACTATCTCTACTGCTTGAAACCTGTAAAAGTGTGAGGTAACTAAATGCTCAAGAAACAAATAGAAGACAATCAAATTAAATTACACTCATAGTAATTAAACAGTATCAAACAAAACAATCAATTGTGATGGAACTAATTAACATATAAGATTTAGTTTACTCACATATATGATGGAAAAAGACTTAGAACTTTCATAAATTACAAATTAACTTATTCCCAAAGAAAATAAACATCAATATTCATCTACTTTGAGGTCAGTATCGTGGTCTTAATTTAGTAAAAAATCCAACTCAGATTCAAAGTCCAATAATTAAAAAACTTAAACTGCAAACTAGCTAATTAAGATGGTTCAATATCTCCAGACTCTAAACATTTGATAGACGAAACAAATTAGGCAATAGATGTTCTCACTAACAAAAACATCATGAAATAAACCTTAAATCAAATCAAGTTTCAGAATAACACGAGCTATATATTTGTTCCTGTAGCCAAAATATAATCTATGATTCTACAAAGCAACAGGGTGTAAGTTAGAGGCAAGAATTTACACAGAAGCGTTTGAGAATGATAAATTTAAGATTCAGAACTCATGCATTGTACCTTTACTGTGGCTCGTCCTCCTGAAATTGACGAAGAACAATGTTGAACGAGTCTAAGGCGGAAGAAGAACTAGCTTGAAAGATACCTAGGTCGAAACACCCAAAGATTTAGAATAAATGGCGACGAGCTCAAAAGACACAAACCTATGAACAAGGGAGATGGAGGAAACTTACCGTGAAACGAGATCTAGGTCGAAAGACCCAGCTATTAGCAAGAAATTGACGCCGACGAAGGTAGAGATTGTGGCCGGCGACGAGTTCACGGTGGTATAGCGACTTAGGTTTTTTTTTTCTTTGATCCCCTTTCGTTTGTACGGAATTGAACAGTGAGATAATGGATACTTAGCAAAAACAGGCTCTAAAACTCATTTTTGGGTCCTTGTTTAATGAAATTACGGCCCAGCACTAAAAAAATGCTGTAATATAATACCCAATTACGGGATATCCATATTAATAGCAGTTACCAATTTTGAGCTATACTAATATGCTATAAAAGACCATTTTTCTTGTAGTGGATGGTCCTTTGCCTAAAATCATTTATTAATTACATAACAAAAAAAACAAAGACAATGTTTGAATTTTGTGTTATCAGATTTTTTCCTACTAGTAGCAGTCTTCCCGTAGTGCTGGAAGCATAAGTAGCGAACACCAAAAATCTCGAACGACCAAAATTGCAGCCACGCGGTCACAATTGCAAAAAAAAACAGTTCATGCTTCACGAGAATTGTCAAATCTGGTCCGTCTAAAACCATTTTCTTCTTTGTCTCATTTTCTCTACTATATTTATATACAATTGGATACGCAATGGATAAAGAAAAAAAAGGAGAAATTTTGAGAAATACCCTTTTTGGTATACCCCTTTTTAAAAATACCCCTTTTATCTATCCATTTTCAAAAATACCCCTTTTTAAATATTAAAAATTATAAAGTTTTATATAGTTTATAAGGTACTTCTATATAATAACTACTACTGGGAGATTCGATATAAATATTTTAAAATGCTTTAAATAGTTTAAAATTGTTTTTATAAGTTTTATAAGGTTTTTAAAAGGTTTTTAAAAGGTTTTTAAAAGGGTTTATACGGTTTTTATAAGGTTTTTATAAGGTTTTTATAATTTATTTATGAAAGATATATAAAGGTTTATACACATATAAAGGTATTTTGTGTATATATTTATAAGCTTACACACATATTTGGATAAATGGATAAATTTCAACATTTTTAGTGGGTTTTTTGATAAAGTTTGAAAAGGGGGTATTTTTAAAAAGAGGTATATGAAAAGGGGTATTTTTGAAATTCCCCCAAAAAAAAATGATGTTTTCTTTGTATTTATTTAATGTCTAACCAATAAAAATAAGTTTAATAACTACCACAAATTTTATCAAACAAGTATAATTGTGTTCTTTAATTTAAGTTCTTAAGAATTCTCATAAATGACATACTTTTTAATTGTGTCATTTTTAAATTCTTTTAGGTTACTTTATTATTTTTTCATAAGTTATTAAAATAATTAGTTTTACTAAGGAAAAACAAATTTATAGAAAATAAATAAGCTATAACCAATTACTTTATCAAAGTATGGTGGAGAACTTTACCATCATAATGCATGGGTTGCAAAGTAATGATGATAACAACAAAATAACATGTTACTTAATTTAGATGTAATTAAAAAAATAAAAAATAAAATAAAATTTTGTTTTGTTATTGTTTTTGCTTTTTTTTTTTAATACTTTCTTCTAAATATAGCTCTTTCAAAATTTTCACATTCTCAATAGATATATAATTAATTAGTATTAAAAAATATAGATTTCCAGAAAAGGTATTGGGTCTTTAAACGATATTACCAGCAGAAAAGTGTTATTTTACAACATCCTCTTTATTTTGATCATCATAATCAGTTAAACCAAACAAAGATGTTAACTTCTAATAAGGTTACACTTTATTCACTTAAAATTCCAATTGACTATGGTAAGTATAAGATTAGAATTTATATTTACTTAAGGCTTTGATGATTAAGTTAAATATTTAATAAATTAAAATTTTCAGAACCCCCTCATATGCCAAAAACAGCACTGGCTTTGAATAAAAAGTTTTATTTATTAAATTCAAAGCCAGTGTTTTCTAATAAAAAGTTTTATTTTTGTCATTTCCTTCAATAAATATGAGATTTATCTATTTAAAAACATTTGACTATTGAGTAAAAACATCTTGTCAAAGTAGCCTATTTAGAAAACACTAAATATCTTAGTATTGAAAGAAAGAAAAAACAACCAAATACAGTAAATGTAAGCTATTTTACCATCAAAAAACTAAACTGGCTTACGTGTAATGAAGTTTAATTAGCTTTTTTAAAACACAACATTATTGTTAAAACAGTTAGATTCATAGTTTACTAATTAATCATGTTTATATCTTAAACTCACAACCTTCATTTGCCCCTAACGGCGACAAAAACCAAATTTTTGCTTTCTAATTTCCACCCAATTATATTCTGACACCTCAGCAATACAAAGTCTTTTGTAAACAATTCATTCTTCTTCTCTCACAATCTTTTTTTCTTGTTTTGAATTTTTCTTCAATTTCTTGGCCTCGCTATTCTAACATATTCCTTGATTCTTGAGGTCTCCAGGTATGTGTTTATAAGCTATTTCCAATGGTCTAAAGAACTTTTCATTTCTTCCCTCTCTCTTTGGAATTGTAACGTTTTAGGTTGTGACTATAAAATGCGTGTTGAATCTTTGGATTGATGCAGCAATGGAGAGTGAAGGAGGAGGAGGAGGAGGTCCATTTCAAGGAATACTGCGCGATATCGAAGGTAGACGAAAATGTTACAAACAAGATTGGATTCGTGGCTTTAAAACCGGTATAAGGTAAGGTTAATCATTGAAATGTATATATCAATCTTTCTTGAAATGTATGTTTGATGCTAGACATTGAATTCTTGATTTCAATGTTTTACTAGAATTTTGGCTCCGACTTGCTATGTTTTCTTTGCGTCTGCTCTTCCTGTAGTTGCCTTTGGTGAACAATTAAGTAAACATACAGGTATGAATAAATATTTCAAGTTGCTATATTTAGGATTCTCCTAGAGATTTTACCTCTGATGGTTTCAATGTTAACTTGTGGTTCAAAAGGTGGAGCTCTAAGCGCGGTGGAAACATTAGCTTCTACTTCGATTTGCGGAATCATCCATGCGATTTTTGGTGGACAACCATTGTTGATACTTGGTGTTGCTGAGCCGACCATTATTATGTATACTTATCTTTACAGTTTCTGCATTAGTAGACCGGATATTGGTCGAGAACTTTACCTAGCTTGGGTTGCATGGTAATGATGATCACAACAAAAATAAATAGTCTTGTTACTTAATTTAGATGTAATTTTTGAGACTTCTCTTTGCTGTTTCTGGCAGGGTTTGTGTATGGACTTCAGTTTTGCTTATCCTTCTTTCGATATTTAACGCGGGTACAATAATCTCGAGGTTTACCAGAATCGCTGGCGAACTTTTTGGCATGTTGATTGCTGTTCTGTTTTTACAAGAAGCTATCAAGGTATGAACCAACTCATTGTCCAAGTTAGCCATGCATGTTGCAATTAATTAACATGCTTAGTTATAATACATTGGCAGGGATTGATCAGTGAGTTTCATGCCACTGAGATTGAAAACCATGAATCAGGGGAATCTCATTTCCTCTTGTTGTATGCCAATGGTTTGCTAGCTGTAATTTTCTCGCTAGGCCTTGTAATCACCGCGCTGAAGAGCAGGAGAGCGAAATCTTGGAAATACGGTTTCGGTATGTCATTGCCTATTTACATTAGTTTCTTAAGTCATTACATTGATATTCACTTAAGACAACCAAATAACAACAGGGTGGCTTCGGAGTTTCATTGGAGATTACGGTGTTCCTTTAATGGTCTTGTTATGGACGGCATTGTCTTACACAATTCCTAGTGAAGTCGTTCCAAATGTTCCTCGGAGACTGTTCTGTCCTCTTCCATGGGAGCCAGCCTCATTGTATCATTGGACTGTGATCAAGGTAAGATCTATGATATGCATAACATGTTACTACATGATCAATAGTCCAAATGCAAAAATAATAATTATGCAAAACTTTATTATATACAGGATATGGGGAAGGTACCGGTAATGTATATCTTTGCTGCGTTTATACCTGGTGTGATGATAGCTGGACTTTACTTCTTCGACCATAGTGTAGCTTCACAAATGGCACAGCAGAAAGAGTTTAATCTAAAGAACCCTTCTGCTTATCACTATGACATCTTCTTGCTTGGAATTATGGTTAGTTTTGATGTTCTTGAATAAACTGATTTCAAAGATACACTATTTTCATGGAGAAACTAAGTAAATCTTGTTGTTATGGTGATTTTATAGACTTTGATATGTGGACTACTTGGGCTTCCTCCTTCAAATGGTGTTATTCCTCAGGCTCCAATGCATACAAAGAGTCTTGCGGTTCTGAATCGTCAGGTAAGATCAAATATATATATGAGAAGAAGAAGAGATGAAACAGAGATGATGTTTTCTTACAACTTCAAAGCATGTCTGGATCTTTTGAAGCTAACACGCAAGAAAATGGTGAAGAAAGCAAAGGAGTGTATGAAGATGAAAGCAAGCAAATCAGAAATATATGGGAGAATGCAAACAGTGTTTATAGAGATGGAGACATGTTCACCTCAGGTTAATAATGCATTCTCTTATATCTATGGAAAGAAATGGTTGGAAACTAAATTTTTAAAAAAGAATGAAAACTTTGCAGGATAATTCAGTAGTAAAAGATTTAAAAGACTTGAAAGAAGTTGTAATGAGACCGGACGAAGGAGGAGACACGAAAGGCAAATTCGATCCGGATGTCCATATAGAAGCTCACTTACCCGTTAGGGTAAACGAGCAAAGAGTGAGCAATCTATTGCAATCACTTCTTGTTGGTTTAACACTTCTTGCAGTACCAGTCATCAAAATGATCCCAAGCTCAATACTTTGGGGTTACTTCGCTTATATGGCGATAGACAGTCTCCCCGGAAACCAATTCTGGGAGAGACTGTTGCTTCTCTTCATTCCTCCTAGCCGGATTTTCAAGTTAGTTAAACTAAAACATTTTTGTTTAGTCTATTTTACAAAGGCCAAGAGCTTTTCTCAATCAATGGTTTCATCTCAATATGCAGAGTCTTGGAAGGAGTACACGCTTCGTTTGTGGAGTTAGTACCATACAGAGTGATTGTAACATTCACACTCTTCCAGTTGGTTTATTTTCTTCTCTGTTATGGCATGACATGGATCCCAATGGCCGGGATATTTTTCCCGGCGCTTTTCTTTCTACTTATAAGTATAAGAGAACACTTGCTTCCCAAGTTATTCGATCCGCAACACCTTCGTGTGCTAGATGCTTCTGACTATGAAGAAATAGTAGCAGCACCTATACAACACTCAAGTTTTGCTTACCGGGTAAAGCTCTCTTTCTATCTTTTTTTGTATTTTCTGGTCTCTTATAATGAGTTTCAACTAAGTCTAAGAGGTTTATGTTCCCTGAGCATGCAGAAACTAGGATCCTCTCATCATTTATCAGAAGGTGAAGATGAGTTCCACGACGCGGAGATATTGGATGAGATGACTACTAGTAGAGGTGAAATCAGGATTCGAACCATGAGTTTGAAAGAAGTAAGCAAATTAAAATATATCTAACTAATCCAAGAATTTGTATTATAAAAAGAAAAAAATGCTTAAACAAGAATCTTGTTACAGGTGCACTCGGAGACTGATCAAGAGAAGCGTGTAACGTTTGAACCTTAATGAAAATCACAATCTCATGCAATTTTTTTGTATACAAATGTATTTGTGCATATGCCATACACTATGATATATAAGTTTTCTTATAGTGGAACAAATGTTTACAGCATTATTTATCTTCTTCAAATCTGAGCTATAGCATTCAGTTTATCTAGAACTTGTTGCATAGATGGTCGTTTCTCCGGGTCCTCTTTAAGACATTTTCTTATAAGCTTGCACATTTGTCTTCCAGCTTCAAGAGGATAGCTATTACTCTCTAAATCTGGATCGATCATCTCCACAATATTTTCTTTGTCATTACGTATACCTCGCTTTGCCTTGATTATACGAGTCTTTCCAAAACCAGTTAACATCTCAAGTAGGATAACACCAAAGCTGTAGACATCTCCCGCCATGTGTGACATCCCTACAATAAGTTTTAAAGTCAGTTTCTTTGAATTTAATGTGAATTTGCTAACTCTACAATAGGAGGAATTAAGCAGAAGAATTGTTTGCCTGATAATATGTACTCTGGAGGTGCATAGTGAAACTGTTTTGGTTCAGTTACATGCGAGAAGAAATCAGTCTCGGCCCTATCAAATTTGTGGCCCAATACAAAATTTATAGACGAGATTTTATAAATAAGATTTAAAAGTTGAGATCATCTTAAAGTTTATAATATATAAAATTTAAATATGGAGACTAAATCTTAAAATTTAGTAAAAAAATGGAGGCTAATTTTGCAAAAATGAAATATTTTTTTACTAAAATTGTCAAAAATTATGGAGGCTCAATACTAACATTTCATACAAATCGGTCAAGGGCCTGGCCGCCTGGAAGAAATGCATCTCTTCATCATGAGGAGGTAGTATATTGAGTCCTAAATAGGAAACTTTTGCGTTGAACTCCTACATATACACCTTTTTATATCACTTTTTAAAGTTAAGTGGCAAGTATTCAAGATGATGGGTAATAAGCAAATGCAAATCTATTATCTATACATACCAAACCGAGCATGATCTTAGAAGCCGTCAGATATGTGCCGTAGAGACCAACTTTCTTGGTAGAGTGCAAGAACGCAAGACATTGAGCCGCTCCTATTGATATTTTAAGTCGTGTCTCCCACGGCAATGACTTTGGACGACTCTCTGTGATATATATATTACACAAATCATTAAGTCCAAAAGGACTCTTGTTATTATAGTCCTAGGTTCGATTCCATTGTAAGAAAGCTAGTGATCTACTTCCTTACCCCTACAAATGTGACGATCTAAGCTTCCGTTAGGGAAGTACTCAGAAACAATGAACAACATACCAAGATCCGTACCATAGCCAAAAAGCTTCACCAAACTTGGATGAGGGTTAAGTCGTAGAAACTCTTGGTCAACCTATACAAATCTCAGCTCTAAAGTTTAAAAAGGGAAACAAATATAAAATCGATAGATGGTTATAAGAATTACTTACAAGCCAATCTTGCAATGATTGTTTATTGGTTAAGTAAATTCTTTTAACTGTGACGGCCATGCCAACACCTTCCTTGGCCGGAGATAAAGTCTTTGGATCGATGTATCCTATTAAGCTTTCTCCTATTTCCATCTTGTTTCCAAAATCCTTAGTCGCTTTCTTCAGTTCATCCACGGTGAATACTTTCACACCCTCCTCTTCCACTGTATAATAATATTATAAAAAAACAAAAACATATATATTAATATATATGCATCCACTATAGTAACATTCAAATAGATTAAAATACCCTTAATGGGAGCATTTGGTTCGTTCGGAGGTGTCGAAGTCGAGAGACAGCTTCCCATACCGAGCTTTCTTAACACTAACGTTTCTATGAAGAAGACGACTTAATGACAAATTTTTTTTTTTTTTTGCTTCATACAATTTATACAAAATCATCTTATATCAACCGACGAGTAAACGCGTTGGACCGTTGGTAACGCGTTGAAATGTCAAGGATGCATGAACCAACGTTAATAAATTTGTCAAAAATCTATAGCCATATCAATACGACGTCGTTGTCATTCACAAAGCTTTTGGTGAGGCAAACGACACCGTTTAAGAAGATGTCTCTCGATTCTTCTTCTTCCTTCTTTCGTTCCCGGATAAATTTTACAAATAAGCTTGGCTCCACCATCCATAGTAATGGTCAAGGTTACTACTACTCCAAAGAAGCTAATGGCTTCGTTTCTTCAGAGGTTTTTAGATCCGAGGAAAAATTTCTTGGCTCGCATGCATATGAAGTCTGTTTCTAATCGCCTTCGCAGATACGGTACACTCTTACTCTTACTCTTATGCTGGAACCGAACCGAACCGAACAGAACAGAACAGAACAGAACTGAACCCTAGTTCTTCTGCTTTGGTTAGATGAATTTTTGAAAAATTTATCGAACTTTTTTGTTAGGTCTTAGATACGATGATTTGTATGATCCATTGTATGACTTGGATATCAAGGAAGCGCTTAATCGATTGCCGAGAGAGATCGTTGATGCTCGTAACCAGCGTTTAAAGCGTGCTATGGATCTTTCTATGAAACACGAGTACCTCCCAGCTGATCTTCAGGTATAGTACTGTCTCTAGCTAACTAAGATAGAACAAAGCTAAGAGGTGACCATAGGTATGGAGGTTAGAATGTGACCTTGATGATAGTTTGGATTCTTCTCTCATGTGTTGTATAGTGTTTTGACTAAGATATATAGTTGTGTTCTCTTGATTGATCATGTATATCGAATCAGTGCTTGCAGAGAGATGTGGTAGGAGTGTATGGCTTTATAGATCATTGAGAGCTAGTCTATAAGTGCAACATAGTGAGGAATTTGATAATTTTACATAGAGTATTCAAGTTTTTGGATTCAATAGATCTTTGTAAGACTTGACATCAAATTTTGTATCGAGATTAAGATCTTTAGTATAAGATTTATAGGATGAACACTATTGTGTTTAGAGAGCTCTTTTCTGATCAGCCTTGTTTTTTGGATCTTTACTATAGTGTTTATAGCATATATGTGACTTGATATTGTATCATATGCTCGTCTTTTATGTAACACACCAGCATTTCTCATAACTGAGGGAGACTTGCTAAATGTTGTACAGCTGCCTCTGCTTTTAACTGTGAGTCTGTGACATACAAGCTTGTAACAAACCGTTTTATTTCTTTGTCTCTCTGTAATTTGACAGGCAATGCAGACACCATTCAGGAGCTACCTCCAAGATATGTTGGCTCTTGTAAGTCCCTTCTCATTTGTAGTAAGAACGCAAACAGGATTAAGCCTAACTTTAATTTGATTCACTACACAAGTATTCATATTCATAACTTGTGTCATGAACTGTGGTACTATCCATCTAGTAGTGTCAAACGCTGTAGCAAAGTTCTTATGATGGGAGTTTCTTCTGTGCAGGTGAGACGGGAGAGAGTTGAGAGAGAGGCTTTGGGAGCTTTACCTCTCTACCAAAGAACCATTCCTTAAGTCTCTCTTGTACTACAAGTAAAAGCCCACTTGACCAAACAGAACTTAATATCCTCTCTGTTTTTAGTACTCTTTAACTAGGCTGCAATCTACCTCACAATTTGCTATTATATGGGCTTATGTACAAATGGTTCATGTTATACATTTGAACTTAAGCAGAGATTGTATGATACTGAGATATGGTTACAGCACATACAAAAGTACATAGAGTTGTTAATGTGTTTTACAAAAATTCCTCAAAAGATACCACTTTTAAACAATTTTTACATGAATCTACAGCGATGCTTTGCACGAGTGTGGTGAATGAGAGGTAGATAACAAAGAATAAAGATAAGGTGGTACTACTACACTACATATATATTTAATAGAGTTGGTGTCAGTAGAGAACGATATGTATTTGTATTTTGAAAGACATTTCCATGTGAGTCACATTAGCACAGGGAGGGTCCTTTGCCTAAATTCATTTATGAAATTACTTAACAAAAAACAAAGACAATGTATGAATTAAATGTGAATAAACTTTTTCCTACTATTAATTTCTGTCACTTGCCAGATGCCAATTATTTAGTTGTTGATTACTATATATGTAGTTTTTATATTTTGTTTTGTGGAGCTATAAAACTTTTTTCTTTAAATAAAAAAAGAGTTATAATAAACTATTTTCTAAATACAAAAAAAGTTTGCATCTAAGATTTGAAGGGAAAACAATAATTGGATGTGGTTCCACCAACTGATATTACATTTTTTACTACAATATCACTCTTAGGTGGATTTTGGTGTTTCTAGTATTAACCTGAAATGTCGAAAAAAGAAAAAAATAAATACATTGAAACTATGAAATAATTTGTTTTTAAGATAAAATTGAAAATTTTAGCTGCTAAAAATACATTTTTAGTTCATTTTTGTTTCAGACATCTTTGCAATGATAAAGGTCTAATCCAAATCTCTACTACGTAGAGTTACGTGATTTAGTGAAATCGAACTCCAGAGAAGATACTGAAATCTAGTGGACTTAACCACTAGACTACATATCTTCACTTTCAGTTTCAGTTCATTTATTTATTATATATTAATATAGTATAAAAGACGTTTTTGATTTATCTATTAGTGAGACTGAAATAAACTATACCAATTTGGAAAATTTATCAAAAATTTGGAAATCCTAACTCAAATGGAACAAAATTTTGGATTCAACATCCCACTACAAAAATGATAATGAATATACAGCGAACCTCAAATAGTATTTTGTCTTTACTAATATAAATTGTATAAATATAACGGACCTACAAAAATACAAAAATAAAAAAGGTTATAGATAGGTTTTTTCTGTATGATGTGATATGATGATGAATGAGGGCAATGGGACCGTATATGAGTTAAAAGAAGTGTACAAGGAAGAGGAGACAAAGCCATGATCCTCCCTTTTGCTATCTCTCCGTTCGTTACCCACATGCCCCCACCCACGTTTCCGACGGTTCCTCGTCTTCTATTGTTTTTTTTTTTGAACAATGTCTTCTATTGTTTTGTTTGGTTCTTCTCTCTTTTTATCTTAATTAGCATTTTAAGTAGTGATTTTTAAAGTCTTCTAATCAACATTTATATTTAATCCATCGTATAATAGTTCGTTTATCCGAATTTTCTAGTTGATATTTCGGAATTTCGAATAACAGCTACGAATGAAGCCGAAAACCGTAGATTTTATGGTTTCTATACGCATATAACGTTAATATACGTATAAGAGCGACTCAAATGTAAATAGTTAATAGTCTCGAAATATGGTAAGTTTTTACCGAAACCAAAGTTATAGTCATTATAGAGTTTACATTCATATATACTCAAACAAGTTTCTAAAAAAATATATAGGTATTTTGCTTAAAAGGTGTCCAATTCTTAAAATTTATAGATGTGACCGTGACCATGTGAAGTTAATTGTATACCTCCTCATTCACAAATCTAAACAAATACACATGTTCTAGTGATTGTCCTCAAGTAAACCGTTCCTACAAACACACATGCACAACAAAATCAGTAAGGAGCGAGAGTAACACTGTCTTAGTTTAGTGATTTGGCCACTGAGATAAACTAAACATTCATTAAGGAAAAACGTATGTTATTGGTAGTTTTTGGCGGAGCTACAATCCAAAAACCAAACATAAGACAGGTAGTGAGAGATAACTTAGAAAAATTTGGAAACAATAATACAACTCTCCTTTCTTGGGCCGATAAGAATGAGAAGAAGACACCAATTCTGAAAATCTCTGATGGCCAATTTCATGGCCGACTTTGGAAACCGCATTTTTATCCACTGAACGGCGCCCCTAAATACCTTACACATTTCTCAATCCCATCATTACAAAATATATTTATATACATACAACAAAGAAACAAAAATATTTGCATACGAAGACGACAAATCAAAGAAGACAAATGATTTTGTTTTTTAAGTTCAAAAATAAGAGATTTTGTTATAGTTTTTGAACTTCCTTTTTTGAGGCATAACACATGCCACGATAAACGATTCTGTAGATTCAGATGTAAGATTAGTACTAACTAAAAAACATCTGAATTATTTTCACAATCTTAGACTCAAGTGTTTTTGGCATGTGGATAAGGGATTTCATAGGTACATTGCTTATGGTAGTAATTTTTCTTGGTCTATAGTCTTATGATCATTTTTGGACACTTTTTGGAACTCGATTATTTTCCATTTCTCAACCATCCCTAATACTTGTATTCATTTAAATATATATATATATATATATATATATATATATATATATATATATGTAAACAGATTAGACACAAAAAAAAACAATTTAAATTTCTCAAAACTTTGCAAAATATCTAAAATATAGTTTTTAATCTAAAATTAATAAAAATTCAAATGATAATCTAAATACAAAATTATCCAAACATAATTTAAATTCAAAATTTCGTGTAATATCCAAAATATAAATCTATATATATAAATGAGTGAAAACCTGAATTATAATTTTAAATATTAAATTATCCGAACATAATCTAAAATTCTCGAAATTTCGTTAATAATCCGAATCCGAACAATTGCCAAATATTGAATTTTAGTATTCTATACCGTATATTTCTATTAATTAACATTTAAATACATCTACCAAGAGCCACCCATTACCTCATTATACGTTATTACCTCTTACTAAACCTGTCCCAATTAGACACTTCAGGCTTCCCCAGTCACCGCCTAACAGAGCTTGACTATACAAACAGCAAAACAAAATAATTGCAATCAGAAAACAATTTACAACTATATATTTCTTATAAACCAAAACATCAAATTCCAAAAGTGACCCCAAAATAAAATCTCTTAAGTCACAACCTCACGTGGGATATATACGATACGACGAACTACATCAGTGGCACACACTCGTAATATAAAACAACCTCCAAGGTCATTTCCATAGTTCCATCTCCTTATAACCAATAGGCCACAACTCTCTCTGCTACTTACATTTTTAACACTCCTCTCTTCTCTCTCTCTCTCGGCGTCCCTTCAAAATGGGAGGTGTCACCGTCGTGTCTTTCTTCCTTCTTCTCATCACCACCGCCACCGCCGCTCCCAAGTCCGTCTTCTCCTTCCGTGACGGTAAGCCTTATTCATACACTCTATTTCACTTTCTTACCCCCAATTCCGATTCAAACCAAAACAAAAACTCGAATCCTACTCAAATTACTTTGGTTATAGTAAATTATGGCCATCAGATTTATCTTTTTCTCAAATGGTATGTATATAAAGTAGGAAACTATATATTAAGAGCTAATTTATTATAACATGAGTAATGAATATAATGTTGGTAGCTAGAAAATATCATAAATTTTTCCAGTAATGATAATATTGTACTCGTACGAACCTGTCTCTGCTGCAACCATAGACTCGTAGTACTTAAAGAACCGAATAAAAAGAGTAAAAAATACGAATAATTCGTTCTTAGTACGATTTTAGTTTTTTTTTTTTTTGGTTTGTAAAGCTGATGTAAAATTTACAATTATACCCATGGTTCTGACACACAAAAGAAAAAAAAACACAACACAATAAAGTGTTTTTGGACATATCCTATCAATGAAGTTTGAGGAGTAGGTCATGTGTCTTAACAGGCCCAGTTAGGCTGTCTTCGGACACACCTCACGTGCTCTATTTTTTTAATTTAATTTCTTTAAAATTATTCACAAGGGTATATTGGTCATTTCAGGTATGTTACCGAACGGCGACTTCGAGCTAGGACCAAAACCATCAGACATGAAAGGAACAGAAGTGCTAAACAAGCTAGCGATACCAAACTGGGAAGTCTCAGGGTTCGTAGAGTACATTAAATCAGGACACAAACAAGGAGACATGCTTCTCGTTGTTCCTGCCGGTAAATTCGCGGTGAGGCTTGGGAACGAAGCATCGATCAAGCAAAGGCTTAAAGTTGTGAAAGGAATGTATTACTCGCTCACTTTTAGCGCTGCTAGGACTTGTGCTCAAGACGAGAGGCTTAACATATCTGTAGCACCTGACTCTGGTGTGATCCCGGTGCAGACTGTGTATAGTAGTAGTGGATGGGATTTGTATGCTTGGGCGTTCCAAGCTGAGAGTGATGTTGCAGAAGTTGTGATTCATAATCCAGGTGTTGAGGAAGATCCAGCTTGTGGTCCGCTCATTGATGGTGTTGCTATGAGATCTCTTTACCCTCCTCGACCAACCAACAGTAAGTGATTACTATACTCTGTTTTTATACTCTGTTTTTTGCTCTGTTTTTGTGATTCTTGAACTGTGATGTAACTATATGATTTAGGAATGTTTAAAGTTTTAGTGTTTTGATTTGACAGAGAACATATTGAAGAATGGAGGATTTGAAGAAGGTCCATTAGTACTACCTGGCGCAACCACAGGGGTTTTGATCCCACCGTTCATAGAAGACGATCACTCTCCTTTACCAGGTTGGATGGTCGAGTCTCTCAAAGCTGTCAAGTACGTAGATGTTGAACACTTCTCAGTTCCACAAGGTCGCAGAGCCATTGAGCTTGTAGCTGGCAAAGAGAGCGCCATAGCTCAAATTGTTAGGACTGTCATTGGGAAGACTTATGTGCTGTCTTTCGCTGTTGGAGACGCAAACAACGCTTGCAAAGGATCGATGGTGGTCGAGGCTTTTGCAGGGAAAGAGACACTTAAGGTTCCTTACGAGTCCCGTGGCACAGGAGGGTTCAAACGAGCTTCTATCCGGTTTGTAGCGGTTTCGAACCGATCAAGAATCATGTTTTACAGCACTTTCTATTCCATGAGAAGCGATGATTTCTCGTCATTGTGCGGTCCTGTGATCGATGATGTGAAGCTTATAAGCGTTCGTAAACCATAGATGGAATCAGATCCTATTACAAAAACAGCAGCGTGTGGCCTTTCTTTTTACCTAAAATTGTCTTTGGTGTGTTTTCTATAGGCAGATGGGGGCCTTGCTTATATTGTATTTTCTTGTATGAGAAGGCAAAAGAAACGTTGCCGTTATCTTATTATGTATGTAGGCCTTTTAAATTTTTATATGGAGAGTTTCATTACAAAACTTTACAAGAATAAAGGTGTGTATGCATATCTACATTTCGAATTGAAAGATCATTTCTAATTCCATCGACTAAAAAATGAATATTACTACCAAAAGCACCAATGTTGGATGATGATGTCAAGAAGGTAACGAGGTCATGATTAGTTAGGTTGACAAGAAAAGGTGACTTCGGACACTCATTGAGAAAGGCTTGGAATCTTCCGTAGCTGTTGAAGCATGAGGACCATTGACTCACAGACATACAAAGAAGCATTAGGAGAAACTTTTATACCATTAAGTATGCTCCAATTTGCACCAAAACAACAGAACAATAAGAAATTTAGTATGTACGTTCTTTAAACCAAACATAAGGGTCACATTCAACATTACAATAATAAGTTTGGTAAACAGCATGAACTATGAATGTTTAGAAACCTAACTCATAATAAGAAACTATAGAGAACTCATCTCATATTTCATTGACCAAATGCACTCTCACAGCCCTTACCAGACCTCCTGAGCGTTCAAACTCACAAACCACAGAGTCTCCGATTTTCAGATTGTACGTTTGACATAGACCTGTCCAGCCACTGATACAAACGGTTTGGCCACCAGAATAGAATCTAGGTTTGCCGACCTTTTTTTCTGTGGGAAGAAGGTAATCCACGGTAGATTCAGTGGGACCAAACTTCAAGCCATACTTCTCAATCACCGGTCTGGGCACATACTAGTTGCAAAGACATGGGAAATAGAAACAAAGGACATGTCTTAGCTGTAAAGGCAACATACATAAACTGAAAATTTTTCGAATCAAACAGATTCTTGAGTCTTGAAACACCTATTATTACCAGAACGTTATTGCTTTTTGCCAGTGTCTTCACAAAGTAGGGGTTTTCGGGGTTCAGAAGGTATCGCTCAGGGTTTTTGACATCAGAACAACCCTGTTTCGCTCGGCCATTTGCTGAGAATTCCACTAAAACAGAAACAGAAAGAACCAAATTTTGGCATTATAGAGTAAAGAAAAGAACAGTACTGAGTTTGAAGATCATCAAGATGACTCTTTGGATGTGAATTGCCTTACCAGAAGCAGAGGCAGTGGTTGTCTCCTTGTGAGAATCGTGGAGATTAGGATGAAGCGGTTCAGTTTCTGGTTCAACTTCAAGTGGTACGTCCATGATCTCATCCCCATTATCCTTAAAAATTTTCACTTCAAGAAACATCGTGTCATCGTGTCTGAAGAACAGGTTATCATTTGGACCTAAGTGGTTGTCATCCACAAACTCATCCCAGTCTTCTCCTTTCATATACAGATCGTCATCGCCTTGCTCAAGCCAGAGTTGCCAGGAATGTTCCCAACGAACACTAATCACAACTCTGTGTTTAAAAGCCCCGAGCGTGCTTATCACAAACTTCTCCGGGATAATCCTCTTCATAAAAGCAGAAGTCAGAAACAGTTTCACAACAACAACAAAACAATACTGACATTAAAGAAAGGAAAAATGAAACTAAAAGCTATAAGACAATCTGCAAAACATGATCTTTAAAGCTTAGATTGTAGGACAGGAAATGCAGAGAAAAGGTATGAAAATAACTAAAACCAACACTATCAGAAACATGAGCTAAACGCTAGTGCAACCTGTGATCTAAAGGTAACACCTTTATAGGAGATACAACAGGTCAATACGTAACAAGACAGTTCACAAGATAAAGACTAGGCAGAACAAGAAGCAGGAGGCACTCTGGCAGTAAAATCTCCCCAAAAAGTTTCCTAAAAGATAAAAAGATCTGAGCTTTTTCGAACAACAATAACAACATCCAAAGCACACAGAAGAAGCAATTCAAGCGAGTACAGTTTAAGTAATCAAAGCAATTCAATGGAAGGACCTCAAAGAACAGTGAGTACAAAATCAAAGCAGCTCCAACTTTAAACGATTACAAAAGCGGAGAGACTTATTTTGGGGTTACCATGGATTTAGATTTCCAGTTTAGTCCTGGAGACAAAGACTTCCAAAACCAAGGCGTGCTCACATTTGCTTGAATCTTATCAATAACACCCTTCGGCAACATTTTTGTTCTCTTCAAAGCTTGATTGATTCTGAAAAACTAGGCTTTGTAAGATGACTTGCATGTATGATGATCAAATCATAACTACAGTTAAGTTGAGGAAAAAGAAAAAGATCAAACCTTTAACGAGTTATTTCACTTTTCTTACTTCACTTCTTCGATCGTTTCTTTCGATTTGCTAACCCTAAAGAGTTACAAAGCAAATAACACGAAAGATTGTGAGTGTGAGATAGAGAGGAACGAAGAAAGACGCAAACTTTTGTAAGATCTTAGGTCAGAACAAGGTAAAGCAATATGCGTAAAAAGCAAGTAATTGCGTTAACAGTAACGTCGCCGGAGCGTGAAATGTACGCACCGTCACAGTAGACGAAGCTCCCTCTCTCGCTGCTGCGTCTGCTCCAGTTCTTCTCCCTCAAATCACTCAGCTTTGAGAAAGCGAGGAGACGCAACACTGCCAAATGTGCTGTCACTTCGACTCGTTCGGAAACTTTTGGTGAAACAGTATTACTGGGCCGGATATGACCCATTAAGGGCCCATATTAGTCTAGACTCCATAGTGAGAAAATTGACAAAAACTAATCGGTGTGACGAGTGACTTCTCAAATACATTAGTAGAAGAAACTTAGCAGCACAGTGAGTAATATCCAAATTGCAATACAAGTTTGTTTCAACACAAGTGTCTCATTTAGCACTACAACAGTTGAGAGCTGTTAAATCTTGTTACTAGAGAGGAGGACTAGTCCTAGTCTTCATTGACGAAATGCACTCTAACACCTGTAACCAGACTACCTGACCGTTCAATTTCGCAAACCACATAGTCTCCGACGTTCAGCTTATACTTCCGACATACAACAGACCACCCGCTGAAGCAAGGCTGGCCGTTATAGAACCGAAGAATGCCTTCCTCTTTTTGTCCCCCGGGAAGGAGGAAGTCAATAGTGGAATGAAGGGGACCAAACTTCAAGCGATAACGATGAATCACCGGTCGGCTCATGTACTAATGGACAAACAGGGAACATATACAAATCTTAGCTTTAAAGGAAACAAGAAAAGACTGACAATGTAAACAAACACTGCTATTATTACCAGAACGTCGTTCCTTTTTGTCACTACTTTCACAAAGTGAGGGTTTTCGGGATTCAAGAGGTATCGCATAGGATTCATGACATCACGACGATGTCTTACTCGGCCATTTGTTCCTCCATTTTCTGAGAATTCCGCCAAAGAAGGAAATTTAGCATAGAAAACAAATAATAGTTTTGAGTTTGAAGCGTATCAAAATGCTTCTTTCTATCTGAATAGCCTTACCAGAGCCAGAGGCAGAGACAGTGACTGTCTCCTTGTGAGAATTCTGGGGCTTATGATGAAGTGGTTCAGTTTCGAGTTCAACTTCAAGAGGTACGTCCATGATCTCATACCCATTATTCTTAAAGATTTGCACTTCAAAATCCATCGTGTCATCGTGTCTAAAGAACAAAGTATCATTTGGACCTAAATGGTTGTCATCCACAAACTCATTCCAGTCTTCTTCTTGCATAAACAGATCGTCCTTGTCTCGTTCAAGCCAGAGTTGCCAGGAATTTTCCCAACGAACACTAAACACAACTCTGTGCTCGAAAGCCCCGGGTGTACTTCCCACAATCTTTTCCGGAATAATCCTCTTCACAGACCAAGAAATCAGAATAGTTGACAACAAAAACACATTACTGACATTAAAAAGAGGATATATGAGCCTCAATCTATAGCTTTCCAAAGAAAACTCACAAGCAGCAAAAAAAGGGCGTAAAATATTGATTTGTAAGTCAAGCAATGCAGAGAAAAAGGTATCAAAAAGAACTAAAATAAACACTAGCAGAAACACAGCTAAAAGAAAACGAAACCAGCGAAGTAAAAGTACCCATAACAGGAGATAAAACAGGTCAATAAGCAACAAAAGTATTTTTAAGCAAAACAAGAAGCAGGGGGCGTTATTGCATTATCTTTCCAAAGTTTCTTGAAAGATCTGAGCTTTTTCGAACAACAACAACATACGGATAGTACTGCAATAAATTGTCTATAAAAAGGGGTAAACTAAACATGAAAGGATTGTCACGTTTTAACTGTTCTAGCAACAACATCAAAAGCAAAGAAAAGAAGCAAGTCGACAGAGGACATGTCACATGTTTAGCCTAAACTAGAAACATATGTTCTTGTAACAAAGAAAATTCAAAGGAAAGAGACGGAGACAGAGACTTTTGAGTTAAAAATTAACAGAGGAGGAGAGTCATAATTAAGTTACCATGGATTTAGATTTCCAATTTTGTCCTGGAGACAGAGACTTCCAGAAGCAAGGCTTGCTCACATTTTCTTGGAGCTTATCAACAACACTTTTAGGCAACATGTTCTTTTTCTGCAAATTAGGGTTTGTCAGATGATGTGTTAATAACTTCAGGGCCAAAAATTAGAGAAGAAAAAAAGAACAAACATTGTACGGACAAGGTGAAAATATCTCAGGTCAAAAAAAAGGCAAAGTCATAACGTTTCCAAAGACTGACCATAGGGTGGTATCGCCGGAGCGTGAACTGCACGCAACGTCACAGTTGAAGAATGCTTCTCCTCGCTGCTGCTCTTCTCCCTTAACAGAGAGTGACCGAGTCTTATAAAGAGAGAGAGAGAGAGTGAGACAGAGAGAGAGAGACTGAGACAGACATGTTAAATGTATGATGGTCACTTAACTTTGACTGCTTATGGAATTGTGGAAACAAATATTAACTGGGCTGAAGCCCAAATAAAAGACTGGCCCATATAGAAGTTTAGAATCATCTCATCACTCTGAACATCTATCAGTACACAAATTTCAGTGACATGAATGGCAAGTTTATCCTAATATTGCAGAGTAGATGCGTATGGTTATGCTCCATTGAAGAACATGGTGAATTGGTCATACAATGTTGCAAAAAAAAATAGAAGCTTGTTCAGGAGAATAACTGATTCGGGTAACTGGTTGCGTCACTTACTGCTTCCAGTTCTGCAGTCAAGAATCGAATAGATACCGAAGCAGAGGAGCTACGACTGCTACACTTAAGCTGTTCCCAAGCATCGCGTATCTGCACAAAAGAAGAATACATAGATTTTTATACAGTGTAGTTAGCAAGTCCGTTAAATGGATGGATTCAAACTCCACATTTCAAATACAGTAGTGAGAAATAAGGTGTTCATGGGTTTGAGTTCTATACTGGAATAAAAATTGTGCCTCTGTTATACTTGGATGTACATAATCTATATATTTAGCAGCGTTTTCTGTTTTAAATGGTGTTTATGGTATGAAACAGTGTACCTTTGTCGAAGGCTTATGTGCTTGGGGAAATCAAACTCCTCAGGGAATGAGTGAAAGTTAGCTACCTGATCAAACAGAAATCGAATATTATCTTTCATTGAAACAAAGCTGATCCTTCTCATTAAGGATGCGTTGGTGGTATAGATATATTGTCATTAACCTCTCTAGGGGTGAAGTATCTAAGCCGTTGCTCCTTCAAACAAGATTCTTTCCCCTTGATTTTTGGCTGCGTGATCACAGATCCACGATGAGCATTTCTTTTCACTTGCAGTAAGTAGAGGAAAATAATATTTGTACATTTGATGGAAGAATATACCTGGACAGTTGCCAAGAGGGAACCAGTGCCTTTCACATATCGATAATAACTCTTTGTGAAACAGCAGCATCTCTTTGAATCAGGGTAAACAATGTCCATTGCGTTTCCCCATCTCTCTATCAAACTTACAGGTACTAGATATTGATCTACAGATTCTGGGACAGAATCGTCTTCTTGTCCATTACAATCTTTGGATTCATTCTCAGAGTCATCAAAACTACTTGGCTCGCCATCCACTTGTGCAGCAGGCTCGAGAAACTTCTCAACTGGTTCGCAAAACTGAAGTAATTTTTCCAATCCCTCTTCTGCTTGACAATCTCCAAACTTCGCCTGATCATCACGCCCATATAATGGGTCTGGAGACCAGAGTAGTTTGTTATTACCGTGTTGAGACTTAAATGGCAGAGGCTTTCTTTTGGCCTACAAAGTAACCAGGTAAATTAAAGTTTGTGAGACATTTTACTTAAACAAAAAGAGACAGTGCACACTGTACACCTTCATAATCAGCATATACGTATACATTCTCAGTACATAAATAACATATTTGGGTACACGGATATGCGTCAAATGCACTACGTATTCATAAGATAAAGAGAACATACCATACAAAAATAACGGGGTCTTGAATACGGCACACCAAACTGCAACGGACTCAATATAAACTCTTGTGTGACATAATTTAATTTTGTTAATGTATCAATCATTTCCATATGGGTATCCGAAGTCTGCACCAACAAACACCACCAATAAGCAAAAAACCTCGCAAATTCAAGAAATATTATCGATAGTGAACAAGTACAAATGATGGTCGAAAAATATCTGTTATTAACTCCAGCTGGTAAGCAGAGGCAAACACAAACCTCAAATCCAACAACATTCTCTACAAATAACATCTGTGGAGGCTTATTTGTATGCGGTATAAGCTCCAGAATCCTGAGAAACGAAAATGCCCGAGCATCACCAGAGTGTTTCTGAAGGCCTATCCAAAAAAAAACTGTTAGAACTCAAACACATCCACTACCGATAAGCAAATCATGTTGCTCATAAGGGAAGAAAAAAAACGGTGAATCACCTTGTCGAGTATAAGGTTGACAAGGAGGAGAAAGAAGCCAAGCATCTGCATTATACTTATCTAAGTCAGCAGCAGTGAGGCTCTGAATATTTCCCTATGAAACAAACATAACACTAACAAAACTTCAGCAAAAATAAACACGAAATCGATAGTGACACCGCAAACGTAATTGATGACACAATGGCATGATTCCAATTCAAAACCAACTTATTCAGCAAACTAGAACAAATCATAGCCTAAGGCATCCTCTACAAATTACAAATGGAACAGTGATTGCATTGATCTATCAATATATATAACATAACCATTAAGCAACCAAACCAGTTTAGAAAAATCAAATTTACATAGATTCTCTTAAGTTCTTCTACACAGAGATTGAGATTAAACATGAACACTAAGAACAAAGAAGAAACCTGATAAGGACGGTGTTTGAAATTATGCTGATAAACATCATTAGCAGAATCATTGATCTCAAAAGCTTCTACTACTTCTGCGACAACGCCTGACGCCATCAAAGAGTATCTCTGAGAGAGTAAACGCAAACACAGAAATTAGGGTTTTACAAACAGAGTTAGACGACACCAAAAAAAAAAATTAAAATTAGAGGTGAAGGAGAAGTGTTACCATTCCACCGATACCACTGTAGAACTCGAGAACTCGCCATGGCTTCTTCTCAACGATGCTCTGCAAGCTTAGTTCCGCCATGGCTTCTTCTTCTTCTTCTTCTTCTTCTTCTCTGCTTAATTTTTGGGAGTTTTTATTTATTTTTCTTAATTCGTTTGGGTCAAAATTAAACTCTTAATTTAATTATTCGGTTTACTAATAGAACCATACCAGTCTTATTCGGTTTACTGCTAGAACCATGTCTTTTTGTCGTTTTCCTTTATTAATTAGCAAGAAACCCCTCAAAGTAACCAATAGTTTGCAAAGTAACCCTTAACTTACAAATTGTTAAAACAAAACACGAAACAATAAACTTGCATGTATTAACTTAAGAAAAGTGAGCTATGTTGTGACCTTCTTTATGATAGTTTTCTTATATCATGATATATATGACTGTTTCATGTAGTTTAATTAGTGACACATTCTACATATGATAGTTTTCTTATATCGTGGTTACTTGGTTAGTGTATTACCATTATAAAAAGCATTGAGATTTTATAAGTTTGATATATGTAGTCTTAATTAGTTGATGTGAGGTAAAAAGATCTACATGGGTTTAATAACTCTAGCTATAGATCTTTAACACTAGCTACATTCAAATAGTTATACTTAGATTTCTGGCCAAACTTGAGAAAGACTTAAGACTATGATCTAGTGGTTTAGTTTGGGATTTCTCATATACATTGGTCATAAGAACATATAAAAATGATGATGAAGCATAAAATGGAAGCATTCCCCAAAGATAAATCGAATAGATTCTCTCTTTTCTTTTTTGTGTTCGTCAGTTTTTCTTTACCATTCCCCGAGACAATATGGTGGGTTTATTCATTATTATGAATTCTTCTTCCCATTTTTTTATTTTATTACTTTGTCTCTCTATTAATGATTCTTTTTATATATTCTTTTTCAAGTTACCCATTATTTTTCTTTCTTCAAGTTCGAGTTATAGCTTTTACTGCAACTTATGGATAAGGAAGGCATTAAGGCTCGGAGACATGGACGGAGTCTTGGATAGGGCACATTCATATGTATATATTCACCATATATGTAACCAATGTTTAAGGGTGCATAACAATTAAGAATTAAGATATGTATAAAAAAATAAGAATTTTCACTAAATATATATATATATATATATAATTTTACATTTTACGTAAATTAAGACAATACTATTTCATCAAACACGTTATTGTTCATTATTAATACATGCATGAACGTTATTTCGCCAAATAATACGTTGAACGTTTTTTGAACGTTTTACCAACGGTTACACTATATTTTATAAACATGTGTATATATAATAGATATGGTATCTATTAATCATTCGTCGCATTCTACTGTCGTGTGTAATATTACTGTGCTTTTTTCGTCGTATTATATCATATAGCTGACTCAACTTTGGAGAGACATGTAGTATACCACAATGGAAAGGCTGATTTGACAGTAAAAAAAGATATTGCAGTGTACCACACAAACGACAATTCATTCATAATTTGTATGTGGGATATATATAGTAACGTAAGGAAAATTACAAATTATATATAAATTTGAAAAAAGGACACAAAGATGGTCAAGATACGAACCTCAAAGCCTTTTCCTTCTTATTCTTGTTTTTAGTCTATAGTTTTCGATGTTTTTTTCTCTTAAGTTTTGTTTGAGAATCACGAACGAATAAGTTCTAAACGGATATATATATACATGACTCTTCAGTACAATAATATTAAAACTTCAAGGGCCACACTTCAAAGACTAAAGAAAGGAGAAATTATACGTTCAAAGACTAAAGAAACGTTCATCATTTAAGGGAACATATACGTTCCTTGAAACTGTTGCCATGCAACTTTTGCTTTAACAGTGATAGAGAGGTTTTTCACTCCTGACGCGCACGAGAGCATATTATACCATAAACCTCCATCAATATAAATATACATACGTACGAATATAGCTAGTTAACATGTGTATATATCTTACCAATCATAGAGAAAACACCTAGTCGAGGTTAATGAATATATAATATGATACATGCTCGAAATAGATGAGAACTATATATATCCCTCAGCTTTGATGGTCTTATCGTTAGTCAATCTATTATGCATAGACCGTTAACAAAAGAAATCTATAAGAGCATATACGAGTTTGGGGTCCCAAAAAGGTCGAAGAATCTTTTTATTGTTTAAGTTTATTTGGTGAAATTTAGTGAAATATTTATTCTATCTCATAGCAAAGAGTCCACCCGTTAGTCAAAAATAGTACTTGTTATTACAGCCCACATTTACACACATCAGAATTTGAACTTGGAGTCTACTTTGCTACTATATATATATTATAAACTCTTTTAAGTACGAGAATGTAGTCTTGATAAAATTTTAAAATATCAATTTCACTTGTCGTCTTAAATAAATAATATATACATCTGTCAAGTATTTGAAAAAAAAAAAAATTGGTATTGAATTTGGCAGTATGTATCAGCTTTTGTGAAGCAGAAGCAAAATGAAAACGGCTGATATATCGAAAGCTTTAAGTAATCTTCTTTTCTTTGTTTAAAACAGTGGGGACTAGCTAGCTAGTTAAAAAAAATGATAGATAAATTTAAAGTCCTCGAAATATATAAACACAGATAAATTTTGTTTCTTTTGGGAAAAAACGTAGTTTATGGAGAATCACAACATTAAAGGAAATGCACTAAAGCTGAAGCAAATGAGAAAGTGAAAAAAAAAAAAAAAATTGAAACCCTAGTTTCACTTCAAATAATGTTCCCGGTTTGTTAAACGAAGGGCCTTTTGCTTTGCATGTCCATATAAATATATGAGAAGAGTACACAACATCACCTTCATATGCTAGCTCGGCTACACTCTCTTTTAAGACTTTCCAATTAACATCCTCAGGTAATCAAACACATTAAAATACTAAGGGTGATCACATTTGTATAATATATATACTTTTATTTTGTGTAACGCTTTATATTTAATGTTTTTTTCAATGGGGACGTACGTAGGTACATAGAAGAAGATGAATAGGCCGGGAGATTGGAACTGCAGATCGTGTAGCCACCTCAACTTCCAGAGGAGGGATTCATGCCAACGTTGTAGAGAGCCTAGACTGGTGGGTGGCATGATCAGTACCGACTTACTCAGCGGTTTTGGTAGCCGACCAGTCAGTAACTCCTTTGGTTTCAACACCGGGCCTGACGTGAGACCGGGTGATTGGTACTGTAACCTTGGGAACTGTGGGACGCACAATTTTGCCAACAGGTCTAGTTGTTTCAAGTGTGGTGCTGCCAAAGATGAGTTTTCTAGCTCAAGTGCCGCTGCGACAACCGGGTTTATAGACATGAATGTTGGTCCAAGACGTGGTGGTGGTGGCCTTTTTGGTTTTGGCAGCAGCAGTGGTGGTGGTGGCGGCGGCGGCACAGGCCGTTCTTCTTGGAAATCTGGAGATTGGATTTGCCCAAGGTACGTACTTCTTTTTGTTAATGTGTGTCGGTGCTCTTTTTGTTATTCATGTATATGGTTCATGGGTTTATAACTTGATCACGTAATAAAGTATAATTCATGCATGCTGGTTTAAACTAGAAAATAAACAAAAGAACTCATGCATGCTGGCTTACGTACGTAAGCTAGAACGACCGTTCATATATTATACGTATGTGTGGAATATATCGGTACATTTGTATTGTAGAAACTGATTTGGTTTATGTATATATATAGGTCAGGCTGCAACGAACATAACTTCGCAAGCAGGTCAGAGTGTTTCAGGTGTAACGCACCAAAGGAACCTGCCACCGAACCACCGTATTAGTCTCATCATGATCAAGTAAATTAATCTCATTTTGCAACAATATTGTGTATAGTTCTAAATTTCTAATCACAAATTTTCAAACAGTGTACTTTAACGTATATTCCTTCTTTTTTTGGATTCATCAGAAAAGCAGTAAAGGAGAAGAACACTGATGAAGAATTGGAGCAAGATACCGACCCTTTATGTCGTGATGATTTGTCTTTTTTTTTTTTTGCTTTCTTTAGATTTGACTCGCTCTTCTCACATCTCGTAGCAACCTTTGTCTGGTTTTATTTTAGAATGTAAGCAATTCGAAATTTTTCGGAAGCGTTTTGTATTAATTTCGATCGGTTTCCTAGCTAGAGCAACGTACGTTTGTTTTAATATCGACTCTTAGTTTTATATTAAACTTGTTGCATTCTGATTCACTCTTGAAGCATTTGATAAGTTCTGAAAATCCTGTTAACGCAATTCTTGTTAATTACTATCTAAATTTATAGTAGGAATGGAGCTAGTTTTAAGTTAAAACCAAACAAAAACACTAGTTGTGGTCCGGACCACAACTAAACCTTTTGTTCAATCCAATGCCTCAAAAAAAAAGCGTGATACAATAATCAAAATTTAAAATTTCAAAGGTAGATCAAGATTAAGCATCCAGGAGAGGTGACAAGGACCATGAGATATATAAATGAGTTAACCACCAAATAATCGAAAGAAAAATTGTATGAGCCCCTTCTAAAATGAGAATAGCTAGTTATCAGAAAACTATATTATGTATGCGATCCCTAATTATATTTATTACTTTAGCAAACGTCACACACAAACATTTCGTGCCAATTTATCCGCTTTAACATTTGCTCGTCTAAAATATTTGTACGGCAATTTTCATATTGACCATTCAATTTTTCTCTTAGTTATTTTTAACCATCTCCGTTTCGCACTATAACTACATTTACTCACTTGATACGTTCGATCTATTCTACTTTTATTGCTAGTTCCACTATCATGATTTTGGACTCAAAACTAGTATAAACAAGCGTACGTACGTGTCCTCACACACACGTTACAGTTTTGCATAGGATTCCTCATTCAATGAACTCATCATATAGAGAGGTGTTGTTAAGATTATCATCAAACGGGTCAAAGAAAAAAAAGAAGACAAACCAGTCTTTAATGTCTGCTACTATAATCCATTGCTTAGCTTTTAAAAGGGTTGTTGCACTAATTGGCTTTTACTAAAGAATCTTTCGTTTTTTTTTTTGTGTTTTCCCCCACTTTTTAAGTTCATTCATCATTTTATTCTTCTTTGGTTTTAGTGTAGTGAAAGTACGTCTTAGGTATTATCACAATTCACATGCATCATGGTGAACAACGTCGTCGTCTTCCCACTTTGAATTTCAAAACCATCATCAATCATTATTAGATTCGTTTGTGAATTGTATACGATAAAGTACATACAATTCCAGCTTATCAATATCGTATTACATAACTCCTAAATCATATCTTAAACTATTATATTAACTTATAGCTATTTACATTATTGTGAAGTGCACATCACTTGCTAAATTATTATATTAATACAGTTCCGTTACTGAAAGATCACTAATTAAGTAATCATTTAATTACAAATTGGTGTTACACTAAGTCATGGCTTAAAATTTAGTGTAGGCATGTATATAGCTTTAATCATATTTCATGCAAACCCATATTAACTAGAACAAATCAGGGTAGTAACCAATAAGTGGTTTAATCTAAAGTCTTGTGTATATATACATAGATATAGTGTTTCTTTTGATGAGCAAATGAGAATTGAGAGAGACACGTCGATGACCAATCTAAGTAAAGTGCACATCACTTGTTAAATAAACAAAATTTTCTTACTGTTAAAGTCAATTTTTTAAAAAAATATATATATAACAAAAAGCAATAGCAAAGATAACTTTTTATCCATTTCAAAAAAACACCCTTACAAAAACAATAACAAATTCATAATTTTTGGGAAAATTGCAGTAACTTTTTAAAAAGTTTTAAAATTTTCTCTTTAACCCACATAAAAAAGCAAAGCATGTTCATCTTTCTAAGGTCTTTTGTTCTTAGCCCTTCTTTCTTTTTGTTTTGTTGCAACTCTTCCACCACATTCTTCCTAATAATTTCTATCTTTATGCAAAGCAAGCAATTGACATGGATGGAACATGTATTTGTTAATAAATTTGATGAAAGCTCATTATTTTTTGCAAGGTATACGAGTATAGTTCTACCGGAAAAAATGAAATCTTGATTCATAATAAATCGATGCAAATTATTTTCATCACAACTTTCAGAATCACTTATATTCAGTTTTTCTTACATTATTTAATTATAACAGCATGAAAATATAATTATAAATGATGTAAAACAATATTTTCTTTTTGTAATTCTCCACACGAGTTCTTTAAATTTTTGTCACCAATATACAATATATAGATTTAAATAAAATGGATAACAATACATCAACGATAATTGTATAACTTACTAACACATCAACCATACTAGTATAAATTACTAACATCGATCCACATAAGTTTTTTTTTTTGAGTTGTAAATCTAAATTAGTATTTGATAATCGAACTTAAAAATGCATACATGATATATATAAAAAGATTGAAACACATCAAATACCACATTATCTTATATCATGAAAATTCCATCTATAGTTCAGTAGATAAATGAAGAAAAAAAAGGAGGAGGGGGAAGATATCTTACATATTGTAAATTTGAGTGCATATAAATCATTAGAGTCTAAAATGCTAATAAAATAGCATAAAACTATATAACCAGTTAATGGTGGTTGAAGGATTAATAGATTCATTTTAGAATTACATGATCAGAGTTTAAATTCTCACATAGCGATTTGTAGTAGTAAGAATATTCGCTTTTTCACATATCTTGAAAATTAGTTTGTATTTTGATATAAAATTTAGAATAACTATATGAGTTTTATGAAATATAAATTGGATAAAATAATCTATTGTAGTAAGTTTCTTTTTATTTATCTTTAACAACAAATTACAAAAAAAAAAAAAAAAAAAAAAAAAAAAGAAGAAGAAGGATAATCTAACAAAAGAGGCCTTTCTAATTCTTATATCTTCGGCCCATTAATGATCCATAACGCGGTTACCAACTCTTTGCTTCCAACTCCATCTCTTCTCTCGCAGCTTCACTTGTCATCTAAAGCTTCCATTGATCTCTTCTCCCAAATCGCTTCATTTCTTTTTACGACAACACAAATTTTCTTGCAATACAAATTTTGATTTCCTGAAGAGGTCATACTTGTGGTTGTGGAGTAGCTACGACCATTGTTTTGGTCCTGTTTTTCATTTCTTAAGAGTTGCATGCAAACTGTTCGATGAAATTCCTAACAGAGAATTTGATGTCTAACCATTAGCTCTTTGCTGTTTCACTGAGTTGAATTTTCAAAATGTGGGGTGTTGGGAATCATCACATAAGAAGAAATCTAAACTCTGAAATCTGTTTCAGAGCAAATTCAGGTCGCTTCTTCCGTACTAATCAAGTTTTGTATCATTCTTCAGTTGATGGTTCCTTTAAAGATGCATTGCCCTGTGAATGGTACGAAACGAAACTCCCGGTTCTGAGGAAACTGAACCGTGCATTAAGAGACGTTGATTTAGTCGATGGGAAGCTCGAGGACATCAATGGTGTCATCATCTATGATGATTGTATCAGAAAGAAAATGAACGCTTTCAAGTCTCTGGCTAGAATCTTCATGGGTTCTCCTTCAATTCAACAGAAGCTCAGAGAAGAAGGACGATTCAAGTTCCGATTTTTCGGGACTGAAAGTGAGAGAGAGCCATTGGTGGTGAATTCATTGACTAAAGTTTGCAACTTTCTTAACATCTCTGCACAACAACGGAAGCTAGTGAGATCCACTGTGTGTTCACAGGTCACACAGTATCGTATATGGAGAGGTACTCTTGAAGATATACTGAATAGTCTCAAAGAAGAAGTTGATTGGTTAGTTGCACATAGCGAGATGAGTCAAGGTAGAAAATTGGGTCAGCAAGTGATATTGTCATGCCTCAGATTCTTATCTGAATCATCGGTTTCATTCGAAGCAGAGAACTCAACTTCATGGATGCGACCTGTGCCAGCTAGATACGCTAAAGCAAATGCTTCTGCAAAATGGGAAGATGTTCTTGACATGGTGAATGATCTGAGAAGGTATCTTGAACATGATGAAGAAATTACAGTACTTTACCATTTGGAGAAGCTTGTATCGATGAAAGAAGGTCTTTTACAGATAAAAGATGTGTTTTTGGACAACACTATTGGATTCAGAGAGGTTAGACATCAAGAGCACCTTGTATTCAGAAAACTCTCAAAGACTTTGGGCAGTCCTTCGCCGTGTTTGTTCGCTCTCGTCATGTATTTCCTCTACGGACGTGTGCGTGACATCGAAGTTGATCTCTGCGGAGGGTTTTACAAGGAGAAGAGTGAGTTCTTTTGCATAAGCATGGGGAGGATCTTGACTTCAACGGATGAGAAAATGTTGGAGAGAGGGATGAAGCAATTAGATAGGGCACTAGGGCTGTTTGAGTTTGTGTGGGAAACAGCAGGAATGAAGGAGACTCTTAACCTGCAAGGCCATTTGTGGTGCCTTGGAGCTGAAGAAAGGTCCATCACATATCGTGGGAAAACGTTCTTCGTTCATGACCTTAGTCTATGAATTCTTGTGAGTTGTGAGGAACAAACAACATGACCTTAGACTCTAAACTTTTTAAAGTTTGTTGTTGTGTGATCTTAGTTTAGATCCATAGAGCATAGTTGAAAGAAAAAGAATATATAAACTTAATTGATTGATACAAAGAGTTTGATAAAAATCTGCAGCATGGTTTCATTGCTTTAAAAGGAAGCAAGAGATTTAGCATTAAAACCCACACAGCTAACAACATCAAAGTTATATAATATTACAACGGTCAACCCTGATGAAAAGTTTTAATGACCATAGCTTTACGCCTTTTTACCAACAGCCACTCCATCCTCTTCTTCCGATGTTGCTGCTTCGTTTTCTTTAAATGTCCGTGAATTGGTTTAAGCGCTAGTTAGCAGGCAATGGAGGTCGCTCGAGGAGTTACCAGAACAGCCGTCTTTCCTGTTACCGGCTTCATGCTTGCTGCGTTCTCTAGCCTTTCCCAAATTTCTTTCCTCTTTTCTGCTGCAGAACATTCTTTTGCTTCGTCCTCCTTAAAGCGGGCGTGGCAAGACATGAACAGAGCCTCATCCATTTCACAGAACATTTTTCTCACGTTTAAGGTTAAATTTAGTACGGATTGGTTCCAGTGGTTTTGAGCATTCTTTTCTAAGGCAGTGAACATGATTGGTAAGATGGCTTGCCGGTTGTGTCCAATCAAGTTCACAATTTGATCGTTGTTCCACAAGAATAGAGCTCTTTCGGAAACCTGTAACACAAGAAGCCCAATTTGTTTCAACTTTAAAAGCTTGTATTATGCTATGGCAAATCAAATCATACACGAGAACTATGAATTGATATCGAACTTTGATTCGAAATCAAGGTGGAGGAACCAATTCTGTAAAAAATGTCTCTTAAGAAATAGGAATGTACCTGAAAGTGGGAACTGGTTACACAGCAAGCAATCCGCAAGAACAGAGGGACCATGATCTTTTGGAATTCCATAACACTCATTGCTTCTAAAATCTCTTCGACCTCCCCGAGAAACATCACTTCCTTTTGACTGTTTGTGATAGGCCAAAACTTCAGTAAACCCTTTATCACAACACTAGCCAGTTTGGGCTCCTTATCTATGAACTGAGTAATGCAGTAAGATAGCTGCTGGAAGTAGTTTCCAACAGATTTAGGCTTGTGCAATGGAATCAACACTCTCCACAAGAAGATCTTGTGCTCCTCTTTCAAAGGCAAAGCAAATCCACTCACTATACTCCCAAATATCTCCAAAAGCTCTGCGATACCGCTATGCTTCTCTGTCTCAAACACAAACCGGTAGAATATATTGCTCATGGACTTGCGGACAAACGGCCTATGAACCATGAATTTCCCATATACCCGATGCAGAATCGTCTTCAAACACTCCCGTTCTCTAGGATCCTCCGAATCAAACAAGTCAAGCAACCTCACAATGAAAGCATGATCTAGATACTTCTTTGCCAATTTAGCATCAAGACACGGAGAAGTGATGAACTTAAGCAGCAAATCATAGACGATTTGCAAATGCGGCCAAGCAGGATCGAACATTGGCTCATCATCGTCGTTTTCGCCACCACCACTAGACCGGTAATTCGGAGGAAAAACCCTAAAGAGATTAACAGCACACATTCTACACATTGCGAGAATAGCCGGCTCAGTAAACTTAACAGACCCTGAAGCAACAAAATCCAAAAGCTCCAACAATGTCTGCCTTTTAACATCTTTCTCAATCGAGTTTTTACCCGGGTCGGAGAAATCGAATGTCACACAGCATAAACTAACTTTACTCACAAAGAGATTCAATTTCTCCGAGCTTGGTACATCCTTGAACGGTACCAAAGGCTCAATCCCAGCAACAACACTCGCTGGAAACACAGCTGAAGACATCCGCTTCCCCGAGTTAGATCGAACCGGACCCGAACCACCACCACTAGCTCCGGATCTCTGAACCGGTGACGCAATCTGACCGGAACTCGAACGATTCAGCTCTCCTCCAGAATCAGATTTTGAAGACTTCCGAGGAAGTTTACTCAGGAGCTGCTTAAACATTATCTTCCCCCAAATTTTCACAAAATCAAAAGCCTCTTAAATCCACATAGAGCCCTAAATTCTCAGAGACGAACACGGATCTGACATGAAAAGAGAGAAACTTGTAATGTGGGTTTAGATCCGAAGAAGCAAAGGAAAAAAAAAGGTTGACACTTTAATAATACCCAATACTTGGAAAACCCTAATCATTACCTGCTTTTTTCAAACCTTCAAAATCTTAATCTCATGATTCCAGAGTATCCCACGAACAACAGAACATTCCTAGAAAGAGAAAATAAAAATGAATCTGGAAGAGGAAGAGAAAGAACAAATTGGATTTGAGATGATTCGTTTCGTTACGGTGTCTTCTTCATTGTGTTTTTTTTTTTAATTGTTTCCGATTGCTGAGAAAGAGAAAAAAAAAGTTGATAATAATTTTCTCGGCAATTTGCAGGAAAATTTTTTACTTTCCTAATTTTAAATTTTCTTCCTTTTTCTTCGAAAAGACAGCGTCTTTTGTTTCTGTTTTTTTTTTTTTTTTTTTTTTTAAATTCCGATTATAATAAAAGAAATTTGAAAAAACAAAACACATCGCATGCAAATTATTAGCATCCGTTTGATGAGACGTTGACACGTGAATCCAACCGTTGGATTTTACTGAGAGAGGAATCCAAAGTATTTTACATAAATATGTTCGTTAAAGCCCATTATTACATAAATGGGCCTGTTATAATAAAGCCTATTTTAACATTTTGGCCTTACATGTGTTGTCTCTAGAACAAAGCTGTTTTTTTTTTTCCTGCTGTCATCGAAACAGCTGAAAACTAGTACATACTCTTATCCGTCTTCTTCATCCCCAAATCCAGAAGCTTTAGGGTTTCCATTTCTATTCACATCTTAATCTTCTCCGATTTATTCGAATTGAACCTTTTTTTTTATCTTATTACCAGGTAAAATTTCTATGATTCGATCTGATCTGATTCGATTCGATTGCGCCTATGTTTTTTTTTCTTCATTTGATTTGGTGATTTTATATTGTGTAGTTGAGATTACGAATCGGTTTCGATAATTTTGAGTGTTCTTATGTGATTTGGTTTTTTGATTTGGATTGAAACCCAAAAAAGTATTCAACTTTATTGTGTTCTTGTTTCACTCGTATGTGATCGTTGCTTTCATTTGAATTGCTTCGTTAGTATCCATGGAATTGTAGTTTTCTTGTTTGATTTTTCTGAATACATGTTTTACTTTTGTTCGTCTCACAGCTGTTGAAGTGAATGTCTGTGGTGTATCATGTCTAGTAATATGGGAACAGAGCATATGTCTATCAATCTAGAGACATGGAAACCGGATTCAGAAAATTTTGGAGAGACGAGTTTGATGGAGATTGAATCAAATGATCCTCCTACTGTTCAGGATATCTCAGTTTCAGACATGGAACAAGAGCCTGTGGCTTCCACGAGCAGTAACCTGGACTTACCGAAAGAGGAAACATCTGTCTCTGGTCCTTTGTCATTCCAATTTGAGCCAGATGCTTCTTTGTTGGTTGATTCTCAGTCTTTAATGCCTCAGTTGCAACCTCCATATTCTGGAGGTATGTCAGTAGGGTCGTTGCAGCTGACAGGGAAGCGGAAATCACCACCAGAGTCTACTCTCGGTGGTTCTGTTTCCGAGAAGTTAGATTTACCAAACAAGCGAGTACAGCCAGTGCATCACAGACCATGGCTAGAACAATTTTATTCAGAAAGTATTCAGCTGGGTCATATACCAGCCGCTACTCTTTCACCCAAGATGGAACATCCACCAACGCCTGCCAAGAAAGTGAGGCAGATGGAACCTGCTTCCCAAAAATCTGGGAAGCAAGTGATGAGCAAGAAACAAGCAGGCCCTTCACAAGGGTCAACGAAAGCACGTAATGATGGGAACGAGTCTTTGAGGTCTAAAATGAAGGAATCATTAGCAGCTGCCTTGGGTTTAGTTCACGAGCGTGAGGAATCTCCGAAAGAGAAAAAAAAATCAGAAACTGAAGAAACTACTAATGTTCCAGTAGCTGGAAGTAGTAAGCCTGCCTCAGCCTGTGTTAATGGTGTTCCAGTAGGTGAAGGCATCGCGCCGGAATTGTCCATAAGGGATGAAATTTCTGGGCAGAAAGACGGCAATGGAAGAATCTTGTCAGAAGAGACTTCCAATGACACAAAGATGAATTATGTTAATCAATCTGATGTACAGAAAACTCAATTTGACGAGGTTTTCCCCTGTGATGATCTTCGTTTTAGTGATAGTGTTTTTTCTGGCGATGAACTTTTACAGGGTAATGGCCTCTCATGGGTTTTGGAACCTGTTTCAGATTTTGGGGAGAATGAAACTGGTAGAGGAAAATCAATGGAGGATCCAGAGCTCCTTGCATCTAAAATCGAGTTGGAACTTTTTAAACTCTTTGGAGGTGTGAACAAGAAGTACAAAGAGAAGGGAAGGTCTCTCTTATTTAATTTGAAGGATAAGAACAATCCTGAGCTAAGAGAAAGTGTCATGTCCGGCAAGGTCTCTCCAGAGAGATTGTGTTCTATGACAGCTGAAGAACTTGCTTCTAAGGAGCTTTCTCAGTGGCGACAAGCAAAAGCAGAAGAGATGGCTGAGATGGTTGTCCTACGGGATGCAGACATCGATGTTAGAAATCTGGTGAGGAAAACTCATAAGGGTGAGTTCCAGGTAGAAATTGATCCCGTTGACAGTGGGACAGTGGATGTCTCTGCTGAGATAACCTCACATAGTAAACCTCGAGCCAAAGCAAAATCCATGAAATCATCTACCAAATCCACTCTAATGAAAAGTGACACGAATGATAAGGACACAAAATCTAACCAGGAAACATCAACCGGTATGACACTTCCCTCAACGGAGGAGACTGATCCAATGCAAGGTCTGTCGATGGATGACGAGATGAAGGATGTGGGATTTCTTCCTCCAATTGTATCGCTTGATGAGTTTATGGAATCCCTGAACTCAGAACCTCCATTTGGCAGTCCACATGCATCTGAGAAGAGTGACTCAGAAGTTGGGTCACATTCAAAATCACCTTTACAATCTCCTAAACAGTCTCCAAAGGAACCCAGTGAGAGTGTTTCTTCTAAAACAGAACTCGTAAAGACTAATGTAATTTCCCCAAGACTGGATACTGGTGTCAAACTCGATGCTGATGTCTCTAAGCCTGAAAGTACACCTTTGATTGATAGCATTAAAGAGGACCACATATGGGATGGTATATTGCAGCTTAGCGCCGCTTCAGTTGTCTCAGTCACTGGAATATTCAAGAGGCAAGTCTCCTCAATTACTTTGAACTTTTATCTCTTGTTTGCTGTTTTGGTTGAACATAGTGAATCAAACCATAGTGAATTGGGATGTTCGTACTGATGAGATTAATTAATCTAAGTTTAGACTTAAAATTGGAGTCAGCTCAAAAAGGGTACATTTAGGATTAAATCACACTCTGATACTTGTTTGATTTGTTGAACAAAAAATGGAATGAGAAAAGATAAACGTTTTAGGTATCGTTTGAAATAAAACATATCTCTAACTAGATTTAATCGTGCAGTGGTGAGAAAGCAAAGACAAGTGAGTGGCCAACAATGGTGGAGGTAAAGGGTAGAGTAAGACTCAGTGCGTTTGGGAAGTTTGTACAAGAGCTTCCTTTGTCTCGAAGCCGTGTCTTAATGGTATACAAAGTTTATTGCTTGCACCATCTTTGTAGTAGCATTAGCATTAGCTTCACTCTCTTCTTTGTTACTAAGAGCAATAATAGATCCACAAAATCTCATCTCAATATTGGAAGTCGTTTCTTAATGCAGAGACACAATCATAGGCTTTTTCATTAGCTAAAACATGGAACCCGAAAAGCAAAAAAAAGCTGACGGTTGATCTACATCTGTGAAACAGGACCGGGACAGTAAAGAGCCCTGATTGACCAGAGAATCAACTGTGGATTGAATCTGAAATTTTGTATAAAAATCATGAAATTTTGTATGCCGAATCAGTTTTAGATGTATTGTTAAACTAGGTAGGATATAGAATCACCAAGAATCTCTTACAAAGAGAAAGTAACAAGACCACGAACGACAGAACATAAACTTACATGCAGATCATGTCCCAAAATAGAATCTCTCGAAACATACTTCTTGTTTTGTCAGAAAAAAAAGTTTCTTCTTTTTGTTCATTTTTGTAATAAGTGTAAATTAATTAAGTTGGTACATTAAATTGCAGGTAATGAACGTGGTGTGTAAGGATGGTATCTCTCAAAGCCAACGTGACAGCCTTTTTGAGGTATTAATTTATATCTCATATTCCTTCTTTTACTGCATAACACATTAATAGTTTTGCTTAAAAGTCTTTGCCTTTTGTCCTTTTATTTGGGTTTAGGTTGCTAAGTCGTACGTTGCTGACAAAAGAGTTGGTTACGCAGAGCCAACAACAGGCGTTGAGCTTTACTTATGTCCTCCACGTGGAGAAACCCTGGATTTGCTGAGCAAAATCATCTCCAAGGACCATGTTGATGAGGTCAAGTCTTCAGACGATATCGGGTTTATCGGCGTTGTTGTCTGGAGGCGTGCAGTTGCCGCCTCTCCTGGCTCACGCCATAAGCCCGGATTCAAACGTCAGCATTCTTCTGTAAGCACTAAGAGGTCTGTGTTGGCTCCAGAGAACAAAAAGTCTAGTAGTGTGAATGTTACGAATCATCCTGTTGTAAAGGTTGCATCCATAGGGAATCATGGTTTGGTTGGCTGTGATGCTACTGACGATGAAGACGTACCACCTGGATTTGGCCCGGTAGGTGTGAAAGACGACGATGATTTGCCAGAATTTAACTTCAATACCTCAACTGGACCGGTTACTTCTTCTCCCCAGCCACCACCTCAGTCCAAGTCCATGGATCAAGTAAGGGAGCTCATTCTCAAGTATGGGAATTCAGCAGGTAGTGGTAGTAAACAACCATGGAATGGTCATGATGATGATGACGATGATATTCCTGAATGGCAACCACAAGTCTCAGGCCACCAAATTCAATTACCTCCACCACCACCACCTCCTGAATTGGGTCCACAGTTTCATAGCAGAACCGTGGCCCAACCGCCGGCACAACTACGTGGTGCGGGAACACCAGGTGGATGGAGGGCCAATCAAGACGCACTCAGGCAACAACAGTACAGTGCACGTAGGAACAGAGGATTTTGATATTTGTGAATGTGTTTGTGTAAATTAGTTAGGTGTATTGACGTCTCTATATCATCGGCTTTTCTCCGTAGTGTTTAATAGAATTGTAAACCTTTTGAACAATGGAGTCTTTAAGCATAATAAGTTTGATGGGAAACTTTGAATCCAACACAACCGAAGATTTGTACGGATTATTTTCAGATACATCATGAATATGCTACAAATTACAAGAAGAACATAAATCTCAGTTCTTCAACCCGCTAAGACCCCCTTGAGTGCGGATTTCTGCTCCGTTGTCAATCTTGCGGGAAACTGAACATCGAATTTGATCTTGAGATCGCCTTTGTTTCTTGGTTCTTTAGCAATTGGCATCCCTTCTCCAGGAACTACAAGCTCATACCCGGGACTGACGATTTCCGTGACACCAACGGGTAAATTCCGCCCATCAAGCGTGTCGATATTCACAGTTGTTCCTCCTATAGCTTCTGCGAGCGTCACTCTCCGGCTTGTGATGAGATCATTCCCATCTCTCTTGAACAAATCGTGCGGCTTCTCGTCAATCACAAACACCAAATCAGCTGGTAACTGATTCACTTGCTCATTTCCTTTGTCGGGAAACTTAATCTTTGTCCCTTTCTTCCATCCTGGTTTCACAACAATAGTCAGAATCTCTGTTTCTTGCGCCTGTCTTCTGCAACCATCCAAAAAAAACACTAATGAACTAACACAATACCATTTACTTGATACTTAAGAAAGAAACCTCTAAAAAAAAAAGGTTTACCCATTAGCATCAACAATGGATCTAGAGATCTTCATTTTCCTAGTTGATCCAGAATACAACTCTTCAAGACTACAAGGCAACTTGCTCTCAACAGGTGGAGGCTTCTTAGGCGCAGTAGTGCCTTCGCTGTAAGTTCTGAATATATTGTTTTCGCTACCGTTGTTACCGCCACCAAACCCACCAAACATTCCTCCACCTCCGTCTGATTGAAACCTCGTCGACCTTCCATGACCACCAGCTGATCCAAAACCAAATGGACTACTTCCAAAGAACTCTGCAAATATATCTTCAGCATTTCTCGGGTTGAAACCACCCGCTCTTCCGTTGTTTCCCGTGCTCCCGGGAGGCGGCATATCGCTTAATCCTTCTTCCCCATATTGATCATACACCGCTCGCTTCTGCGGATCACTTAGAACCTGAAACACATCCCACACAAAAAACGAATGAAAACATTGTACGTTTTGATTAGCAATGCAGCAACATTGCCTAAGGAGATACATTATGCTTATAACACAAGCAAAACTCATCAACATAACTCTAAATTATAAACCAAAGAAATGGATCTAAAGGAACAATGAAATCAAGATTAGTTAAGAATCCTCCTGTGTAAAAAAAAATAAAAGACTTGCCTCATAAGCTTCAGAGATCTGTTTGAACTTGGCTTCAGCTTCAGTTTTGGTGTTAGGGTTTTTGTCAGGATGCCATTTCATAGCCAACCTTCTGTAAGATTTCTTTAGATCATCCTCTGTTGCGTTCCTATCCACTTTCAATATGTTGTAATAATCCAAACCCATTCTTCTTCTTCCTTTTTCTTCTTCTAAACTTATCTTCCTTCTTAGAAAATAACACAAACTCAGAATAAAAGAATCAGATCTTCCAATGTATATGATAAAGAGTTCTTTTATGTGTATCCCTCCTTCCTAATCTAATGAATGAAAAAATGAAGAAGCTTTTTTTCTTCTTGTTGTTCTGTAGAAAGAGGAAAAACAAAAAAAAAAAGATCACCGACTTGGGAGAGAGAGGCTTATTATTATTTTCCTTTATTTATTTTTTCTTTTTCTTTTTCTTTTTTCTATTGAAACAGATTTGAATCTTTAATTGCTCTAATTATGACAGCTTTTTGCAGATTCCTTTTTTTAACACACAGAAATTTACGGAATCTATTTTCCTCGTTTTTCTAATGACGTAATTAGATTATCCTAATTATAGTAACCAAACAGAGAGGGACACATAATGCCGCAAAAGTAGCTGCAGATATCTACATACCCAACCAAACAAAATGGTACCAAATTGTGTTATTGTTTAAACAATGCTATACCAATTTTGTATTCAACAAACATTACAATGACAGTATTCATAACCAAAATAGTTAAGTTGATTAACATAATCGTAACGGATGTTTCGGTCATAATTAGCGTTTACGAAAGGAATGATTAATTCATAATACTACTGTTAAGAGATTAGAGAGAGATTCATATGTTTTTAATATAGAGCAGCAAAAATGGCCAAAAGAGCAGAGGCTGCTGATTCATAAGCTTTCTCAAACTGAAACTTTTTTTAAGAACTATACATTGTACTCTCTTTTCCCCATAAAACAAAGTGGGAGAAAGAATATAGAAAGAGATCTCCTACGAATACCATTCAACTTCATATCATCCATTTGCAAGAAACTTAAAAGAGATAAAAAAAAAAACTTCACATTTTTGAAGGACTCATCAAATCAGGAGGAGGAGACATAGGGGTTGCGGATACCCGAGGATGATGATGATGCACTTGTTTCATTCTTTAGTTTCGAAGGTTCGGTGATTGTTTCAGGTACATCGCCAATGTCCAGTGTGTCTGGGAGGTACTCCTGAGCTTCAGTACTGTAAATCTGTAGAAAGGGAACATACCCAAAAGCAAAGTCATTACTAAGCTTAGAATCTAACAACTCTAATGCAGGAAAAGACTTGAGAAAATGAATTACCTCGAGCTGGTTAAGCATTTCGATAGTTGCATCAAGATCACAGTTGTTGGCCAAGTAAACATCATTGATAGACTCATGTGAGAGACCAGAGAATGTGACTAAAAGGAACTCGATATCCATGTCCATCTCCAAATCCTCCTCTTTCATCTGATGATTGTAAACCATGTCAGGGGATTTCTTAGTAGGCATCTTCATCTGAGGAGGACTAGGATAACTTCCCATTCCTTGGACTCCATAACCATGAGCTACCTGATGAGGTTGCTGGTGCTGGACTTGATGGTATGCGGATGGCTTAGCAGCAGCACCACCACCACCAAAAGAAGCATCTCTTTTAGAGAGTGGTACATAAGCTGCAGCGTAAGGATTCAATGTAGATGATCCTCCTGACTTCATTGCTTAAGTGAGATACTGCCCAAAAATTTCAACAAACGAAAGAAGATATCAAATCAATTTATAGCTTCTGCTGCAACAATCTACACTAGCAATCGATTCCAATCAGAATCAATAAGAAAACATGACCTAACCAGAGCATTAAAATCTATGAATCATGATTCCACAAACTACAAATATTAACTCGCTGATGATAAAATCAGCTAATCTAGCCTCTTCCTGACGCCTCGGGTACAGATCAAAATCAAACCACACAACTTCAACTTAAACAGAAAAGGAACACCGAAACCCTAATACATCGATTTTAACCGAGTCTAAGGCTTAACACACAAGGTTGAATCAGGAATCTAAGAATAAACGAAACGAAGAGAGAACTTAGATAAACGACGAAGAGAGAGCGAGAGAGATCAAACAGGATTCGCGCTATCAAATCAACATAGATCGAAGAAATCAAAAGACGAAAAATCGATTCGAGTATGATCGAAACGAAACGGATTCCAAATAAAACACAAAACACGGCGAGGCTCATCGCGATCACGTCAACGATCGCCGTAGACCTAAAAGAAGAAATCGAACTTACCTGAGAAGAAGACGATCGTTGAAGAAGAAGAAGACAATGGCGAAAATTTGTAGAGAGAGAGAGATCTAAGAAACGCTAAAAAAGTGGGGGAGAAGAGAGAAAACGACTCTTTTCTCTTCTTTAATATCAATAAATCAATAATGGACTTTTTATATGCCCACACAACAAAAGGAAGAAGAAGATGACGAAGAAGAAGCGTTTACTTGGGTCTGTTTGGAGGCGTAGTTTTATCGTATCCTTGACCTGGTTTATTATGTGTCCTTATTTTTTTATTTTTTTAAAAACAAATTAATATTTTCAACTCGGTGTGCTGATGTGTCAGTTACAAATTAGTTTACCTTCTTCGTGTAACATAATGTTAGAATCAGAAATGATATTTATTTTTATTTCTAACCAATCAAAAAATACGTATCTACGTTTTTGGTAATTTTATCCTACACTCACCAATTTCCAAAATCTCTTTATTAATAGAGGGGTTGCAAAATGGTCTATGTTCTTCAAGCAAGCAAGCATATGATTAATATGATGTGTTATGTTTATTTAACTTTGAAGAAAATGGTATTTTTTTTTCTTTATGTCAACCATATTAATTTTCAAGACCTTAAAAGTTAAAACATGTTCTTATAACCACTACTACAACCAATATTTTCAAAATAACCCTTATATAAGCTACTCAACATATTTTAGAATGAGTTTGTTCGTATTATCGTCGCAGCAGCGTACGCATGTGTTTTTTCGTTTGAGCACTGCATGTTACTTCAGCGATAAATACTATATTTTGCAGTTATAAATTTTGAACGTCGATTTAATCAAAAGCGTTTACTGCAACCGCCTACAACGAAAGTTTGTTGCGTGTTAGCTCATGGTCGAGCATACATCATATATAAATGATCTCAGATTATTACTTACCCCGCCATAATTTTAGCTTAGAACAAACCATTTAATTTAGTTTTATCTCTTGGTTTTGAATTCGTTCTAGAGGTGTTTGTTTGTCTTTGTAATGTTGGTTGCTTATTCACCATCACTCCTCTTTTGTAAGCGATGATCCGATCCTACGATTTGGTTTAGTAGACATTTCGTAGTTAGTAACTAAACAAACCCCCTAAAAACTAGCATCATCACATACTTTTGTTTTTCTTCCTCAGACGCTAAACTAGTGGGAAATTTTTCATTTCAGATTTGCTAAGTCAATTCCAAATAAAATAGATTAAATCCTACAAAAATAGGTTGTTTTCTCTTTGTTTTTTTCCCTAAAACTAAACGTGTTATTCACTTATTTATCGTGTCACTGTAATAAAATTTATAAATTATAAAGAGGAAAAAAAAAAAAAAACAATACAGGTTTCAGACATTCTCGGTCAAACCCAATGCTGTAGTGGATAACATATAACCTTTACTAATTACAACATCTAAAAATAGCAATATACATATGTTTTTACTTCATTTCTCACATCTAATTACTAAACGCTCTCTCTTTACAGATTCAAATCTCAACTAAAACATAAAAAAGACAATAATAATAATAAGAAGAAGAGTGATTAAACGTAACACAAAACTCCATTAGAGTGTAATGAGGATTTATCAACCGACCTTATTATCATTCACCACCGTCGTCTTACTCTACACATCCGCCGCGGCTCCCGGCGGATCACGGCAACTTCTGTACACCCGAGACGACCCTATAACCATACCACCGTACCTCATATTCGAAAACGTACGGCTCGAGAGAGCTTACGTAGCGTTACAAGCGTGGAAACGTGCCATGATCTCTGACCCATGGAACCTAACAACTAACTGGTTCGGATCACGTGTGTGTGACTACAACGGAGTAGTATGCTCCTCATCTCTCGACGAACCTTTGGTTAAAACTGTCTCCGGCGTCGATCTAAACCATGGAGATATCGCTGGTCACCTCCCTGAAGAGCTTGGCCTCTTAACCGACATTGCTCTGTTTCACGTTAACTCGAACCGGTTCTGTGGTACTCTCCCGGTCGGGTTTTCGCAGTTGAGTCTTCTTTTCGAACTCGATCTTAGCAATAACCGGTTCGCTGGTAAATTCCCGGAAGTTGTAATCGGTTTACCGAAATTAAAGTATCTTGATCTCCGGTATAACGAGTTCGAAGGTGCATTACCAGAGTCTCTCTTCGACAAAGATCTCGACGCTCTGTTCTTGAATAGTAACCGGTTCGTTAGTAAAATCCCGGTTAACATGGGAAATTCTCCGGTATCGGTTCTAGTTCTTGCGTCAAACCGGTTTGAAGGATGTATACCGACGAGTTTCGGTAAAATGGGTAAGACACTGAACGAGATCATTCTTATGGACAACGGTTTACAATCTTGTCTACCTAACGACATGGGGTTGCTTCGAAACGTTACCGTTTTGGATATTAGTTATAACTGGTTGGTCGGAGAGTTGCCTAAGTCGATGGGAGCGATGGAGAATCTTGAAGTGTTGAACGTTGAGCGTAACATGCTCTCTGGTGTAATACCTGAAGAGCTATGTGCACTTGAGAAGCTAAGAGAGTTTAAATATGGTTCTAACTATTTCACTGGAGAACCATCTACATGTCGTTATCTAGAGAATTATAATTATACTATGAATTGTCTCAAGGATGAGAGAGACCAAAGATCGATGATGGAGTGTAAAGTGTTCTTGTCGAAACCTATAGATTGTGACTCTTTCAAGTGTGATCCTGTCTCTTCGTGTTTTACTCCTCCTCCTCGTCGTCAAATATCACCATCATTGGCACCGGCACCGTCTCCAACTCCACCGCCTCCGGCTAGACCTTGTCCACCGATATACTCACCGCCTCCACCACCACCACAAGCTCAACAACCGGTGGCTCAGTTGATGAACTGATGATATCGATCTATGTGTAGAAACTAGAAATGGTATGTGATGATAAGGATGAGATTGTTTAGAAGTCGAAAGTAAAAGCCAATATGAGATATATCTATAGTGGGAATCATGATGGGTGTTACAAGTTGAGACTGAACAAGCTGAAAAATCTGTAGGACGTGGACACCAAGTGTAGAAGGACTTGTCACTTTTTTAAAAGATTGCATGTGTTTGTTTAAATTTTACTTTGATATATTTTTTTGGGGTCTAAAAGACTCTTGTTGTTGAGTGTTTTTTTTTTTTCAGATTCATTAATAAAGACAACAAGGTTAGCAAACCATTTGACGGTATTGATTAAGATCAATCTCTACAAGAATTTCAAAACCATAGAGTCTGAATGGTTGTAGTGGCTAAAACTGATAAATCTACGTCTCGAATAGTCGGTTTTTATTTAATATTCATCAAATATAATCTATAAGGTATAGTCCTAAAAAAAAAAAAAAACTATAGTGGACCAACTTGGAATCGCTTTTTTGTTATCCGTTTTAAAAGTAGAACGGATTGTGAAATGACTTTAATCTAGTAGCAAATGATAAATCTACTGATGGACAGACACTATTACGTCTGGGATCGAGTCCCGCTTCCTATATATTGGTAGGGATTAAACTAATGGACCGGCCAGTTATGATCCAACTTGGACAAAAAAATAGAACAGACTAAACCATTAATGTATTTGTCCAATTGACCGCGGTTACCGTTCGAACCCAAAATTAAACCACTAAACCATATATAACTCTTAAAATAGTTTGACCGATTAATACATAAGTTATATTCAATATCCGAAATAGTTACTTAGAAATTAAGTGGTGTCTGTCTACATCATTCATAGAGATAAGGTTGATGATGCTTGATCGCTTATATGGGTAATAAAGTAAGGAAATATTTCCACAGAATCAAAAATATAAATTAGAGATTCCCCAATCATTTAAATGCCAGGTCACACCCATCCGTGTCTCTAATTAAAAAGTTAATCAACTCCTACACGTAATTATATTTTTTCCACACATATATAATAACAAATTAACAATATTTTCTTAAGCTAATGGTGTGATTGAGAAATTGGTATTTCAAAATTATGCCATGAAAATACGATTTGGAACGTTACAACATTTTCGTGACATCTGTATAACACATTTAGTGAAATATATATGGTCTTTGCGATATTTATTTTAGCTGTCAACAATAAATAAAAAAATATAAAATATTTTGGTTTAGCTTTTCCCAAAGAACAAGCAAAATTCGAAGTATCTGGAAAACTTTCACATCTCTTTATAAAAACTCAGACGCGTCCCTTTTATTTTTATTTGTACTTAAAAAATTATTTTCGTCAGTTTCAGTTCGGAGATTTATCGCCGGGAGAATTATCGCCGGAGAACTTAATCGTCGTCGTCTCTTTCTCTCTCTGTGAAAATTCTGATCGGTGGAGATCGTCGGATCGAAAGTTCGTTATCTAATTAGTAATGAGATTATAAAATTCATCGTATTTGTTTACGTTTCCGTGATTAGTTTTACCCTTTTTGAGTTCTTTGGATGCGTTTTTCTTGAAAATGTCTCTTTGTGTGTTCTAAATGTGTGGTTTGGTTTAGTTCTTAGTTGAATTCGATTGTGTTTTGTTATACGTGTTCTTGAAAGAAGGTTTGAAGAAAAGGAAGAAACAAAATCCGTAGTCTAGACCCTTGAATTGACCTAAAGGTTTAGTTAAGCGGGACATTGATGTAGTCTTACATGAACAGAGTACATCGAACACTTCTTTGAATTGAACCATGACCATGAGGTAGTCTTTGAGTTTGGCAGGGTTTCTTGGGGAATTCTTGAGGGCTTTTAGGTGCTGTTTCAAAAGAGTTAAAGGTCGAATTTTTCAAGGTGAGTTCTGAAGAAAATATCCATGGAAATGAGGTACATAGGTCATTGAGCAAAACCCTTCTTCTTGTTGATTTATCGAAAAGAAATCGATTCCTCTTCATCAGCCTAGCCTCTGTCTACCCTTTGCGTGGGTTTTTTTTTTTCTCTGTTGACCCCAGACATTGTGCAATCTTAGTTCTACCTAGTCATTTCCTTTTCTTGAATCATCTGTTTATCATCTCTGATTTGGCCAAGAGTGCTCTTTGTTTTGTCATCTATCTAATCTAAGGTGGAGTAGCAGAGGGTCCTCATTGTCAATTTTTGAAGAAGGCGGCCTGATTCTTCACTTTGTAGTCTGCTTATCTCAGCTATGGTCTCCATAGTGAGTTTCCTTAGAGCATATCTCGTTGTTGTTGTCTGTAATGAAGCTTTTTCTCCCTCAAGCTTGCGGAGGTTGTGAACCTGGTAGTAGAATATTATGGGTAAGGGTATCAGAAGATTTGTATTCCTTTGACTTTGGGGTTACCATTTGGGTCAAGAGAAAACATGCCAGCTTTAAAGATGGGGTTCGATAAACTAAGAGCACTCTTCAGGCTTTCATTTCCTTAGAGTTCTCTGAGTCGTATGTTCACTGAAGAAATTTGGTGCAGAATGACACTGGGAGGTAGGTCTGTCCTCGTTGGACATCAACCCATCTCTTTAACCCGGTTATCCCATTTTTATGTCAGTCCCAAACCTTGTTTGATCCTGTTTGCGTTGCTCTTACAATAGGTTGGGGATATCTGGTTTAAACTGGATATATTTGAAGGACTGAAGTGAGCACTCAATGTGCCAAACTTTTATTTCTATATGAAGGCTCCATCAACCAAGAGGGCTGTGTTTAGTTGTTTAACAGGATACTTGTAGATCTTTTTGTTTTGGTGATTCTTCCTTTTGGAGAAAAGCTGATTGGAATTTGGAGCCATTTCAAATTTGGATTGTCTTGGTGCTGATTGGATTGGTGTGCTGCAATCTAGATGGAAGCAACAGTCATCGAGTTGTTTGCTGGATTTTCAGGTGACAGATAATGTTTTCGTGATGAGGAATATATTTTCTAAATCTTTTCTAACTTGCAGGTTTCATAAGCATTCCATCAGCTAGCAGTGTCTGCCAATTTTTCACTGACTGGTATACGTAGTGGGACACATGTATTTCAACTCCCCTCAGCAACCACAGAAGTCTGACCAAGAGAAGGGTGAGATGTCAAGAAATCTACACTCTCAGTCAATCAATGAAGAATCCGAATCGTCAATTCTGGAAAGGATAACTGCAGAGTCAATAATTAACGAAGTGCTTGGTAGAGGACTAATGGAGCATGGGTAATTTTTGCTTCCTATATGTGTGTTCTTAGAGTTGAGCGTGTTTCTTGGTTTAATATCTATCATTTTCTTGCAGATGTCCACATTACAGAAGAAGGTGTTGCATTAGAGCTCCTTGCTGTAATGAGATCTTTGGTTGCCATCATTGTCATTATGAGGCAAAGGTAGATTTTTTATATCTTAAGAGATGTCACGAAACTGCATTTTGTAACTTCTATATTTCTCAATATCTGTGTGCTGATACTTGTAACCATGTCTTTGAAACAGAACAGTATAAATGTAGATCAGAAACATAGGCATGATATTCCTCGACACCAAGTTAGACAGGTACAATAGTCTGTATGTCTCGGTTGCTCTATTTATATTATTTTGATGTTTGACTTTTTAAAATATCTCCATCTTTTTCTTCACAGGTTATATGCTTACTCTGTGGCACTGAACAAGAGGTGTGTTTTAACTCTTAATTTTTTCTCTGAACTTTTGCTGCGTTCAATAATCAGATACATAGAGCGACCACTGAAGGAGCTTTGTCTCCCATTAGTAGAAATCTGCTATCAAACAGTTTCTAACTTTGTTAGATAACACTCTCTTTTTTTCTGGCCTGCACCAGGTTGGCCAAATTTGTATCAACTGCGGAGTGTGCATGGGGAAGTACTTCTGTAAAGTCTGCAAGCTCTACGATGATGATGTAAGTTTTTGGAGGAATTTATTCCTAAGCTCGTTTGTTGTGTCCATTTTCTTCATTTTTCTACATAAGAGGCCTTAAGATTTCCAGTCTTTATTATAGTTACTGGTTAACCATAATGTTGCTTTCCTGTTTCCAGACTTCTAAACAACAGTATCATTGTGATGGGTGTGGAATTTGCAGGTACATTTTTGGACTTCTCTTTTATGTACACTACACACTGTAAATTTGTTTAGTTATGTTCATAACTAAAATCTTATTTGTTTAGAATCGGTGGACAAGAAAATTTCTTTCACTGTTACAAGTGTGGTAAGCCATTTTTCCCGCATCATATAAGCTTTTCTTCACAGGCCAAACACAATTGTATTGTTGGTTTTACAATCTAACCAGCTCTCTGATTTTCAATTAGGCTGTTGTTATTCAATCCTCCTCAAGAACAGTCACCCTTGTGTTGAAGGAGCAATGCATCATGATTGTCCTATATGCTTTGAGGTATTAGTTATTGTCAGTATTGTTCTACTTCTCCAGTGAAATTCATGAATGTCCCTTGTCGACCTAACTATTCTGCCTGGTTTTCCTCCAGTTCTTGTTTGAATCACGGAACGATGTGACGGTTTTACCATGTGGACACACAATCCACCAGATGTGCTTGGAGGAAATGAGAGAACATTACCAGTAAGTACATAAATAACTCAGTGCATATTTTCAAATGGTGTTATTGTAGATATTTTTCAACTGACACAACTAAAAATTTATGCTTCTAGATACGCGTGTCCACTTTGCTCGAAATCTGTATGCGACATGTCAAAGGTGTGGGAGAAATTTGACATGGAGATCGCAGCTACACCGATGCCAGAACCATACCAAAACAGAATGGTCAGTATGAACTTGCTTAGTTTACAACTCATCTTTTACAAAGTAAAGAAATGATGTAACTAGAACTCTTTTTGACGAAAACAAAAAACAGGTTCAGATTCTCTGCAACGACTGTGGGAAAAAATCTGAGGTACAGTACCATGTGGTGGCTCAGAAATGCCCAGACTGCAAATCATACAACACTCGCCAAACCAGAGGCTGAAGCTGTTCTTTTGCAGACATTGTGATTTGAAGTTTGCTTGCAAACAGATGCAACTAATAGCTTCTTTCACTTGAATCAATAGTGACTTTGGCTCCTTTCACCTAAAGACTCATCTCTTGAAACTATCTCTCCCTCTCTTTAGCTTCAATATTCTCTAAATCGTCTCCTGTTCACTAGTCTATGTCTCCTTCGTGTGCTGTAACAGTCTGCTTAGTTTCCATTAGAATATGTCTCCTTGATCCCAACTTTGAGTTTATAATTGAATAGTTTCGTTTATCTGATAATCCCCATAGAGGAACTTGTGGGAACTTTTGTAGTTACCATGGCTTATGCATATGAAACCTCATCTCAGATTCTCAGCTGTGATTTTTCCTGTGTATTAAATAAAATCTTTAAACCACTTGTCTATTCCTGGTTAAGAGAATGATTTAGTCATTTTTAATACAATTCCGGTTTTAAAGTCCGGTTTAGCAATTTCAAAAGAAAAACAAACGAGATTGGAAATTTATTTGAAATTTGAAACTCTAGCATACTCCGATAGGTTTGTGGAGACTCTTAAAATTTACCAAAGGCAAATAATCTTGTTCCCTCCCAAAACACACGATCTCTCGCTCCTCTCTTCTCTCTCTCGGCGATAATGGCGGAATCACCATCGCACAGTGATGCACAGCTCGTTGCTCATCAAGCTCCTGCTCAGCAAGCTGAATCGGATCTGACGTCTCTCGTCTTCGGTTTGTTTTGTTTTCTTCTCTTTCCTTCTTTTCCTCTGATCCTTGTTCATTCAAATTCGAATTTTGAGTGACCTAGAAATCAGAATCGAGCGTGTGTGTTCATCATTTTAATCAAATGCTCTTATGATTTGGTGTTCAACGCAGTTTCTTCATACTTATTGGCTTAATCGCTTCATCTAAACTTGAATTCGCATTTCCTTTTTTCCTGAAAAAGCTATAATCCACCTGTGGAATCGAGATGTGTATTAGAATCCGCCATTGTTAGTTGCTTCTCTATCAAAAAGATCTAGTAGATGACGATACTTAGAATGAAACATGTGTAATATCGTTGGGTTGATCAAATTTGGCATCCCGGAGTTCAGATTCTGTAATACAGTGTTTATTTGACTCATTGGCTTATGCAATTGCATTAGCAGGCACCATAAGTCAATTGCATTAGCAGGCACCATAGATTAGATTCAGTGTGTTGAATTGAGATTACAAGTCAATGTTGTCTCTATTTCACGGATTTTGTGTGCTCTCGATATACTCTTGTGGCTTATGCAATTGCAGTGACTATAAATCGTTTTGAAGGGTTTATCATCAAATGTATATGGATTAGATTCAGTGTTGGACTGAGCTTACTTGCTAATTTGTGTGTCTGTTTCTTTTTGAACAATGTGTATATAGATTTGTTGTTGTAACCTTTCAGCCATTTTGATTCTGATCATGTTCTTAAACAAACGTGATTGTAGAATTGTCACAGCAAGTTCAGATGGGAATGGAGAGCATGCTCAAGATGGTCAAGTAATTATTGTTTATGTTTTCTGTCTACTACAACTTAAGACTAGTGGCTACTTTCTGAGTGCTAATCCAGTGCCCCTCTCTGTCTGGGTTGACAAAATCACTGCAGTGAGATCGATCAAAACTCTGTTGGAATCAAGGAAGAAATTGAGAAATCGAAGGATTTTGCAATGGAGAGGAAAAGGGTTCTGGAGGAAGAGAAAGAACAGTTTCAGAAAGCTGCTTACACTATTCTAGACATGCTAAGCCACAGCCGAGGCTAATAATCCTGTACTCGATTCATCATAACCTCTCACAGCTTCACTATTAGACAAATGAAAACTACTAAATTCCCTGATTCAGTTCCTCATTTCCTCATGTAGCAGGATATGCTCTGTAGTCTGGAGAAAACTACATCAGGTAAAAGAAAACGTTATAATGTCAGTAAAGAAACTCTTATTGGTTTTGGTTCTGTAGCCTTATTGAATCCACCATATTCATTAAGGTATTAGCTTCACATTGCTATTACAGATGAAACCTTTGATCACAAAGCGTTATATGACTTTCGACCATACGTTATATGACTTTCGATAGTATATAAGGAATCTATTAATGTGTTGTTCAAGTCGTGTCAGTGTTCGTCCAGGACAAAATAAAAGCCAGATTAATAAAATAAAAAATATAAATAATGGGGATTAAAATAGGAAAATACAAAGAAAGATTTAAAAAGGGAAAATAATAGCCCTAGGTTGTGGTAGGGTAAAATAGTAAATTAGTAAAATCATCCCTCTTTTGGCGGGAGAATTCCCCTAAAAATTTTCTCCAATTTTACAACACTCGTCCTACTCCCACAAAACCCATTCATCTTCCTTTCTTCTTCTTTTCTTCTTCTTCTTCTTCCACTTTCTCTCTCTCTCTGACAAAAATGGTAACGCTCCGCCAGAGAACACCAGCTGTGACGGAAGCACCTGAGCCGCCGAAGCTGGAAGAAGAACGAATCTGCGAAGACGTGACGATTCTCTCAGACGATTCCGACGAAGATTCCTCCTCCGATTCAGCGGTGAAACACTTGCGTGGACGTTGGGAGCTCGCTTCTGTTCTCAATTTCGTGAATGTATGAACCCAGAAACCTCTTTCGCTTCTTCCTGATCTTAGATTCCAAAATGATTCGATTTCAGACGGAAGAATATTTGTGTTCTGTGTTTGTTGAAATCTAGGGTTTTGTTAGAGATGTTTATGTTTGTGGGTGCTTACAATTTCATTGAAAGATATAACATTTTTGTTGTTGTTGGTGATAGGTCTTTGGACCACTTGTTTCGGAGAAATTGAAGTTAACAGCTGAAGAAATTGAGATGGGTCTTATCGAGTCCAACAACACAAATGCTCAGCTTCACATTGCACTTTTGAAGGTTAACGAGGGAATCTCTAATTCTTCACTATTTTTTTCATCATCGCATACATGTGTGTTTGTTTGTTGACTTATAAGAAACCTTATGGAACTCTTTTAACTTTGTTTTCAGGGGATACCACCGGTAAATAAAAACCTTGATGATGCAAATGCATGGATCACGGTGTTGTGTAAGAAACTTGCTCCATGGTGGCCATGGGTAAAGGCCATACTGAAACTTCTATTTTCTAGCTTATATATTCTCCTTTGAAACAGTGTTATGTTTTTTCTGTAATTGGCTCCTGTTAATTGCAATTGTAGATTGCTACCGGTGAAATTCCTATAACTGCTAGCAAAGGGTAAGTGATGAATTTGTTTGTGAGTTTATAAAGTATGGATTTTTTTTTTATAGTCAGGTTGAGAAATGGTAGTGATATCAACTTTCTTCTCTTCTGCTGTATGGCTAGGGAGGAAATATCTGAATACCAAAGACTTAGCCCTATTAATCGCCTGAAGTTTCTGAAGGCACTTTGTGAGCTTCGAGTCCAAGTAATTTCTTCTTGTTATTTAATTGTTGAAGTCTATTGTTTATGCATGCCTCTTTGGTTACACATGTATATCTCTAAACAAGATCATTGCTATTTGCTTTTGTTACTTTTTTTCTCTTATAAGTTTATGCTTTTGTTTCTGTTGGTTGATGGTATAGCAAGATGATGCTCGTTCGTATATTCAAGAAAATACCAAGGAAGGAGACTTGGATTCCCATTTTCGCAAAAGGAAGTTAGGAGGAGATGGAAAGAAGACTTCTTACTGGTAGTTTACATGTCTTATGCCTACTTTGCTCTGTTTTAGATTTGGTGTGACTAACTTTTATCTTTTACCTTTTGTTCTAGGTTTGATGGTAATGACATGCAAGGGTACAGATTATATAGGGAAGTCAATGAAATCTCAAAGAAGAATGCTTGCTCAGATAAATCTTGCTTGAGCTGGGAAATTGAAGCAACCAATCTAGATGAATTTCAGAGAGTCGCTGTAAGCTTTTTGTTTGTTGTTTGTGCTTCTACTCTTTAAGATGTGTGGAACTGTTTTCCTCATTCATTATGTATTATGCCTGTTATGGCAGAGAGAGTTATCATCAAGCAAAGCTTCTTCTTTGGCTGCAACTGGCGAGAAGATTGAGACAGAAGCTTTACCCGTTGTTGAGAAATATCATAAAGTATTTTTTCTAACTGCTTTATTCTTATGTACACATCTGCTATATCATGTTTCTTACGGTGTTTCCATTCCTTCTGCAATAACAGAAGAAAGAAAGGGCCCTGAAGAAGAAAATGAAGAAAGAGCAGCTGGTCGTTAATGTCAATTTCTCAGGTCCTATGCGCCGTTCTTGTCGTAACCGCATACCTGCTACTTACACCTATGGTAAAGTCATATTTTCTTGCGTTTCTTCTGCGCGTTTGATATGGTATTTACCCATTGGCGTGGCTTAGTAGTTTGCAAATCTTATTATTCAGACAACTTTGACAAGATGATCAGTGATGCTGTGGAGGAAAAAGAGTAAGAGCTTGACTTCTTTCTTAATCCAAGTTATCTATCCATCAATATTTAGCACATAGATAGTATTTTCATGTTGGTCAAAATAATCTGATGAACTAGAATGAAACCACTGTTGATCACACTTCAGTAGCGGAGGTGTGTAGATTCGTTTGCCATGTGATTCTATCTGTCATTGCTAGGCTGAAAACCCAACGTAGTAATAGAAACAGATCGATTGCCTATAGCTCATACTACCATGCTGTATAGTAAAAGATGCAGATAGATTAACTGAGTGCTTTGAGTCGGTTTGATGCAAGAGCTTTAGCATGAGGAAACCCCATCATTTACTTCTTTTCTTGATCAGGGAAAGCGATGGAGATGAGGTAGAAGAAAGGGAGCAACAAAGTGTCTCATTGGGCTCAGACAACGACAGTTCTGAAGGTAACAAGATGAATTCAACAGAGGATGAAGCACCTGAAATCAACAATGACGATGATAAAGAGAATGAGAAAAGCAAGGAGGACGCAGAGTCAAAGGGAGAGTACGGTGTCAAAAACAGGCTGAGACAAAGAGTTACCAGGAACTCAGCCCTCTACTAGTTTAAACCTCAGTATGTTGTTGAAGAAATAGTAAAAAGCTTTTGAACAACATGACATCGTTTTGTCTGTTGGTAACGAGACCAAGCTTTTGATTATAAGGGTTTAGGACTTGGGAGATAAGTTTTTTTTTGTTTTGGTGGTGATATATGATAATGTACTCCCATTCGTAACAGTGTAGATCTGACTCTTATTATATGTAGTATCATGTCGCATACCTATCTTATGTAATGCTCAAATTATTTTCAGATTAAATATATGATTTTGACAGTACAAATCTGTTCGTAAAAGTCAGGGTGGCCGAGTGGTCTAAGGCGCCAGACTCAAGTTCTGGTCCTCGTAAGAGGGCGTGGGTTCAAATCCCACTTCTGACATTTCATTTTTATTCAATTTTTCTCCAATCTACTCGACAACATCATGCAAATCTACATAATGTCCTACTATTTACATTTTCTTTTTTTTTTGGACACTGTTGATCAACAATTTGGATGGTAACAAAGCAACTAAGCAAGTCAGCAACAATACTAGTCGCACATACCAGTACACTACATATGCTTAATGTTTCCATCATAATACATAATACATAAGTCGGAAAGAACTAAAACTGGTTCAAGAAGATTCAGTGGCTCCACTGTTTGCTTTGTGACTCTGCGATATGATTCTGAGCTTCTCATACGAGTCAGCACAAGCGTGGGCATAATCAGACAGTGCCCTGAAGATCTCAGGCAATCTGATCTTCAAACTGTTGAGAGATTTCTCTCTCACCTGAATACAGTGTCTCTGGTGAGCTTCTTCTTCCTCTTCAAGCCTTTTCTTCAGTGTCTCGACAACTATTCTCCTCTCTGTGACATGATCTCTGGAGCTTGTTGTTGCGTCATCCCCGCCTTCAGCTTCCTCCGTTGGTCCTCTTTTCTGCAAGTGTTTCTGATACCAATCCTCAAAGCCTTGCTTCTTCCGTATGAACTCTCTTCGGGTCTCTTCGCATTTCTCCTTGAGTTTTATCTCTTCCTCCTGGTGAAGCAAGATGGTTTTGATGACTGCCGCGAACGACGAGATAGCTGATTTGGCGACTTCATCGGGAAGTTTCTCAAGACGGTCGTGCCATGCGAAAAGAAGGGCTTGGATTGGTGGGCGCTGAGGCCGTGGAGGAGAGGAGACCTTCTCTTTAAGACTGCTCTCGATGGGGATAAGGTTTAGCTTTAACCAGCTGTTGAGATAGTTAATGTACTGCTTCTGGTGGGTCACGAGTCTATCAAACTGAACATGCCATTCTTCTAAGACGGTGCAGAACTGCCGAGTCTGATGGTGATGTTGCTTTGTGGTTTCTTTCTGAGAAGTTGAAATTTCAAGGGATTTTAGCTCTCCAACAATACTTAATTGCGTGTCGTGGTGTATGCACATGTTTGTCCACATCTTTGCCATCCTGCAGATCCCACAAGTCGAGAAAATTGGTTAGAGAGAGAAGGCTAAGCTATAGCTTCACAGAGAATCATTTGAAAAGGAGAAAACTTTACCCTTCAACCAAAGCAACAAGTCTTGGATACAATTGGTCATCCCTTAAACGGTTTACTTCTGAAACAGTTGAATCCATTGACTGCATGTCAACGATATATCTTGTGTGTAAATGACTCACAGCCGCCTTTGTTTTCTCCACGGTCTCTGCACTCGCACCTCGTTTTTTATGCCTGTTGAGTAAAGATACCTTTTTCTGATACTCTATCTTCATAAGCTCCCCTTGCTGGAGAAAGAAACACCACACCAGAAATGCATTCAGCTAGACATCCTTCACTATTGGTGGAAATGATTTACAGTTTAAGTTAAATTACCTTCACTTCATCATAGAGTTTCTTCTCCCATGCTAATAATTTATCCAACACAGTAGCATGAGTTTCATGCTCATCTGATTCTTGATCATCTTTTCCACCTTCACCATTCGAAATGCCTCTTAACGATTTATTCCAAGTTATAACCCGCATAACTCTAGCAGAATGATCAACATATCCTGAAATGGAAAATTTTCAGAAAAGAGCATTTTTTCATCAGCAAGAAAAAGCAACAGTTGTCCAAGAAACATTCAACATAATCAACAGAGACAGAACAGGTAATGGTAGGGATATGAAGCAAAGGAGGTTAGAGTGTTGTTTAGTCAAATTCAGAACTTTTTTAATGGCTTTAAATTGAAAAGAAAAAAGTAGTTAAGAAACCTACCAGATCTATTAAATTAAGGTTCATCTTAGATTCTGATAAAAGTTAAATCACAGACCAAAAAGTGCATCAAAGACTCATACTTTAAGAATATTTGCATACACTAAACCCTGATGGCATCTACAAAAGAAAAAAAAATACTCTCTCTTTTGGTTTTCTTTTTTCTTGTTTCAATTAGAGAAACAAAGAACCAAACTTTCTAAACAATCCAATCACATACACATTATGAATCACTTAAAAAAGCAGACAACCAAAGTTTTGGTTAAAGCTAAGTGAATAATTACGAATCCGAATGCCTCAAATCTGAGAAAAGCAAAGAAAAAACTACATTAGTGTATAAGCTTTGATCATTGACTAGGCTACACTAAACTCGTGTCTTGACACTTGACAGTGACAGTCAATAAGATTCACCAAATTGCAACAAACACATATAAATGCTCAATCACATGGACTTAGAGAGGACTTCAATACCTCGGTTATCTGCAAAATTGGAGTGATAATGTAACCTTGTAGCTTCAAGCATCTTGGAAACCTCTTGAGCACACTCTGACGCCTTGAGGAATCTATCATCAATCTCATCCAGAATCTTCATCAAATTCACACTGGAATGACTTGATGCAGTAGTCTTAGCAACCGCACGACGAAACTCCGGTGGAGCAGTATTAGAATGCTCAATCTTAGCTTTCCCTTTCTTCTTCTTCTTTGCCTCAACCACCACTTCATCCTCCTCTTCCTCTTCCTCATCCTCCTCCTCCTCCTCATCATCATCATCATCTTCTTCTTCATCATCATCTTCTTCTTCTTCAACTTCTTCAACTTTCTCCGGCGTCTTAGGTTCTATCTCCTCAACTACCTTATGAGAAGCAGAGTTCTTCCGAAATATTCCAGATTTTTCCTCCTCCTCTTCTTCTTCTTCATCTGCTTCATTGAACTGAAAATGACTAGTCTGATTCTCATAACCATTTCTCATCTCTCTATCATCTAAATTAGGTCCAGGCATATTCTCCACCATGAAAAAGTAATCCCAAGCCATACTATTCCCCGGAGAAGCACTCACAATCTCCGGCGTTGTCTCTAATCTCTTCTTCCTCCCAATATTCCCAACGTTCTCCGGTGTCCTCGGCGAAGCCTCTTCCTCCTCCTCCACAACCTTACGAGCGGTGGCTCTAACACTACCCTTCCCTTCCTCTTCCCCTTCTTCATCTTCTTCTTCCTCTTCCTCAATCACCATACCATCTAAAGTCTGAACCTTTCGACCTCTAACCGCCATAGTAGGCAAGCTAATCGCTCGTTTAATCGGAGAAGGAGAGAATTTAGGCAAAGGAGGAGGCGGAGGAGGAAGATTCTCAATAGGCGGTGGAGGAGGTGGCTGAGGAGCAGCCGGATCTACATTGTTACGACTCTGTTTCTCGTAATGCTGTTGATCCAAAACATCATCCAAAGCTTTCTGATCAGATTCACCATGGCCATAGTCACTTAAAGCAGCACCAGTGTTCTTCAAAGCAATAGCGTAAGCGAAATGACCGGCGGCGAAAGCTTTGCTCGCTGCAACTGCTTCTTTGATTACGTTTCTCCGTTCTTTGCATCTCGCTACTGCTTCCTCGTTATCAACCCTAGATTGAGCACAACCCATTTCAAAAAAGAGTGTTTTTTTTTTTTTTTGCTTTTTCTCTGAGAGAGAAAAAGATTGATAAAGAGAGTACTGACAATGAAGGGAACAAAGATGCAGCAGAGAGAGAGAGATGAAGGAGAAGAAAGATGTCTTTCACGCGCTGCGAGTAGATGTTTCTTTATGTACTCGCTCTCTCACGCTATCGTGGTGTCTTGTCCTCTATATTCATATTTATTTTATTTTTTTTGTAGCTAACGGTCACATATCTCGACGCACTACGGCGTCGTTTCGATGACTTTAGTGTACGTAACGCTTTGGATTGAATCAAAAAAAGTTTGATTTCTTTTGCTTTTTAGAGAGCCATTAAACTCTTCCATATTTCCGATAATTTCAATGAGGAACTTCAAGAGTTTTTGATTTTTACTGTTAATTTTTTGAATGGATGTTATAGGTAAAGCGGAATAAACCGTTAACAGATTATATTGTTAGTCAGTAATAGTTTTGTATGGATAATATAGAGAAAGCGGACTAAACCGTTAGCTGATTATATCGTTAGTCGGTAATAATTAATAAGACTGTTTTATAACAGTCATTTTTTTATTTTTTATTCGACATTAAAAAAATATAATTTTTGAATGATATACTAAAAATGATTTGATATGCAACAACTATTGAAAACTTTAGAACACAATTATGGTTTTCTAAACCAAAATAAAACTTAGTTGATATTATGCAAATTATGATGGGAAATTATATATTTGGAGAAAGGTTTGATTTTGGGTTTGGTTAGCCACATCATGTTTTTAGTATGATACAATAATACATAAAACCAACTTAACAAAAGTCTCATGATCTTTCTCATACGAGAAAGTTACGTTCTTGGTGTTTCTACAAAATAACATAATATTTTCACACTTACTTCTCAAGGTGCTTTAATTTGTTGCTTGAACTAGATTTCACAACAAGATGATGTTGAAACTAAGCATGTTTATGGCTTGAACTTTATATGCAACTTCTTTGTCTCCTCAGTTTGTTGCTACAAAAAAAAAATGCGAATATGATTTACGTTTAAACTAAATAAGTCGATCAAAGAAGATTGAATTGCTATAAAAACTAGATAAAACAGTAAAAATGGTGATAATGTTTACCTCAAATTTACTTTTCCAAGTTAGCTCGAATTTGTCTCGATTCATACACCAATCTATGGCCATTTCAAATCCAGTGGTGTTATCCTTAGAACAATGTGATGTAGCCACAACATCTCCCTTGAAGAAAAATATATAAAGACAATACAATGTAAGGACTTTGCTTAAAGCCAAGTCTATTCAATTGTATGTGTATTACTAGGGGATGAGTAAAACTAAAACAATACCATATGGCCATTGAGCTGCGGTGGTGGCTCCATTGGAGATTTCACTTTAACACTAGTAGCAATAAGTGTCCTGTCCAGCAAAAAAAAATAAACGAAATTTAAGTTCCTTAGATATAAACTCGTAAATGCAACTTAGCTTAATCATCCAACTAGAGCAAATGTATGAGCTATGAAATTAACAAGCAAAATATCTCATGTGATTATGTGAAGCCTACCTTCCATTATCTAGCAACAAATATCCCTCTTCTAGTCTTTTAACGACTCTTTCGGCAACATACCTTGTCTCGAATATCGCCAAAGCTTCACCTAGATTGCGGCCAACATGAAATTCCATAGTAAGGTTCCAAAGAAGGTTCCAAAGCTTTGACTCTTTATACTATAGTGTGATTGCTATAGTATAGAAGTAGACTTACCAATGTGACGACTCACTGATGTTTGCTCTAACATCCTTGCCATGCATTGCTCATTCAAAGCCGAGTAGATTATGTCCTGAAGCATTATTCATAAGTTTCTTAGATACAATTTTACATGAATGGTATACACCAGCACAAAAGCTACACTGCCTAGCTTGAGCAGTGATAGTTACAACAACTAAGCATATATAAGTAACCTTGTAAGGCTCCTAATAAAGAATAGAAAAATCTATAAATTGGATAATACCTCCACTTTTCTAGATGTATAAGTAGGATCCAAGTACCGAAGCAGAACCAGATTCCCTTGGCCTTCTGCCAACTTCAAATTTTCTTCCCAAGACTGATTTATAATTTAAACATTTTAAAAATTAATAGCATATGTGAAACTTATGTTAGTTCTTCAATAATCAAAGATACTAAAAAGTTCTTGAATGGCCCATCCATAAAAGGTTTAAACCAAATGAAAATGATTTCTAGTACTAGATTATATATAACATATCATTAAAACAGATAAACATGTCACTCTATTCACATCAAGGAGCAAGCATGTCAAGCACCTGATAGTAAATGTTTAAATGAGAAGTACTTACAAGTTTTTGGTACCATTTGATTGCTTCCTGCAAATCAAGAAAAGAAAACAAGAATCTATCAGATAAGGAACATCCATGCATGTCTACAAGCACACTAGCAACTAACAAGTTTAGTATGACATAATATATACAACACACACAAAGGTCTCCCAAACCATTTGCTAAGAGTTTAAGTTGATGTACAACCATATACCTAAGAAAGGTTAACAAACATCCTATGAATGAAAATTGTGTAAGCAGCCACTTCTAGACCAATGTCATTCAAACAATGCGACAAAGATATTCAAAATACTAATATAAAACTTACAACATTCGGCTTTTGGTTCAAGTCAAAGACTTGACCATTTCTTTTGTTGTCGACATTGATCAACATATTCCCCTCAATGCTTTTTGGTATTCTAGAATCAGAGTTTGGTTTCTTGAGTAGACATTTCTCATCTGCATGTTTTGTCTCTTTTCCTTCACGAGATCTTGGTATCATCCCCCTCATATCTTGCTTCTTGTCACTTAAGCTAGGACGACTTCTAGTAGGTTCAAATACATTTCTGGGTCTTCCTTTTAACATTCCAGCATAACCATCTAGGTTTCGTTTACTTGGAGGCATATCCCCCAAACTGTAAGAATCTTTATTATGCCTTTCATCTTGAGGCCATAATTTTTTTGCCAACATATCTTTTCTAATAAATTTTACATCTTTACCACCATAAGAGCATTTTGTTCTTCCATTTGACATTGCAACATTGCATAGCCACCGTTTCTTTTGAGGCAAATCATCCAAGCAGTAAAAGTCTTTACTGTAGTACCTTTCTTCCTCCATCCGCGATTTTCGTTTACTCAGCTGCAAACGAGTTTCATTTTCTTGGTCATGGTAACCATTTCTCCTATAACCAGAGGCATTACAATGGTCATCATCACACAGACCATAACCATTTCTTTTGTCACCATAATCTATCTTCCTATGAATAGAAAAATCATTGCCAATACGTTCATTCTGCCTAGCTGAACCACTAGTTGAAGAAAGATTTGGTTTCAAACTATATGGAGTCCTATGTATGCTGGTTTTGTTAAAGAGAAACTTAACTGCAACACATAAAAGCAAAATGAAGATATGAGGTAATCAAGTTAAAATAGCTAATAGACTAGATATGAAAGGGAAACAAAAATGTACCATCAACTCCAGCAATTTTATCATCTATCTTTTCTAAGATCTTATGAATTCCAACATCAAAAGTTCGGCGAAAAACGAAGTCAGCCGACTTGATTTCTTCATCAGAAGGTTGTGGGTTCCTTACGTCTTTCGAGGTGCATACCACATAACATTTTCTAGAAATTGCTTCCTGTTGTAACATAATGTTATATCAAAACAATAAGGTTGGTTGTATTAGATTGTTCTCTAAAATATATCAAGGTTTCTACATGCTCACATTTAACTAGGAATAAGCGTTATAAGTATATAGAATTATAAAGAAAAGAGAAGTTTAGTTACCAATGGGTTTACATTAGTGAGGCCAAGACCTTTCCCTGAAGCCAAAAACAGTTCGTTCACATGTATATCTTCAACTCCTTGAAGATGTGACATAATCTCAGACGGTTTAAAGAACCATAGTAGCTCGACTCTTCTCTGTTTTTCACGTTGATCATATTGTTCCCACATTTTTATGATCTTGCCAACAAAGAACCTTCTAGAGTCTTGTGTGTCGTCATAGCGAATGATCACAGAGTCATAAAGACAATATTCAGAACCCTTAAAGGTGAAAGATTCATAGAATTGGACATTTTTCTTTTCGACACTGGTTCCTGATCTCTTTTTACCCCCCTTGAAGCTTAAGTCTTCAACTTGTGCTGATCTTTTCATCCTCTCTTATATGAAGCAGGCTCCTCCTATATAAATGCAGTAGACAAAAGAGTCACTAAATCAACATTTCACATAAGTTAAAACAACAATGTAAGAACAATGATATTGTTTACACTTGTTTTTCTCTAAGAGATACTAGAATTAAAAATCCAAAATGCTTGATTCATCACTATATGCTATGAAATAAATTTTGAGCAACACTTTTTTAGGTGTGATTTTGGTTTGATTATATGATTTTGATATTAACATCCTCATCAAAACTTACACATCAAGTTCACACCATATCAAAAATCAAAAATTTTTATTAAATAAAAGAAATCATTACTTCTTTTTAATAGAAAATAGAAAATCCACATGACTTGTTTCAAAACTTAAGAAACAACAAAATACAAATAGTGATGTGATAAGGATGTACATAAATCATGTTTTTTATTTATTTATCTATCAATCTGAACTGTGTATACAATATAGTGACCCGATTATACCGATAGATCTAAATTTCTGTAACAACCTGATTATTCTGACTAGTTCGGAATCCAGAAAAGACAAATCTAGCTTATATAAAAGAGATTGCTTGAAAGATCTTGTCACAAAACTTTCATCAAACACAAATTTTGTATGATATGCTACTATTAAATAATCCTTACTCGCAATATTATCGCTAGACTCAAGTTTTTCGCTTTCTAGAGTTTATTCTTTTTCATTGATTTTCTTTCTCATCTACAGAGTTCGCCGCAAAAACATTTTTAGGGTTAGCATCTCTATGGTGAGTTCTTGTCGTATATATATAGAAAATTTTAATATACACATGCTCACGACGTTTGAATGGGCCCAAAATTAGATAAGTCCAACTTGTAATTAAACGCAGCCTCATGAATATGTTTTTGTAAGCCTCCATTATAGGCCCAAAATGAGTAACCAAATTGTAATACTACATTACAACTATGAAAAATATGAAATCTAGGAAGCCCAAACTAAAACAAAATTACATATAAGACCTCTTTAAACAATTTACATATATATAATAGGAGAGTTCTCTCTCCATCTATATTGTCTACCTACGCATTTTTTTAACATTAAAGTAAATTTAAAATCTTCATTTAATAAATACTTATGTTATTTATAATTAATAGAAATTTACATAAATAACAAACAAAATATGTAAAATAAATTAAATTTTAAAATAGTAAAACCAATAATAAGAAATTTTTTATTAGTAATTATAATATGAGTCAAATTATTAACATTATAAAACTTAATAATCATACTTTGGAATTTTAAATAAGTTAATGAGTTTTAGAATGCAACTAAATTTTAAATACATGGTAGAATAATACACTATTTATGTAGTTGTAAATAATACATATTTTTATTTATGATTAAATTTTCAATTAAAAAATAAAAGATTATGAAACTCAATTAAATTTATACTTTAAGACGAATATATTCGAGGGTTACACTTTATGTTGTGAAATTATATTTAAAATATTGAAAATGGCGATAGAGAGTAAATCGATGCCGAAAGAATTGGTAGTTAAAAGCGATTGAAAATAAATTACTAAAACTTGGAAAGATAATGTATATGATAAAAATAAAATATTCGAGATTTCATTCATTTTGGGAAATAAATGAGTTCCTTTTAAAAAAATTCATGACATACATTATCAAACAAATTATTAGATTCAAAGTAGTTGTTAAACTGTTTAGCCATGTAATTATAAAAAGTGAGATAAGATATATACAGTCATGAATTGGTTGGAAATTCTCTTATACTATATCGCACTTTCTTCTATGGATAAAGTAACCTCGCTAAAATTATTCTAGCGATATGATATTATATATGTATCTTTAAATATTTACACTAAATAATGTTCATGAGACTTGGTATATTCGCATTTTATATAGAACGGTGTTATATTTGTACTGACATTTAATCATAATGATATTTACAATTCAGTCAACAACCGTCGATAATTAACATGAAAATTTTTAAAGAAATGTCTTCATAGATTATGAATACAAAAGAAACTCTCTTAGTGATAAAGGATTCTGAGTTGGTCGTCTATGTCGTTTATTTTCCCCCCGTGATATTTGTTACTACATAATATATATTAAACCATTTATTTTTCAAGAAAAATTCATTGTCAACGATATATATTATATCGCTCAGTAACATAAAATTTAATGTTTAATTAAAACTCTAATATGCAAAATGTATGCGATACATATGCAAAATTTATCTAAATGTGCAAAAAACATGGAAAAAAAACTAAAATGATGTGGATCAACGAATGAACAAAGTTAAATAAATGAAATATGCATGTTTAAAAGTGGTAAAATATAGATTTATCACTATCCAAGAATTAAAAGATTTCCTAGTGTTTTTAATACCCAAGTGAAATCTCTTTATGGTCAACGAGTATACTTAGCAATAACAAAGACGAGGAAGAATATTAAAACATAACTCTAGGTTTATTATATAGTAACATAGTTTAAAAACTTATGTGACGTACAAGGCAAACATACGAGGTGAATATAGAATGTATTGCAAGAATCTTTGAGTTTAAAAATCTCGAGTAACTTTGTGATAGTAACTTTCTCAACAACAACAAAAAAATCTCGAGTAACTTTGTGATAGTAACTTTGTCAATTCTAAACATGAATTGTGATAGTAACTTTGTCAACAACAAAAAAAAAAATCATTAAAGAGTACTTCATATAATTTCAAAGAACGGTCGAGTCTCCTTTGATTTAAGCTCGTCGTTAGTGTTCGGCGAAAAAAACAAGAATTCACCAGGAAGTGACACCTCTCATTTCCTTGATGTGTGGTCTTTTGTTTTGTTTTGTTTTCGCTTTATTCTCCCTTTTTCTCAATATATATTTATATCTCTTTGATCAAGGTCTCTTAGAAAGATTTTAAGTAATTATATGAATTCAAATAAATATTAAATGCTGATAATTGCTAAGAGACGGACACGTATCACCATGGGAAGGGTCAAAAAATAAATATATGTTATAAATTGTATTTCATGTATGTTTTGAAACTATTGTGCTTTATGTTATTTATATTATAAATTGTATCTCATGTATGTTTTGAGATTTTTTAATTTGCAATAATTATTAAGTTTCTAAAATTAAATTTTTAATTTTATTTCATTTTAAATTAATTTAACATAAATTATTATGCGAGCATGTATAATTCTTCACGATATGATAGTAGAAGACGAGCGAGATATGTATATTCAGTTTGATGTCACCGAATTTGAAGAAGCATAATGTCCCGAAAGTACACGGGTGGATTTCACCTATTCTAAAGAAATGTCTTTAAATCTCGTCGATATAATGGCCACTAGAATTCGACTTCGTGATCGAGCTATGCATCAACAACTGAAGAAGGATTTGGTCGAGCATATATGGACAAAATATTCTAAAAGTAATGTTTGGTCGAAAAGAAATATTTGTTATAATTTGTAGAAATTCTCTCTATACAATTACATAAATTAGAATCGGATCCGCGCTACAATGCGGGGAAAAGTTATCATGCTATTATTAATATGTTTTAATTTACTAAGTGACGTATTTTAAGATTTGTTTTCCTTACAAATATATCATTTTTTATGGAGGATTTGCACAAATAACCTTTTTATGATACTTTTTTAACAAGTACCCTCCCTAGATGTCCATTTTCAAAAATAACCTCTTCAATATACAAAATGAATAAATTACCTTACTTTAGTATAACCCATAATGAAGAAATAAATATTATTTCCAACAAAAAGAATATTCCTTCCGGAAAATTTCCCGCCAAAAATTTCCAGCAAAAATTTTCCCGCAAAAAGTTTCCGACAAAAATATTTTCGCCAAAAAAAATCCAACATCCATAATTTTTCCGCAAATCCTTAAAAAACCTTGTAAACATTTTTAAAACCTTGCAAATCTTTTAAAATTTACCAAAACCTTTAAAAACTTTAGTAAACCTTTGTAAATAATTTTATACCCGTGGTAAATCCTTTAATAAAAACTTTTGTAAACTTTTAAAACCCTTTTAAATCCTTAAAAACCATTTTAACGTCCTTGTAATGCCTTTAAAAACTTTTGTAAATTTCTAAAACCCTTTAAAACCCCTTGTAAATCCTTTAAAACTATTTTTAAACCTTTGTAAATATCTTTAAAATTTAAAATTCCTTGTAAATCCTTTTAAAAACATTTTAATCCTTGTAAATTCCTTGAAAAACACTTGTAAATCTTTTTTTAAAGACCCTCTAAAAATCCTTGAAAATCTTTTAAAAACAGTTATAAACTTATAAAATCTTTTGAAAACCATTGTAAATCCTTTAAAACCATTCAAAAATTCATGTAAGCTTCTAAAACCCTTTAAAAACCATTAAACTTTTAAGTTTAAAAATATTGGAGATCTCTTACTGGAGAAAAAAACAAACAAAAAACATTGGTCACCAATGTTTTACCTTACCTGGGCTAGGTCCAGTTTTGGTCATAACCCATATTGATATCATATGTTTATCAAAATATAGAAGACACATATAATGTATGTGATAAACATGTGATATCAAAATACAGAAGACTTGTTATGTCTTCTATTTCCTAGCTTTGATTTTATGGTGGTGTACTGAGAATTGAGATAAGTGATTTCGATTTATTCGATTTTTTCGTTTGGTTTAGATAGTGGTGGGAGTGTGTTTATGGCTTAGGCCTCCTGGACGATGCTAGTAATTTCATAACTATACATCAAAATATCAATGACAGCCAAAGTAAAATATTAATTAATCACCTATCTTACTTGTTCATGAATTTATGTTTTCAGTCAATCAAGTCAAAAACATAGAAATGGGAACATTTCGACTCTACTTTATTATAGTGTTCTTGCAAAAACCACAAGAATCAGCAAACCACAAAAGACAGCTACGTAGTTAAACAAAAAACAGAAAACATATAGATGCCTTCACTCTTATATGGGAATCACGCATTACTATATGTATATGTATGTATATTCATAAACCAAAACATCTCAAAAACATAGATTAACTGAAATATTATTATACATTATAGAACCCACAATCAGATAGAAAGGCAAATCCTATCTAGTAGCTGAACCACACAACATGGGTCTCCGGGAGGAAGTGGCAGACTGGAACAGTCCCTGGCTTCACATTAAGAACTTTGAAAGCCAAGTGGTTTGGGTTCCAAGCTGAGGTGTTCTTGTGGCACACCGCAACCGCTTTAGCTCGCATACCGTTCTCTCCTTCGAGTGGAACCGCGTAAACACTTGCCATCATCGTCTTGTGGCAGTAGAACACCGCGAATGGGTACTTCTGTTTGTGACACACCACAGAGTTGTTGTCAGTCAACTTCTTTACTCCAGCCGCCGCGATTTTGTACTTTTGCATCGGTGCATTCTTCTTAGCCACCTGTAGTAACCAAAGTTACATAATAATACATACAAATCAACTAGAACCAAACTGAACTATGTGTAACCATGTTTATGTAAGAAAATTTAGATCTAACCATATTTCATACTAATAATTATTAGCTATATATGTACATATATAGTAGCTAGCTAGTGTATTTACCTCAGTGGAAACAGCCCTGATGTGAGACTTGCCAAGTTTAGAAACACTAAAGTCGACCATAGACTCCAAAGAAGTCGCACAATACTTGTCCTCTTCACCGACCTTTTTAGCTTCACACTCTTCAATGGTCTTCTTCATCATCTCAGC